ATTTTGGCGGATTTCATGCTCGGTTGGCTTTGATTAGTGGCGTTCGATTAGTTTGTTTGATCCGATCGGGCCAGCAATTAAATTCAATGAAATTTATTTTCGCAATTGAATTTCATTTTCAGCATGCTTGCGAATTATTCGAGCGTTTACATTTCGATAATAAGTATTTCTAATTCTCTCACTTTTCCCCTTTCGACTAGCGTTTTTCCTCCTATTTTCACTAACTAAATATTAAATAATTTATAAGAATTTTTTTACTGGATCTTTGGGATTTCTTAAGTTCAAGTTCTTAGGAATTATTAGAGTTTGTTTATGATATGTTCATCATTTACTTGCATTTGTTTGAATAACAAAGAGGATGTTTACTAGTTTTCTTATAGGTCATTCAAGGGCATGATTAATACTAATAGCTGACTTGAGGGATGTAAGTATTGTTTATTCAATTGTGGGTGAAAAAGGCAAGTTTACTACAATTTCTTTCTAAAAAGGAAACCCCAATATGTCTGAAATACCACACTAATGATCTCAGCAGGATCTTATACTTGATATCCGGACTTAAGAAGCACTTAAAAACCACAAAAAAAGCCAACTTCCTCAGAGTTCAGCACCCTGTCTTTGACAACAGGTTCCTTGGGCACCATGGAACCCTTCTTATAAGCCATTTAAACAATACAATTTCGGTTTCCGCTACTCATGTTCATGCCCCATTGACTTACAACTCGAGTTGTTCAAATTCAAGGGGTTTTTTTTTTTTTTTTTTTGAGGAAAAACAATAAAGATGATGATGATGATGACCAAGAGGTGAGGCCGATTTCCACAGCATGTCCGTACACGTTTCATTGCCGATCATTCGACGTTTGAGGTTTACGATATTCTATTTAACGGCTCATCGGGCATTCGAGCAGAGATCGCCTATGGATCATGGATGCCCCCTAGAGGGGATCTTGAGATTCTCCTTTGTTCGTTCTCAGCCGAGTGCAATCTTAATGTGCGGCTTAGGTGAATGACTAACGGCCAGGTAAACTATGACTAACTGGTCTCAGATCGTGGGCAGGTTGAAGAGTTTTGGTGTTAAAGAAGGGAAATGTTTTGAGTGTTCATAAAACCACAAGTTTTAAAAGGTAAAATAGGATTTTATTTGGTAAATTTGAACTTGAAAGTGGTTAGCTTTGTGGTTACTATCAGGTTTTTGGAGAAGTTCATTAAAAATTTGCTAAATTTTAAACCTCTTGAGTTTTAAGTGAGTCACCCAATATTTTTAGATCATAAATTAGATTTCCTTCTAATTTACAACATGCCATAACTATATTTTTATTTTAATTTATTACTTTTTTATTAATTTTTATCTCAGACCGCTTAACCAAGTTTGAAATCAACCCAAGATCATATTTTCAGCACAATTAGAGCATATTAAGTGTGGCAAGTGAGACAGTGAGAGGTGTGTAGGGTGAGGCAAGGAGGCAGAATGCGAACTTCTTGTTACTTTTTTGTATCTTTTTCTCTCTCTCTCTCGGTTTTGAGAATATAAATTAACGCAACAATTAACAGAAACGAGTTTTGGACTTGAAAGGGGAGAGAAAACAGAATGAAGTGAAGAATCTGGCCATGGATGATCTTTAGCATTGTTATAAGTTATTGGTTAAAAAAAAAAAGGAAAAAAAGGGGGAACCAGATGGAAGAAGAAGTAACGAAGGGGAACGAAATTGGAGTGGCAAAGCTGCTTTATTGAACAACTCAGCTCTTCAGCTATTTGTGCCGGACCCCCGCTAAAGTGGCAAGTTCTGATCGCTTCGTTTTTGGTTTTTGTTTTGAAAGAACTAAAGATCGAAAAGCCAACCAAGCGAGGGAAAACAAAAGAAATTGTTCATTTTTATTGCCACATCAATGATGACTTTGCTGTTAAGGAAAAACCCCTTAAGCTTTTCTCTATAAACTTTAAGAATTTCCATATGGTAGTGACCAAAAATTGGTTGAGTAATCCAAACAAAAGTTTAGCTTGTTGATGTCTTATTGCCAAGTTAGCCTGAGTTGACTTTTGCTGTCATCGCTTTATTTTTTCTTTATTATTTTTTTAGAGCAATTTGCCTCATGGCTTGATGTGGTCTTTGTGGTTTTCCAGTTTTTTAGTTTTCAGTTTCTTGTTCGGGTTTTAAGTTTTACTTTTATTACCATTCCACTTACGAGCCGAATGGCATTGAAGTGTTGCATTACGCCCAGACTTTGGGCAAATTCTGTCTTTGCTAAAATTCGCAATCGCTGGCGTCATTATTTTTTTTTCTTTTATTTTTTTTTTGGCCCACAAAGTTATGTGACAAATTTTCCATAAATACATTTTGGCCGGCGGGCTAGAGAGGAGGGAGAGAGAGTTCAGTAACCCCCATCTGAACTGACCTATTTGCGGCGATTGCCAGCCGGGGGAAAAGTGAGCGAGAAAGTGAGCCATAATATCCAGGAATAAGCAGTGAAAATGGCCAAAGACGAGACGCTTTTCCGAGGAAAATTGAATTTCAAATACTCTTTGTTTGGGAATGTATACTTAGGGTTCTGTAGGGATAGGTAAAATGATTTTTATAAGAAGGGAAACTTTGCAATCATGTTCAATCTTCTTGGTTTTCAGCTTAATTTAGTTTTTCTTCATTTTATGGTTAAGATATTTGTAAACCACATTATTAAAAAGAAATTTCCAATTATATTTTATCATTATTATTTGTATTTAAACTTAAATATATTTCACTTTTGTACAAGAAAAACTCTAAACTTAATTCATTTTCCATGACAAAGTCCATGTATCTTTTTAAGTCTATTAAAACTAAAAGTATCTTTTGGATACCCACAGCAGACAATTATTTCTTTCGTTCACTTAATATTGTATGAACATATTTATGGTTGTGCAAAGTTTTTCCTCCACATTCGCCTTTTTTGTTTATTTTTGTAAAAAGCGGACAAAATGTGATTTTGGCCTGATGGGTGTCTGCATATTTTCCTGCCATTTAAGCATTTTTCAAATATTTTTCACTAAAGAATCTAACATACTTTAAATATTTATAATAAAACTAAAACAACTAATTTAGAGAAACCTCACCAAATGACAAACCAAATTCAATTAAGCTTCATAGAAAACCTATTGAAAATCCAACCAATTTGAGTGCATAAAATTAATGGCATTTGGCCGCGATAAAAGCGGCCCAAAAGAAACCCGTTTAGAATCGAAATGCGGATAATTTATTCATGGGATTCATCATTCGATGCATTGTTCGATAGACCAAAAACACAAACTTTTACTTTTCATTATTGTCTGCTCATGAGTGCTCATCTTCAACGTGGACGAAGACCTTTCAAGAGATCTCTCCCCCTCTGCAATTAATCTTAGCCCAGACCCGAAAACAATCCAATTAGATAACCCAAAGCCTACTCACGTGTGGGGGGGATCAGTGAAAGTTTACGGCTCCGTTCTAAGCCACTGGACCAGCAGCAGCAGTCCAGTCTAAAAAACCGAAAATCATCAAAAAAAAATCCGGAATCCGGATCGCAATTTCCATAAAACACTCATCAGATACCAAAGCCCTGTGCAGTGGGCAGTCGCTCCTCTAGTGCTCGAGTGCTCGATCTGAAATGGTTTTGGTATCGTACGTGGAAATGCGTAGAAATCAGATCAAGTTTTCTTTCCTTATATACATACTTACCATTTCGGCGATGGAAGATGATGATAGGGTTTTTATGGGGTTAGAGTTTCACTAGCAAATGAATTTTATATTTAAGATTGCATCGGAAATGGTGAAGTGCAACACGATTCCAAGGAAAACTTTTACGTTTCTTTTTGACTTTTATAACTTCGATTTTTACAAGTTTTTTACTTAAAGGAGTGCTGATTGGGGGTTATAAATTTGTAGTAGAGTATCCCATATAAAGTTTTAAATCTTTAGAAGCTTTTAGAAGCCATCAATATCCTTGCTCTTCGCTCCTCTAACTTTGTTAGGCTTTATTTAATTGCAGACTTTGGTGCAGGCGAGTTTTACTTTCGCACAAAGGTCTTCCAAACCTCTCCCCACCCAGAGTTTTCCCGCCTATCGACATTTTTGCCGGGCCATTTCTATGCAAATCAGCTGAGAACACGCACACATCTGTAGGGAGGGGTAGGAGGAGTAGGCTCAAAAAAGTGGAAAGATGGCCTCATATATACTTATAATGGGGCAGCCGGCTTTCAATACACCGCATGATATGCGATATGGATATGCAAATTCAAAAGGGGTTAAGGTGGGTGCCGAACAAAGGGGAAGGGGGTTGGTAAAGGGACTTCGAAGGCCTAGCCCAATGTGCAAATTCCTTTGGCCACGGGCTTGGCAGGAACGTGACAAAATGAAGTCTGTTTTCGGTATTCAAGCCTTACGTAATGCGGGCCTTTAGTTCTCAGCTATTGTAGTATTGTAGTGCCCGGGGATAATCAAGATTTACGGCTCGACTTTCGCTGTTATCATCCAGACCAATGGGGCTAAAGGGAAATCCTGTCAGATGGCATATTGTTCCGGGGTTCATGTTCCCTTTTTGGGTCATTGACCGACCAATGTGTTGATTGATTCTAAATCAGGAGATTTGTTGGGTGCACAGGGAGAAAAATGGGTATATAATATATATACTAGATCAGATGGAATGTTAAGTACAAATATAGTTCACAACCATAAGCTAACTTAAAGGAAACAAAATTATTAACTAACCTTCCCGTTTTGACAATTATTAATGATATTTTCGATTTAAGTTTTATTTTTCGAACAAAGTACCCATAGATCATTGTGTGTGTTTTTTTGATGTCTGTACATGAACTTGATGAGTTCATAAATAGCTTACAGTTCTTTGGGGATACACATGCCCCACACATGTGTGTCCCTCGAAACCAGCTGATCCAACCTTGTAACTCACACATTTCGATTGCATCACCATAGCTATAGCCATAGCCATTGATTGCCCTCAAATACGATTTACTCAATCTGTTTTTTTATTTTCAGACCACCAACAAAAGAAGTTCAAACAATGTAACGACAACTTAAACGATCTAAACACAATCGAAAGGCGGAAAATTATTGTTAAAGCCCAAAAATAAAACTGAACAGACCTCCAAGAAAAACACTCCAGCAAAATCAGGTGAGTTAAGCAATGATTTTGGAATAGATTCTTTAATTGGGAAACAGATAGAAGATGAATGGAAAACCATAATCATAATTTCGGGTCTATTAGTGGATTTAAATTCTTTAAAAGAACATCTCTTAAATAGCATTGTGAAATGTGGTTTTGCTTAAATGTGGAAATAAGCCACCCACAGGAGAGATAACCCAGCAGTTCATACATTTTGCTTTTTAGAACTTTTTCTCTGTCTCGCTGGGATTAAGTAAATTTATGTTTAAGCACGGAAGGAACCCTTCAAATGCCTCTTACTGTACGTGCAGCATTAAAATGTAAAATTTACAGGTATATACTATATAGTATATATGCTAATATATATACTTATTCGCACCTGGGCGACGTCTCTCCGTTGTTATGGTAATGTGAGCTTCGTTTTGGGGTTTTCATTCTCATTACAATAACATTTTTTGCCGTCATTGTTTGTTGGCAATGAAAGACCTTGCCAGCAGATCGACCTTGAATCTGTCACTGTGTGTAATTCAAATCGTATAATCAGACTGATTAACCCATATACCAAACAGCTTAACACCTTCTCAAGGGAAGGAAGGTATAATTTAGGGAAAGAAAAGATGCACAACCTTGTGATGTCCTCAGTTTTCTTGTTTTTTTTGCCAAACCCATAAAGTTCTCCGCTTTCCTTGACTAATTTCAAGAAGGTGGAAAAGGCTGAACACTTGCCGGAAAATTTCCACCAACTTGGCCACTCTCCAAAAAACACAAATCCTTGTATCCACAAGGATTCTGTTGGCTGTGAGAGGAAGGAAGTCGGTTGCTTTTTGCCTTATTTGGTTATTCGGTGACAGACTTCTGACAATTTCGTTGACTAGGTCAGGCTCTCTCCATTTGGCATGGGTTCGGATGTGTGTTGGCTTCACTTTTGGTTTCTGTGAACGGAAATGCGACTGCGCAAGGAGAAAGAGAGGGAGAAAGAGAGTTATTAAGGTCCTGGCAACATTTGGCTTGCAACATTTTTATTACTACTTTTTAAATTAAGGTTTAGGGCTTTAAATTGTACTGAGAATAATAATTCCTGAACTGGAAAGTAGTTTTCTTATCATTTACTTCATTAAATTGAAAATGAGTTTAGTATCAGATTTTTAGTAAAGAATTTTAAGGTTCGAAAAGTGCCACTTTATAGGCCTTTCAAGATACAAAACACAACACATTCTTGAAATTCTATCTTTAAGTATGATTTTTATGATTTTTAAACAATCTTTTTAAATAAATATAAATTATTTAAATAATTTAAAGTATTTGTTTAGCTCCCTCAAGCTTATAAACTCCATATTGTTAGAGTATTTCCCTGATTTTACTGCTTCTGTTCCCTTAACTTCTTGTCAACATAAATCCAGTGCTTGTAAAACTTTATGGGCTATGATGCTGCGATGCCGCCTACGCAAAAAGAGCAAGAAGGATAGCTTAAAACATAGAGTACGATGGATGGCAAACTGAGAGCACCAACTCGCAGTTGCGCTCCTTGACCTTGGGCACGAACGCACTCGAAAACCAACCCCCCCTTCCTCCCCCTTAGATACCAAAAAAAAAAATGTGCTTTACCCTTCGGCAAAACGAAATCCAGACAGAGATTCCGATTCAGTCGCTCATTTGCAGCAGCCACAAGTTGTGGCCACGCGGATGGAAATAAAAAACTGAGTGAACAGCCAGCCAGTGAAGATCCATAAAGTGTGTGTGTTTTTCCATGGTGAACGGCGAAGATCCCCCGCAATGTCATCTAGTCCCACCGATTTTGATCTGGAGTATTTGCAGTATGTAAAGAGGGAAAAGTACAAACCCATCTGGCAGTCTTTTAATTGACGACGCAAAAAGTAAACAACAACAGCAAATAAATCATCAGCCCAGCATCAGGTTTTTCATATTTTTGTTCGCTGTTTTTCTTAAGTTCAGAATCTCTGAATCAGCAAGATTGCTGCGTCATCATCATCATCGTTATGGCTACGCTCTTATCGGAACTTTTTACTGACCCCCCACCTATTGCTTCCCATCGATTTCCATCTATCATACACAGATTGATTGATAAGAAGAGGTGGGGACACTTTCATGGGCTTCATGGGTTCAAAGTTCGCATTTGTCAAATGGAGCGAAAATAGGGACTAAATAAACACGAGTGCCGTTTGAAGAGTTCCAATCAAATAGAAGGAGACGAGATTAAATAGGCCTAGGAAAACAATGGTCTACCATGGAGAGAGGCTCTCCAGGGAGGAGGTAGATAATTTATTGGCATTTCGGGAACCGCACTTAATAGCTTTTGGATTGCATTTCAAATTAATGAATAAATATTAGGCATAAATAGAGAGGAAAAGCTGAAGAAGTTTATTTCTGATTGATGATTTTGGTATTTAGAAGTTTTTAAACTGTTTTAATGGTTATATTTGAAAGGTTTTTGACTTCTATTTTCTTAGTTTTCCGTCTAATGAGTTCTATGTATTTTCCACATTTAAACAAGTTTTTTTTAGAACAAGTTTTGCTTATATTTGCTAATGTTTTTTCTTATCATTGCCTTGTAAACGATGGCTCATTAGACTTCACTCAACCAAATGTTATCTGAAATATTAATGTTCTCCATCTGTACAAATTTCTTACTCAAGTTTTATTTTGTATACCCAAAAGATACATCAATCTCTTGCCTCATAAATAATGAAATATAGCCGAGCATTTCCAATTAAGAACCTCCATAAATTGAGAGGAAAAGCAAATCAAAAATACATTTAAATCAAGAGCAAAAAAGTAGATGAAAATGTAAATAATTTGATTATCATAAATAAAAACCAAAATTTGCATGAAATTGAAATTGCATTTTCTTCCTTTGATTTAAGTAATAAATTTGCACTTTTTAAGCCTCTAACTTTGGTAATTTTCATAGTTTTAGACGACCTTCAAATTGCTCGAAACGCCCCCGATTCGCGTTTTGGCCAAAGTCCGGTCATTAAAATTGATGACAGATTCCCCCATTCAGTTAAGCGGCAAGTAAAGTGCTGTAATACACCGGAGGTTGTGCACTGTGTGTTGTGCGATGAGCATGCACTTTTGTTGGCTTTTCTTTCCCTGGTCTGTTTGAGCTTTCCGGTCAGGGGCACTTTCCTTTTCAATTTGTCCAGCTCTTTAGCTTGGCCATTATGCCACTTGGCCGTTTTGCAATGACGCTTGCTGACCACCTCACTCGCCATTTGGGAATTGTGCTGAAGTGTCGTTAACAAGTGGCTAGGCAAGGGGAAAGGTATCAACTATTAGTTATTTATAGTTTTCTTACTATACAAATATTAACATAATCCACTTTTTGGTTTTAAATTATTTGCTCTTAGAAGGGCGGTTTGAAAAGCATATGTTAGTTTTAGTAGTTTGAAGAGGATTGTTAAGAATTTTTGTAAATTAACATTTTAAATTCATTTTTTTGTTTTCCTTTTATATTTTTATGTATTTTTTCTCCGTGTAGTTAATGTCTCAAACACTTTCGAGAATCTCGCAGCTAATTTGGAGTTGAGTTTGCTTTAAAGTTAGAGCCATAAAGAGGGCTTCCTGGCCTGGCCCATTGTCTCTCAATGGCTCTTCGTAATTAAGTTGGCAAATTTGTGTAATGAGCGAGTGCAATTATACAGGCTGCTCCGTGTTTGGGCCTATGCAAATGCCACACATAATTATAGTTTGTGGATGCTGTTGTTGGCTGTTACACTGATGTTTATTTTTTTTTTTTTTTTCTACTTTGTGGTCTTTGGGTTTTGGCTTTGTTTTCCTCTTGGTCTTCGTTTTCATTTTCATTTTTACCCTGCAGTGTTTGCCCACTTTGCCAAGTGAGCTGGGTAGCGAGTGTGTGTGTGTGTGTGTGTGCTCATCTGCAAAATGCAAATGAAAGTCAAAGTTAATTTGTTAGATTTTCACGTTGAGATACAAGCTCGCGAGTCCGCAGGCAAAAACTGCGTGACGGTGATGAGTTACTTTTGCGGCTATGGTTAAATAAAAAGCAAAACAACAACAACAAAAACCAAGTAAGATAAAAGTGCCAGACCACGTCTCAATTTTCTGTCTGCCTCGAGTCTCGCGTCGCAGTGGAAAAACGCTGGAAAAACTCTCTACCCGGCAAATCAAAGGTGGCATTTTCGTAGCTGCGCTTGTTTGCCTCGGAAATGCGGCATACTTTCGGGCTGTTAATCAATTAGCGCTGCGGAAAATTAATGGCATCATTAATGGCTGGCTCTTCAGATTGCTGGGAAAACTTAAGCTTCAAGTAAATATATTTTAATTGAGGTATATAGGTATAAATTAGGAAAATATCCTTAGGTCTTAGGTTCATTAACAAAGTTATATTAATGCATTTTCTAGACTTTTTAGTTAGAAAATTTTTAGATTTTTACGAACTAAAATGGTATTTAAGCAGTTGCATTAAATAACTTCGAGTGTATTAATAGCAAACAAACTTGACTCATAAGCTTTAGTATTTAGCGTACTAATTCCCCCTACATGTCCAGTTCAATTGGCAGCTTAAATGGATTTCGCCTTGGCATTCCCCCAAGTTCAATGTCAAAATCGTATTTAGCTGGACTTTTCTCCATTCCATTCCTCCCCCATATATATACTATATATAGATACATATATCATCTATATACGATTCGGACCCCACAGTGCAGTCATTCCGTTTAATTAACCAATTCTCCAAACGAAATGAACATTTTCCAGCTGTGTTGGATACTGCTGCTGCTCATTTGTCTGTCCCAATCAACATCATCGTCATCGCCATCGCAGTTTTTTTTTTATCGTCATCATGGAGCTCTTCATCATTTCATCAACTGCACCCATGTACACCCACGAGTGTCGACACGAATGTGCGGCTGCAGTTTCCATTTCAATGCGCAAAAAACGCTTAAACTGCAATTTGCGCTTGTATTTCGAAGAGCAAAAAGGGGAAAAGGGGGGTTTGTTTTCCCCACTAATTAGCACATCAAATTCTCAGTGCACACGGAACACATACACGGCCATGTATTTGGCTTAAAGGGGTCAAATGTCAAGCTAAACGCGTTATTTGGACAGCCCAACTAACTGGGTTAACTCTGCTCGGCTCTTTGGAGCGTTAATCCCTCGCCATCAGAAGTAGTAATTACAAATTAACCGCAGTGTGTACGCAATTTTAGTAAAGTGCCTAAAAGTATGCTGTTAAAAATATATAAACTGGGGTAAACACAAATTTTAAGGTCTTTAAATTAACTGGCAAAAAGTAGTTCTTACTCTTGGTATAAAGCAAGTTTTTTTTATATATTTGAAATATAAAATTCTAAAGATATGTTTAATATACATTTTTTATATATCTGGAGTCAGTTTTTCAGTATTATATAGGTATGTCTATCCTAAAATGAGAATTATTAGAAATTTATTTGAATTTACATACGATTTTCATATATTTAGTAAGCTCCTTGTAAATCATATTTTGCGATTTAAGATCTCTTCCTTGCCCACACAACTCGGACTGCTGACTGATGTAATATAAATCTCACAATGTCTGTGGTGAGAGTTCGGCATCCCCGAACTTGGCATGAATCATCTGCTTTCAGAGACCATTACTCACGTCCCATTCGTCCGGCGCCAAAACAAAGCCAAAGACAGCCGAAGACACCGACCAAGAGCCAAAGGCATATTGTTCAAATCCACTTCGTCTGCAGGCAGGCCAAAGAGTTCAGTCGAAGGGGCCAAATTCCTAGTTGAAAATAGCTTTTCCTTGAAATGTCTTTGGACCAGAACGCGGATTCGATCCAAGCGATACGAGAGAATCATCCACAGAACAAATGGAAAATGCATTCTGCTCTTGTGCTCTTCTGCCGGGGCCATGACATTTATTTATTGTATGTTTCGGGCTGATCAAGTGGGTTGACTGAACTGACAATGGGCTTAACCAATTGTCAGTTTTTGGCATTTAAATCCCCTGTGATTCATCTTAATATCTAATACTTTGAGGGTGTATGCTTATTTGTTTATAAGTTAAATATATTGCTTGTTTGTAGTAAACATTTAAAACTGATTAATCAGGAAGAAGAATGTTTAAGCTGATGATGATGATGATGAATGAATCATCTTAGAATCATACCTTTAATAACATCAAACAAATGAACAAAAATAGTATTTAATTCATAGCCATAAAACATTTTTGGGGTATTTTAAAACTATACTAATTGTTGTACCTCTTTAGAAAGTTGTATCTGGACTTCTCCTTGAAAAATTACCAACATATTTGTTATATCTTTTTTATGCTCCATTGTTAATCTTTCTTTCTGCCGTCTTCAGTTGACAGTCAATTACTTTAATTGCTTAAATCTGTCAAGTAATCTGCTATAAGTTTATCTATAATTAAAAAGTCAAAGCAGCAAATTAACCAGTCTTAAATAAGTAATTGTTTTAATAATCCATACAAATTGAATTGACTGCCAAGCTGAAAACTTAAGGACTCTTTAACCCAATTTCCCTGACACACTGTCATTTTACCAGACTGAGTTTTACCGCCAGGTTGTGTTGGCTTTTATCGCGAATGCAATATGACATTTAATTTCCCGCCCGTACACCGCCATAATGGAGATCCATTAGTGCGGTGTCGCAGGATGTCAGTGCCAGTGAGTGATGGGTTGACTTCTGAGGAGTTCTAATGTGGAAAGTGTAGAATCTATATAGAGAAAGAGTCAGTCTGTGCTCCCACTGCCAAATGGAAGATATTTTCATTGCACTAATACCGCATTCTTGCAGATGGTAATTACAAATTGTTTTCCCTCTTTTATTTTCCAGCATGTCTTCCGGCCTGATGTCGTGTGTAAGGGAAAACTCGCCGCCGCTGGAATCGGAGTTGGATGCCACTTGTGCTGGGGGACCATTGTCATTGCCGGAGGGCAATCATGCCCATGGCCATGCCGTCACCTCAACGCCCATCTCCAGTCCAGGAAACGATGCCCACCAACAGACCCCAACTGCCGGTGAGTTATCTAATTGCTATCATAATACCCCTACAACCTAAGCAAATAAACATATTTATTACATATATATATCTACGATATTCCCTGACACAGAATTTCTCGTTAAAGAATCATTCAAGTGCGGAATGTGGGATTATGAAATTTCCTTGGGGCTTTCGGTCTCATTCATTCATTCTTAGGGAATCGCTTACAATATTGAAGATTTCTTCTTCACGTGTTCATCATTGCCGAGAAAATCCCCCAGGACATGGGTTGCGAAAAAGGTTCGCTGATTGCCAAAGGCTTGTGCGTTTTGGTTTTGATTGCCATCCCCAAAGGTTGACTGTAGTTGACGGCAGGGTTTAGCCTTGGCTTTATGGATGCTTTATGGGGTTTGAGTATCTGTTGGCTCTGTGTCGGAATGGGGGAAATACCTTAAAGGTTCTTGCCTAAGGTGATGCAAAAGGTTCCCTTAAAGACAGAATATGATATTCAAAATTACAATAAAAAGAAGATAGAAAACTATTAAACTAAACATTCATTTCAATCCCAAATTCAAATGGGTATAGCTGGGTAGTTTAAGCTTTATATCCTCATTGGCTGAACCCAAATACATATAAGGAATTCCAGCTATATGAACCAAAAGAAAACCTTGTATAATGTATTCCCTTTACACCCAGCCTTGAGTGAAAATGTCTGCAAATGGGATTACATCACTTTCCCCTCTAATACCATCGATCATATGGAACGAGATAGACGAGGCCCTGCTCTTCCTTGAAAAACTAAGTGAAGCAGCTTTGTCTGTGGCGGTTTGGCAGAGTTCAGAGCTGTGAACCCTCCGCAGAAAGTGTGCAAAAGATCCAACAAAGCCGCAGTATTGTAAATACCCTATATGATGTTAGGGATTATCCGACTTGGGCAGCTGTTTTGGGTAAAAGTAAACAGAGAGAGAGAGAGAGATGTAAGAGATGTTCGTTGGCTGGCTTGTTAGGTTGTTTCGTATGTGCATAATTAGATGGGTGTTTTGGCTTTTGGTTTGTTGACGCCGCCCCCTCCCCCTACCTCTTAATTCAAACACAGATGCAGATACAATGAGCCAGAGATAAAAGTGGTTATAATACATATTCAGATTGAGCCACATACTACTTACTACCTACTACTTCGTATAACTTAGTTCACATGTGAATCGGCCTTTGTCTATTTGTTTTCGTTGGGTTCGCCCTCTTTGGGCCACCGACAACTGAATAACTGGATAATGTTTATATAATTGTGGGTAATACTATGTACCTACTACACGTGCTAATTAACGCTTCCAACCCCTTCAACTTTCTATGGTTAATGCAAATTCGACCACAAAGGTTCTGGCTTTGGACTCGTAATGGGAATAGGAAGCTTTATCCATTTTTGGGGCCACTCGAACTGCGGTTGTTATGACAACACTAGTGGGTGAAAATGCCATCAACAATAACGGACTGTGTTTATATATATGTTTGTATATAATATGTATGTATGTAAATAAGTTTCAACATGAATAAATGTGCATAAACAGCAGGTTCGTTGGTTTAGGGTCGATGTACAGTGGGTGAAAACGATTTCTAGATGGCAGTTGTGTCATAATGTTATAGGGAACTTGGTTATATTTCGAACTTTAAGAAGTTAAACTATATCCTACCTTATGAAGGGTTATCTAACTACCTTTGAAAGATATAATTTATATGATTTGAACTGAATTAGAAACCTATTCTAGGTTTTTTAAAAGAATAAAACAATTGTTGTTATAAATACTATAGAACTGTTCCTTATATTCGAAACTGATTAGTTTAAAGTTTTCTACAGTTCGTTTAAGACTAAGACTATGAATCTAGAATCTGACTAGCAATCGTTTCACTTTAATATGTTTGCCAGCTTAACAGAGCATCAAATCTATATAAAACCTACGATATCTCATAAACCTAAAATCCTAAATCTTAACTAATTTAAATATGTTTTATTTCCTGACTTAGTTATTAATATTAAATCTGTGTAAGAGAGTTTCAAAGACTGTGAAGTGGTCAAACACATGTTTATTACCCTTATAAATGAGTTATAATTTACTCATTAAATGCTTTTTATAACCCACTGTGCCAGTCTGTTATTAACAGCTTTACAGCATAACAGTGCTCTGTTAGCTGTTCAGACACCTTGCCGACACTTGCAGTGGGAAAAGCCAGCAAGAAACCAAGCTAATCAGTCCGAATTGGCAACACAACCTGGCCAATAAGCCCAATCCCGCTGTCGATGACTCGATTCGATTCATTTTAGCCGAGTTCGGTTTTTTGTTAGCTGTTTTTGCTGCTTTTGTGAGGTCTTGCTCGGTTCGGCATTTTTTTTTTGTTCGCTTCGTAGATTTCAATTTCAGTTCCCGACTGGTGAGTACTGCGTTTCGAGGGGGTCTGTTATTTCGATTTCCACGGCGGCTCTTTCGCGCTGTCCCATTGATTCAATTCATTCTGTGCGCTCCGCTCCACCTGAACAGGTGAGCAATTTCGCTGCCCAAACGCGCCGGTTATTGAGCACTAATTGAATTGTCTTCGCTGTCGCTGATTGCAATCGTTGCAATAAACAATCGAATCAGAAATCCGTAACCCATAATCCCCAATTCGCAATACGCAAAATTGAATCCCAAAGATACAAAGATACAACGAAAAGTCAACAAAGTTTAATCAATAATATTGGGAAAACATACGAGTACAAGCCATCATTCGAGTCATCGAACTAAGTGCAAAGTTGTGTGTGCTATAAAGTGAAGTTAGAGATACATATACTTAAAGATATATACATAGATATATAGCAAATTGTGTCTTCTAACTGAAACAAGCTTGTTTACAATAGACAACAATCAGTAAAGTAAACAATTCGCGGGAAATTTTTCAGTTGAATAAAACATCTGCCGCTATTTTCGGCTTAATGATACATATTTAAACAGGTAATAAAAAAAAAATGTATTGTATTTTGTTGTTGAAATTTTTTGGGCCAGAACGTAGAGAAGTTTGTTGTTTAACCTCTTTTTATACCCGTTACTCGTAGAGTAAAAGGGTATACTAGATTCGTTGAAAAGTATGTAACAGATAGAAGGAAGCTTTTGCGACCCTATAAAGTATATATATTCTTGATCAGGATCAATAGCGAAGTCGATTGAGCCATGTCCGTCTGTCCGTCCGTCCGTCCGTCCGTCCGTCCGTCCGTCCGTCCGTCCGTCCGTCCGTCCGTCCGTCCGTCCGTCCGTCCGTCCGTCCGTATGAACGCTGAGATCTCAGGAACTATAGCAGATACAAAGTTGAGATTAAGCATGAAGATTCTTGAGGTCCCGGGACAGCGCAAGTTTATTACAGCATCCTGCCACGCCCACTCTAACGCCCACAAATCGCCAAAAACTAAAAGTGCTGAAATCTCAGGAACTATTGCAGATAGAAAGTTGAAATTCAAAAATTATAATCTTTAATTGGCAGCGCATCTTATAGTGGTACTACTATCCGGCCACACCCACCCATACGCCCACAAGGCTCAAAAGACGGTTTTCGGATTTTCTAGAAAAGCTGATATCTCGGTAACTATAAAAGATAGAAAGTTCGGATTCAGCATGTAGGTTTCTATTATGCTCCCAATGCGAATTGTTTTATTTCGATCAAGCCACGCCCACTCTAACGCCCACAAAACCTGAACAACCAAAAATGCAAAAATCTCAAAAACTATAAGAGCTACATACTTTTGTTTAGGATCACGTATTTAGGAGATGCCTTTGCAACTTTCCATGAAGTTGCATCCGGCCACGCCTACTCTGACGCCCACAAACCGCGGAAAACTGTGGCGTCTATAATATTATTATGAATGCCTTTGTTTGACTTTGTATAACTTATTTTTGTCAATATCTATCGATTTACCAAAGATTTTTCAAATCGGAACATTATTTCGCTATTTATGAAGAAATTAAGGTTATAAGGCCTCACATGGGCAGTGACGTCACTATAAGCATACTCAACATACTTCCTCTGAATATAGGTGGCGCCTTGTGAATTTCCACTAGCAAAATAATATTTTAAAATTTTGTAAAACAGTAACGGGTATCTTATGGTCGCGGCACTCGACTATAGCGTTTCCACTTGTTTGTTTTTAATTTTTATTCAAATTATTTCTGATAGTTGAGTGCCCCAAAACAAAGCTCCATCAGAACACCAAACATCAATTAAAACACCCAAAGAGCATATAGTTTCTCGCTTTATAAATATTATATAATGTAACATCAGTATAGAGCTTATCAAGCAATGATGATGAGCAGTTTGGGTTCAATCCCAGCTCCGGCGCGCCTCAAAGAAACCTCGTTACGAGTAGCCGGAGATTGAGGCAATTGCCCGCCAGACGCCTCTAATTGAAGTGCCATGCGAGTTGTGTAATCAATTTTGCCGCGTACCGCTGCTTGTCGATGTGATTTGTCGCATTCGAGTGCGAACAACAACTCAAATAAAGGCACTACGTTTTGGCCAGGTTAAGACTGATAAGCTAGTGGCCATTGGCACGCAGACGGCTGATTGTGGTCTTCCCAAGATTGGGTCTTCCTTAGGAAAGGGTCTTATGGGTACTTCAGTTTTACGTAAAATCTGAAGAACAGAAAGCCAAGTCATTAGTTACAAGTTTAGATCTAAGAAATTCTGATCTAATATATAGCTGATCTATATAGTAAGAGTCAAGTCTCTTTACTTATTCTGCCAATTTCCTTGGCAATCTTTAATAGTTCTCTGATAGCTCTAACATTCAGTTATTTATAGTCTTTCAGCATTATGTCTAATCTATATAGCCGCAAGTGCAGTGCGATAATGTATCTTAGTTTCTATTTGGAAGAATTACGCAGCAGTCGATTGGAAATTTAGCGTTTATTCGCTGTCTTGATGTAATTAATCATACGCCCTGTTGGACTCTTTGACCAACGAACTCAACAAACCTTGGCTAATCCATCGGCCAACCAACATATAACATTCAATTCTCGAGGCTTACAGCATTGCAATTTACAATATGCACGAGTAAAGCCAACATTTGAAGGTCTCTCGTTTTGTTCATTATTTTTTATTTTCTTTACTAGTTTTTCTGCGAGTGTGTTGTGCAATTCTTGTAGCTTTTGCTTGGCTCTTTGGGGGCTTCGGTTCTGGCTGGTTCTTGGTTCTCCATGTTGGTTGGTTAGTTTTCTATTTTTATTTTTATTTCCACGCAAGTGAACTCAGCACTTGTTAAGCGGATAAGCTGTGTGTGCCCACATGGGGTATTCCCAGCTCTCTGGGTTGTGCGGCGTTAGGATGTGGGCGTGGCCCACTTGACCTTACCCAATACAACAATCCCAAGCTGCTCACATCCGTTGGCAAAAAACCAAAAACAAAAAAAGGTCTCCAATTACTGCAACCGGCTGAAAAGTTGTTCGCAATTTGCATGTTCAGTGTGGGGCAACAACTATTTCTTTTTCTGTTTTTGCATTTGATTTTTGCCAATGATTAATTAATAAATAACGAACCCACAGCAGCCAAACCTCTTTCGAATTGCAAATTCAGAATCGACTGGCAATTGGTGTCAACTTGAACACCTCCAAAGTGCCCACGTGGTTGCTATTACAGTCTAACATTAATCCCATGGCATCTCAGGTTGCCAAATTGAAAATAAGTTTATGCCCCCAAATCAGTTTTGATGAATTACCAAAAGGCGAAGCCAAGATCCAAGACCAAAGATGACAATGACTTCAAGATTTCGCCCACATTCGCGGAAAAAAGCGAAACCCAAACTGATGACAGCAGACACAAAGCCAAGTTAACAACAATAAGGCGGGAGGGAGTTGTAGAAACGAAAAGTAATAACAAATCTTGCTCAATAGACTTTAGATGAATTAGAAACAATATATCCCCGCACAGTGCTGATGTAATCGGGATTGCCTCATAAAGTGAATCACAGCTTTGTTTAGATTTTACAATGTCGAACTTTTCCATTAAAAATACAACGCGAATCTTTTTGTTAATTTAAGAACTGACTGCTGACCCAATTAACCATTCCATAAATAAACAATTTTCACTTGTCAGCCAGCGATGGTGGTAATTCTCGCTCTCAAGGGCGCTTAAAATTCCATTAGCCAGGTCCCTAAGCAATTTTGGAGAGCAGACAGCCAGACACCCCAAAGGGCAATAAATAGAATGACGTGCCAGTGGGAGTCGTTCTTGTAACCCCCCTAGTTAATACATATTACTTTTGTTTCTTTTTTTATTATGACTAATCAAGGCGATGACCAGCCCCAAAGCAGGTGAAATTAATCATTAAAATCAAGCCATCACCAGGAAAAAACATAAATGAAGTATGCGTACCCATGACGACACATGTGTTTTGGCCATAAACAAATATATATGTATATGTACTATATACTATATACTATATAGTATGTAGTATGTAGTATCTTTTTCGATGTTCGCGTGTCGCGGCCCCAAAACGTGACTGTTTTTTTTGATTAGAGGTCGAAGCTTTCTTGGCAGAAAAGTTTGATTTTTGTTGTTGTTTTAGAAATTCTTGTACTTCCGTTTAGTTGGGTTCTTTTTCTCTCTAATTAATATATGATTTTACTTTGGTTTTGGAATGCAGACTTTCCACTGAGAGATGGGTAAACTTTCATTTCTGGTAATGACACACAGAGGGCGTTGAGTGTGTGAGTCACTCAAGAGATGTTGACTTTCAGAGATGACTAAAGAGGCTTATCAGTTTGATTTTTGCTTAAAGAGGTTAGTAGGGGTGTTAAGACATTTTATTGATTAATTAATGATTTTTATTTTAAACTTAGTTATTTACCCTTGACTTAGCTCTGATGCATGGGTATACTTACTAGGTTTTTGTACCTGCAAAAGTACTTTTCACTCCTAAATGATCGATAAGAAAATTACTAACCATTGTTCTTTTTTATTTCTTCTACCTTATCGGCCATCAAAGTTGTACAAACATTATTGAGGTCTATGGCCATAAAAAGAAAAAGCAATAAAAGCCCAGGCAACCATTAGAACTCAATTTATAATGGTTTATTATTATTATTATTATTATTGTATTAGAAATTGCACTGGCTAAACTTTCCTAAACATGGGATATAAGTTTTCTCTGCAAATCGCTTATATATGTTATATAGTTTATAGCGATAAGATATGACCTTGTCACTTAATTCCTAATACAGGTAGTGCACGTGGTGTCCTATCGTTCTTATCGACCATGCAGGCCATCTCTGTCACTCAGCACCATTCTGCATGTATTTCCCTTTCATTCGTTTCGGGAACTTCCACCCATTGAGAGGGTCTTCGACTTTTGCCTATTTATGGTCATGTTTTTTGGTGCCTTTCGTTTCGTTTCTTTTTTTCTTCGCTCGTTTATTGTTTACTTCTTATCACCCTTTGGTTCTTAGTATATTTTGTGGTCTTTACCTAATCAAGAAAATGACACAAAAGTTCTATTAACAATCAAATGCTTCAGCTGCTGAGTAACTTAGGAAGTTGACTGCTTACTACTTCCTCGGAAGTTGTTTATTGTTGACTTTTCAATAATTGGAAAATCTTTTATTTACGGAATTTTGATTACTAATTCTGTTTCCTCTGAAATGAATCTCTCAATCAGCACTTTAAGGAAAATCCATTTCCAACTTTGAATCTTCTTAAGATTCCATGGCTGTTACTGCGATAACGTAATAACCAAAGCTGATAATTGAATCCCTTATGTCTGAGTGGGAAAACCTAATCCCTGAGAGATTTTGCTCTCACTTTCCGTATATTTATTTATGCCCCAAATGTCAATCAAAAGGAAAGCCTCGAAATTGAGTTGACATCTTTATACCTTGTTGCGTCACCTGAGACAGGCAAAAAATGATTATCATCATAGAAGGGTGGATGGTTAGGGGTTTGAATTTAAATGTTTTTATTTAAGTAGTTTAAAATTTGCATAAAAAGGTAAAAAATAGGCTCCCTTTTAGTAGTTCTTCCAAGGAAAGTGAAGAAAATGTGTTTTACAGTCAAAGTTTGAACCACATTTTCGGAAATTGACTTTTTCCTAAGGCCTTATCCAAGTTATTTGATGATTAAATAAGAAAAATATCCCAGAGAGCTAACTATAGATTAATAGTAATATATAATTACAAGACTTTTCTTTCGTAAAAGTTAACCCCAGCAAGCCTCCGGCAATCTGCCTTTCTTAACTTTTAAAAATTATATATAACAAAATGTTTAAAAAATAATTTTGGTGTTCGTTGTTCCTCGGATTTATTCCTTCCAGAGCAACAAAATCAGCAACAGCAAAAGCGTCGCCGTTTTCATCCGCTCCGTAATCTGCGTCGAATTTTCCGGCGACGTACCATCAACAGCTCTGCGGACAGTCCCACAGCCAGTCAGTCGCCAGGACCTGGATCCTGCAACACCTTGCCACCGCCCGCAAGTAGCAGCAGTGAAAAGAATCTACGCAGCGGGATAATAGGCTCACCACCGGGATCTCCACTGAATAACCAACAGCTGAAGGACAACTATCAAACCCAATCGTTGCCCAAGTCCAAGTCATACGGCTCGCATCGCGATGAGCTGCTAAGCGTGCTCCTTGGCAAAAAGCGAGCCAGCAAACAGGATCATAGCCAGAGCGGAAGTCAAGTCCAGTCACAAACCCAGTCGCAAACCCAACAGGAAGCCATGTTCCAAGCCCAGCGACAACATGGGGGCGTGGCCGTCTTCCCAGATTCGATTGGTTTAAACAGGAGTAGCTACTTTACCGAGCAGCGAATTCAACAACGTCATCAGCGCAGTGTGGGTGACTCTTCGCAAGAACTTGAATCTGGTTCGGGTTCAGGTTCGGGATCAGGACCTAATGGAGCCGCCGACATCTCAGACAGCCAGCGCAGCCTGAGCGAGGGTCGTCTGCTGGATGTGGACGGGTGAGTTGTCCTGCTTTTCTGTAAGAAATTGGTTATAGAATCTTGATCTTACAGGGATTACTCTAGAGATGCCTTGTCTCAGTCACATGACAGCGTCTTCTCGGAATCGGCAACAGCCAGCAGTCTTTCTATTGTCCTCAAGGTGAGTTTTTAACTTATTTTTTAACTTAACTTAAAAATATATATTCCAAAAAACGTTAGCTTGTTAGTTTCCAAGCCTTACTGCTATACATTTATAATTCGATTTTCCGAATTCCACCCACTTGCTCCTTCATATAGGAAATGAATATGATTTCCCCTTCATTACGAATAAAGTTCAGGGCCCTTGGGTCACTGGGGGAATCCGCTGAATGTTTTTGTTATCTGGCCATTTGTGGGGCAATCAATCTAAATTGATTTTAATCAAATTCAATTGGTGCCTTTGTTGGCATATCTGCATTTCTGATGACCAAATCTCCCCCAGAGTCCATTGACTCACATTCAATGGTGGCTTTTGTTTGATTTTTTTTCTGGTACTCAAAATGTCTGAAAAGAAAAACAACTTTATAACCAAATTGATTAGCTGACTTATCTGCGATGCAGAACATCTATTAATTGGGGAGTCAAATAACCCAAAAACAATCGAAGCTTGATTGGTTAAGGGGGAAATCACATCTACACATCAGATATCTATATCCATTGATAGCATTTTCCTAACTACTTGAAAAACAATTGAAAATGCTAACAAATTAAATCAAATTAAAAGTTGTGCCAAAAGAAAGTCCAAAATGAAATAGTCTGGCCAAGATGGTTATCTAATAAACTGAAACATCATCACAAACATCATCATCACCATTACTGCATAAGTCAGTTGAGCGTTTTTCTCTTCTCCAGTTTTCTTTTTTTTTTTTTGTTTTGAGTGAAAAAAGAAAAACTGTAGGCAACGCACGCGTCTAGCAACTGGAAACCGAAACCAATGTTAGATATTACACAGTGAGAAAACACAGCCATAAATCATTTGTACTTTTTACTGAGTTTTAAAATCAAATACTTGCAGAAGTTTTTCCAATCTTTAAGCATTTTTCCTTTACCCTTTTCGTTTAATGAAGACCAAGAAAAGATCAACCGATTAAGATGAGTGTAAAATCAAGACAATATCTTCAATTTTGTTTTCTGTGCACTAACTGCACCACCCTCTCTGCCACACCTCCAACTCCCACTTTTCCCGGCGATTTTCCACCTCATGCAGCGCGTGGCAATTTGCGGCTTCTTCTCCTGGCAATCGGTTGCTACTTCTATTGCTTCTTCGGTTTCTGGACAAACGAGTTGCCAGCCGATGGTCGCTTGGCCGCTTCTTGTTATTCCACTTTTTTCCACTTGGCCAGTCCTCCTCTTTTTACCCCGTTTTCCATCTTCCACCTCCCTGCTTATTTGCCAACCTGGTTAGCAAATAAATCGCATTTCTTTCTGTTTCTATGCTATTGAACTCCTGCAAGTTTTCCGCTAAATCAGTTTGCATCGAGACTTTAGCCAGTGAAGACAACACGTCGTCGTCGTCGTCGTTGTCCGTTCCCAACGATACCAATTTCGATTCCGACTCCGATCCGCGCTATGTTCACGATCCTCGGGATTCCTGGACTCTAGCCAAGTGAAGAAGTTACCGAACCAGAGATTAAACGGTCCAATTGGGTAACTGTGGTGGAGATTGAAAGAACTGCGATTCCTTAGCTAATGGATTAGTTTGGTTAGGAAGGCGGAAGTGTAAAGAGATAAGAGAGTTTTTAGATATAGTTGATGGGTCTGGAAAGATATATATGGTCAAGATACTATTGGAACAATAACTTAAGCTTAAGAAGATGACATATCTCAAAGATAATGCCTTAAAAATCATTTGTGTATGTTCAAAAGTTCATCTTACAAAGAATGCTTTCCTAGAAGAAGATCTCAAAATCCTAGAACCAAACCAGAACCTCATCCATTCCTTTAGTATACACATCTTCTAAGACCATTCTGTCCTGTGAATTCCCTGTTAATCCTCCCGTCAGTTAAGTTTTCTATGAAAAGCTGAAGAGCAGGTCGGGAAACGAGCTTAGGTCTATAAATATTTACCAGCCACAGCAGATGTGATCCCAGAGTCAGAGCCAGAGCTCTTGGCCAACCAGTTTGATGAATTAATTGCGAATAAATAGAAAGAGAAAAACATCTACACGATGGCCATAATGGAAAAACTAAATGACAATGCAGTCGAGCAATTTGCAGGCGGGATTTCGGTGGCCAGGGGAAAGAGCATTTAGTCCGGACGACTTGGAATGACAGCGATATGGTAACACGGTAACACGCATTAAAGTCGCCTGAGAGCGAGCTTGGCTGTCGTCGGTCTTGGACTTGGATGTGGATGTGTATGTGAATGTGGATTGATGGGGGGAACACATTTCACACGCTTCTCACTAATTGACCAACTCTAGAGGGGATTGCAGGAGCAGCGGGGGTTAAAAACACACTTCAGTAGTACACCGACTTCCTAGCTCCCGACGGCGACGACACTCGAATTTTCATTTTCGGCCTACATTCGTTTTTGGTGAAAACAACATCATGAGATCTGTGACACTTCCCGTCTGGTGGGCCTCATTCCAGACATTATGTAATGCCTGAACCATGTCTGAATTTGCCTATTGCATAGATTTCCGCATCCATTAGGAGCACTCTAGCTATCCTAGGCCCAATGTCCAATCATCATCGGTGTGCATCCGCATTAGGATTTTAATTGCATTTCTTCGCACGCCAATGGGCGGCGCATTCTGGAGTTGGGGCAAAAATGCGGCCCATGTCCATATCGGCTGGCCACTTCTACTCTGGCCCACTTCCCGGCCCCACTTTCCGCCACTTGGGTTGACAGCCGAGGAGAAATTGATTCGCGATGTATGATGGCTGGTGATGTGATGTGAGGCAGACGGTGTAAAGCTGTGATGGGTGAGAGTTGGGAGAAGGGTTCTTTGCTGTTCACATGGTCTGTCTGCTTTTGCTTTGGAGAAAGCTAGTCTGAAGTTAAACATTTACTAAAGAAACATTTAGAATGTGCAACTAACTAATTGAATAAGATACAGTTTTCTGGTTGGAAATCTATGAAATTTTAGGTTTACATACATACCTTAACCTTTAATAGATAAGCCCCTTTCTCGTTTTTAACCCACTTTACTAAGCTGTATCAGCAAATTTAGATCTGCCATGCACAATTGCTATTGATCTACATAAATATTCCATATTCCATTAAAGATTATGGCCGAAGTCAGGGTCAATTCACGTTAACAACCACTCGCCGATTGGGGCTACCAGCTAAATGTGCATACTTTATAGCATTTATCCCACTTGCAGATGGTGGCCACTAACCATTGGCCATTTGTTTGACTCGCATTTAAAATGCAACTCGGATGCAATGATGCAATTGCATTTAATTCAAAGCGATTGCCTCGCCTCCCACTTGGCCAACTGTTGTGCGCTCTGTGCCCGTTCTCTGGACGAAAAGCTCCCCTCTTTCGGATTGCGGTAATCAATGTTGGCGGTTGTGTGTTTGAATGTGTGGCCATGTTGGGAGCCGTCTATCCACTGGCCACTGACTGGTTCCCCCGTCTGCTCCCGACCGTCAGTTGGCCCACTCGCCATCGCCAACACCAAGTGGGCCAATAAATCAGTGAACGTGACGGGTCGAGTACGCTCTGCGATTTTCCAACTCGGCTGTTTGAAGTAGAACTTGGCTAAGAAGTCGGGCTATGGCTATCCGGTACAGGTAGATAGGCGGATGATGGGTTAAGGGTCGCATGCACCAGGCACTACCTGTGCGGTATCGCCAAAAATTCCGCGAAGTTAGAGCAGCTGGCCAAGATTATGTAAAACATTTTAGGTTTGTTAGAAAGATAAACATTTTCTCGAACGACTTTCATTTTCTGACGAGAAAGATATTCACTGCAACTCAGGGATGCAGGCGCCCGGCAGAACATTGAACTCGCCCCCAAATCCCCAATTGCAATTGTTTAACTAGAATTGATGGGCGAGGTCTTTAACCTGAACCAGCCCAGCACTTAATCCTCGAGCAATGAGCTACCAAAAATAGCAGCCCCACTAGCAAAATGAGTCCAACAAACAGATGGCGACGTCACGCGCCGCAAAACACTGATAGATGAACGACATGGGATACGAAAGGGAAGGGAATTCTGGGAGTTGAAGGTGGTGGTGGTAGTATTCGTCGTTTTCGTTTTGTTTACTTTTGGACAGAAGTCGGGTGTCGGGTCCCTCGAATCTTACCCTTGAAAATTCAGTCAAGAGCTGACAATAAACAGATCTCCAGTGCCTGCCCTGCACCCAATTATGTTTGTCTAGGTAAAAAGCAAATGCGACGCCATTTCCATTCCCATTTTCATTTTCATTTCACTCTCGATGCATCTGCATCGAAATCTTCAGTTGCACATTGCACTTGGGTGTCGTCAGTTGCTGCTGCTCGAGTTGAAAGTGAAATCTTTGAGATCGCGTGATCCTCATAGGCAGAGATATTTTCCATAGTTTATTATCATCACAATGGTTGCCGGAGGTTCGGGTTCTCTTAGGGCGCAGGCCAATCCCTTCCAGCTTTCGTTTGCGGTAAGAATTTGAGCGGGTTTTCCATGCATATATATTATAGTCCATAAGGAATCGCAGTCCTCTTTTGGGAGCCACAGTTACTCAGCTTTAAAAGGGATGGCTATTCCCTATCAGTCATTTGTAGCCTCGTCTGTGCTGTGAGGCCCGCTAAATGATCGACTTTAAGCAGAATCCTTTTAAAATGAAGCTGGGTGGCTCCTCCATGGGCGAAAGCCGCCTGGGACGCAGTTGCCTGCGTGCTCGTTTCGTTTTCCGCTGGAAAAGCTGGGTAACCTAACCAAAAAGAAAACTAAATCAAAAAAACGCACATGCTAATGAAACCCAAAATGACCAACAAATTTATTACCTTTCCAGGCGGAACTCACAGATGTCTTGCGCAAGCGTCGTAATAGACCCGATGCCTCCGATGAGGATTTGGGTCTGCCCCGCAGTCCGGCCTCTCCACAACGCCGGGCAGCGGGTGGTAGTAGCAGCCGGAACACCTCCGGTGTAAGTCACCAGATCAGGGGTCATCATAGCGAGGTATCTTCGCTCAGCCTGTTGAGTGTTAACAGTGCCGAGGCGGAGACAGAAGATAGCCAGAGCTCCCATCACCATCGTCACCACTCACGGGTGTCCACCAGTTCATCCATCTCGGTGGGTTCGGATATACTGCGATCCCATCACGAGGACGATGTGGATGCCGTCGGTGGAGAACGCCATCGCCTGTCACATGCAGCAGCCAAGCACAAAATGGCCATTAGGCCTGTCAAAAAGAAGGGGCCAACCAGGCAGCACCGGATGACATTGGAGGTCAGTAGAGATGAACTATTGATCAAAATCTAGTTGCTAACTTAATCTTTTTGTTTTAGACTTCCATTCCGGAGGCTAATGAAGATGTGCTGAAAATGAGTCCTGGATTAAGAGCTGTCCATGGTAAGTACTAAGGTAGCTCCTGCATCTAACTTTTCCTAACGAATCTCTATGCCCCTTTCCCAGAAGCGGACCTCAAGAGCAAGACTCGATCTTTGCCACCGAAGACTCTGACTGCCATTGCGCCACCAGTCCAGGTGAACGCCGCCAGCTCGGTAACCACCAAGCGAACGAAGACAATCGAGCAGAGCTCCACCATCACTACAAAGACCACGAGCTCATCGTCATCTTCCTCCACAACACAGATGTTCGGACTTAGAGGTCTGAACACCAAGACCAACACGTTGCTGGAGAATCGCGGAGAGTCTTCCACAGATATCGATGACTTCCTGGCCAACGAGCGGGAAAGGGAGAATGAGAGTGGCTTCCTACGCCGCCTGATTCACCGCAACTCAAAGAGATCCATAGCCAGGGCTAACGACGGAGTTGAGGATACGGATTCCAGCCAGAGTGTGGCCAAGAAGTTGCAGATTTCGACTTCCTGTTTAGAGGCTGCTTCTCGGGAACCCCTAGTAGTGCCTGATAAGTCACGCAGTGCCACCTCCCATGAACAGCACATTCAGGAGACTCGACAGACGATCAAGCGGGAGATTCACAACGAGGGCAAGCACGGACTAAACGCCATGGTCAGTAACTACGGTGTTCATCCACATCCGCCCACAGCATTGAAACCCAAGTCAGGTCCTGCTGCCAGGCAGCGTTACCTTCCCAAAGAACTGGGAGCTCCTCCGCCGGAAAAGATCTCATCGGGCAACGATGTTACTAACTTGCTGTCAAAGAGCTCGCGGGGCAACGACACCTTCCAGTCCACCACTTTGGTCCGGGAACAGCAGACCAAAGTGGAGACCTCGACACATTTCGAGAGGAAACCAAGGATTGTGGGTCTGAGTGCCTTCCAGCAGAAGCTATCGCGTTCCAGTGACTCAGTGGGCCAGCACTCCAGCTCCTCCAACTCGTTGGAGACCAGCACGGATGAGCCCTCGCCACTGTACTACGAGGAGAAGCAGCGCAAGACGGTGGAGAAGTCGCGCAGCTTCAGGAACTACGAGGATGAGGTCGTGGACACCACAGCCGTGCACAATAACATGCCGAGTTTGCCGGATCTTTCGCTTAGTTTCCGGGTGCCAGCCTATTACAAGCAGTCGCCTCAATCTCCACGCTCACCCATTTCCCCTAATGCCAAGTGCGTGTCCCTGGGATTCGAGATCAACGATAACAAAGTGCTGCAGACTCGAGCTGAGTCCACCGGTCAGTTGCCGTCGGTGGCGAAGACTTCACCACAGAAGGCCACCCCCACAAAGGTAATAGTCAGCAGTCCAGGTCCTGCGAATATCTCCCAGGTCGAGCAGAATATGGATCTGGTCGTCAAGTCACCCATGGTGAGCGTTCTAAGGAAATCTGGAAATGTGACGGAGAAGTTGCCCAAGGAGCCATCTACTCCGCCCAAACAGCGGCCCAAGTTGCTGGATTTGGGAGCAAAGACCACAGCTCCCGCAGCGAATCCAAGTCCCAGTCCTGCGAGTCCTTTGACCAAGAGTGCCAAGCTCTCGAACAGTCCACCAACCACTCCGGCCAAGGGGCAGGGCTCCTCCAACAGCAGCCGTCGAAACTCCAGCAATGTGGAGGTTACTGGCGAGCCGGAGTTCATGAAGATCCAACTGAACCGCGTGGATCAGGCCCGTCTTCACAACAAAACCAATCACTTGGTGCTGGCCAAGAATCTGAAGACGCCAACGGAAAGGAGTCAGAGCAGCGATGACCTCAGCTTCAGGCGAAACAGCGGCGACAATCTGGCGGGTATCGAGATTGTGGAGCACCCACAGATAAAACCTCTAGGTCCGGTGGTCAGGCCAACGACAGTGGAACCCAGTTTAGGCAGGCAATTGAAATCCGTGAGTGCCAATAGTGTGAGGACGAGTTATGGAAGTAGCAGTGAAGGATTGGCCATCCCCGTATCTCCTGCCACCACACCAAGTACACCCAAAAGCAATGGGTTGTCCAAGGGTATTCCCAGTACCCCAAGGAATGTAAAGGAAGTGAAGGAGCAGCCAGTCAGTCCGAGGGAGTCCGTGAAAAATAATCGCCTTTCGCTGGAGGATCGCAAGCGGTTGTTCCTCAGCGAAGAGCGATCGAAGCCGGTGGAGCAGCGCAGGAAGTCTATTACCAAAGCAGAGAGCACTGCACCACCCACTCCGTCGGTGATTCCAGCAACGCCCGCCATTCCAATCACTCCGATCACTCCCACCACACCCGAGATAAGCGAGGTCAATGGAAACAGTTCACCCACTTCCAATCCCGTCGTGCTGCGCAAGAAATCCTTTGCCAGCTGCAATGGCAATGCCAGTCCCTCTAAGGATGATCCCACGCCCGAGCTGATGAAGGTTTTTGCCCGCCGCTCGCTGAAGGTGAAGGATGACGATGTGGTTACACAGCCACCAGTGCAACCTCCAACTCCAGTGACTACCAGCAAAAAGCTACCATCGAGTGGAAGTGGAGCTCAGAGCGTGGACAGTGACAAGGAGAATCAGTCGAACAGCGAAGAGAAACTGGACAAGCTGGCTACCAAGAACGAGACACAGGTTACCCATCATCCCAACAGCAATCGCAATTCGGTGGCAGACTTCCGCAATCTCAACAATAACAACAACAATCAGCAGCAGCAACAACAGAAGGTACCCCCCAAGGTGGTCACCTATCTGCCCCCCATTAAAGTGAGCAATCAAGGACGCAACAGCCTGAATAACAATATCAGCAATAATAATGCAAGTGCAAAGCCCGCCACCGAAAGGTTTTCCCTGCAACTGAAGCAGGCCAACCCGACAGCAACTACTCCAACGTCTCCGGCAGCAGCAACACCTGTTTCAGTCCCTGCAGCAACATCTGCAGCAGCAGCAGGAACGCAGCCACCCAGTAAACCCATCGAGAGATCAGCAACTGTGGGTGAATTCAAGGGAATCCACCAGAGACGCGCCGAGTGGGAGCAAAGGGCCAAGGAGGCATTGAAGTAAAAAGGTTTTGGAATTACCCAGACCAGACTGTACCTAGCCTAGCTGCAATCCAAGTGCTTTTGTCTAGTGATGCTCTCTCCTTCAAGCTGTCGAAAGCCTTTTGGGAGGCAACAAAATTACTAAGGGAATAATAATCAAATTATCATTATAAACATTAGCTAAAAAAAACTGTAAAGAATCGCAAATGAAATCAAAGTTGAGGGCGCCGGACTGGCGAGGTCATCCAAAGAAAATAGCGACCTTCTAGCGTCCGGCACCCAAAAAACAAACACTATAGGCAATAACTATATACTGATCTTCAAAAAGTGACTAGCGTATACTTATTTTTAGTCTATCCCCCGTAATATCGTTTACAAATTGAAAAATAAGCTTCTTTTCGAATTTGTTTTGTGCATGTCAAGAAATGTTATTAAATAAACACAAATACAACTAACTCTTAAATGAATCAAAAAACAAAAAAAAAAGAAAGAAAACTTTAAGGACTGTGAGTATAATTACGCGTAGCAAGGAGCCTGATATTCGAAACACATCTGATTTAACTTAAGTTGATATTTTGCAAGCTTTTAATCGGTAGAAGAGAATGATTTTACTTTATAGGCTAACTATTCTTACATTTTAGTATCGTATATATTGTTTCCATGACCTTGTTTATGTATAATCTTTAAAGTCTGCTGAGATTACAGATCCGTATATGTATATGTTGTAACGAATGGAAATTCAATCATATTCACACCCAAGTGTATTTAAAACATTGCGAGTGTACAATTGTTGTTCAATGTGACAATTTTATAAATGTACATACAACAAATAAAATCGAACTAATAAATATTCAAGAAAAAAAGTGTGTTATCTTTGTGTACTTTTCTTTAAGAAACTTTTTCTAACAAGTCATATATTTTACAAATCAAGTAAAATACAATATTTGCTTATCACTGTGATAGTTCATGTCAAAAATTATGCCAATTTTTGAAGGTTTTCTCTCTCGAATATATAATGCAACGAATTTCGAACGAATTTTGAATTTGGCGCCCAATTTTCGAATTAGATATGCCATTATCCAACACTAAGCAAACTGCGCAGTGCGAAAAATAGTGTGACCGAACCGTCGTATTTAAGGAATCCCTTTCTGGGTGGCAGCTCCAGCAGACACATGTGTTTCTCTGTATTTACAAAAGATTTCCCGAAAACAATCCAATAATGGTGGGTAAAACACACCAATAATAGTTAAAACCCATCTTATAGACAATTTCCTATTGCAGGTTAAGGGCAAGAAGCCGTACATTGACCGCAAGAAGGCGGTCACCTTCCATTTGGTTCATCGCAGTCAACACGATCCTCTTGTGACTGATGAAACGGCTCCGCAGAGGGTGCTCCTGGAGGTGGCCCGTCAGCAAAAACCTAAGGAGCCAGAGCCACCCACTGATCCCGCCCAGAGGCAGGAGGAACTAAAAAAGTTCGGTATTCACTTCGACGATGACTATGATTACATGCAGCATCTGAAGAAACGTGATAACGACGTGGTTTGGGAGTACATGGAAAATCCCAATCAAGCAAGGAAACATAAAGCCGAGGATGCTGATAAACCAGGCCCTGCACCCAAGCTTATCCTTCCCAGCTCCGTGTTTCCCAGTGAGTATGAGGAGTCCGTGGGAATGCTAAACCAGGCTGCTCCACAAACCTTGCGTCTCGACTGGGATCCCGATGTGGTGGCCGCTTTGGACAGCGATTGCGAGAACGAAGAGCTTGAAGATGACTTCGTGGTACAGGCCATGGCTGAGGGAGACTCCGATGACGAGGAATGGAATGGCGAAGAGGACGATGAGGAACACTCCGATATGGACTTTGATTCCGATGACCTGAACGAGGAGGAAGATGAGGACGAGCTTATGGATCGTCTGGCGCCATTGATGCGTGAACGTCGTTTCGACGACGAGGAGGTCAAGTCACGCTTTACTGAGTACTCCATGTCCTCCAGCGTGATTCGGCGCAACGAGCAGCTATCTCTGTTGGACGATCGTTTCGAGAAATTCTACGCCTCGTACGACGATCCAGAGCTTGGTGACCTGGCTTTGGAAGATATCGAGGGCAATTGGCACCAGAAACACCCCGTTGTGATGCAGTGCTTCCAGGAGTTCAAGAAGAAGGACAAGACCATCGAATACAACAAGGAGTGGGATCGCGAGCGCATAGAAAAATATAGAAATGTGGTCGAAGGAGAGCAAGATCCAACGGAGGAGTTGGTCGAATACGAGGTTGACGACCCCAAGCAGAAGAAGTGGGACTGCGAGTCCATCCTGTCGACCTACTCGAACATCTACAATCACCCAAAGGTGATCGACGAGCCACGACGGAGTCGTCGTTCCAGTGCCAGCACAAATCCAGCCCCCATCCAGATCGATCCGAAGACGGGACTGCCCACAAATGTCCTACGCGGTGGGGTCGATGGCCAACTGACAGCTAAAGCCCTGGCCAATCTGGCTGATGAATCACCCGCGGCCAGTGGGCCAAAATCACTATGCGCCAAATCAGTGCTATCCACATTGAGCGTCCTATCCATCAGGCCCAAGGACGAAACCCCCGAAGAGAAAAAGGAGCGGAAACGCTTGCTGAAGGACTATCGCAACGAACGGCGCATCGAAAAGAAGGCCAACACGGAGGCCTTCAAGGAGGAGAAGAAACGACAGACGCACGTTAAGATCAACCAGCGAACCAACCAGCAAGGTGCCTCCATTGTCTAGCTTTAGTTTCCGGTTCATTTCTCTAGGCTTAAATGTGAAGTGTATACACAGGCGTATATATTAAGTGATATCTATAAACAAAGGATTGGATAAACCGACAAACTGTTGCCGTGATTACTGAAATAGTTCATCCGAATTATATGCATTAGCTGCGGGAGTTGGAGTCGGCCAGGGATGTCTCCTTTTGTTGGCGTCATCGTCGGTTGTCAGTCGACCATTAATCAAAGTGGCTGACTGTGCCACACGCGCTGAGGCTATAAACCGCAACAACTATGCCACATCGCGATACCCTGGAAAAGAACGCAACGAATGTCCTGCCTGACGGCAATTAGCTTTAACTGACTGACTGACTGACTAGCTGACAACAAGTTTAGTCTAGCGATTCGCGAGCTGCTAACTAGCTCGACGGGCGGACATAAAGCGGAATCAACAGCAAGACAATCGAAGCGAATATAAAATAAACTCGAATTCATTGTCAGTTGGCGAGCAGCAACAGCACAACAACTATAAGAATGTTATAACAAAGTGGCTTTTACCTTGCCGTGAGTCCATATGTACAGCATGTAGTAGCGCCTACATCAAGTATATGCACGACAATATGTCTGTGTCAGTGAGCTACTATATATATATATATATTATAGTCGTTGGTCCTATAAACGCGATTTGTATTTACACAGTCATATAGAAATTTCCCACGAGGGCTGAGGCCTGGGGGCCATTCAGGCCTCATTTCCAGCCCTTGGGCACTAGTTACTGGCAGGTGGGGATTCGCTTTGGTGTGGCAGTTGTTTAGTGTTTTGGTTATTTTGTGGAATTTTCAAGTCAACTCGCATGCACTTTGTTGGAAAACCCAACCGATGTCAGTCAACACCAACTGTTAGGGTTATGTCGAGAGTCTCCATATATGCCTCTACTGATATCACATACTAAAAGATTGTCGTAAGCTAGAAATTGGGATTTGCAGAGATTCTTATAACTGAAAGATCATAACTTCTCCCAAGATTTCAACAAAACAGCTTTACCAAGTTAAGAACTCGAAATCACAATCACATAAATATCATTGACCTTTTTGCCATATACCAAAGACCTTTAATAAATTAGCCATAAACTGGCAGATGGATATGTGACAGTTATTGGAAACAGCCCATTCATTTGATCATTCTCGTATGGGGGTTGGGGGTTATGGGGATTAGAAAATCCCAAACACACTTCCAGGGAACCCAACACCAATTTGCGAGCAAACCGTAGGTTGTGGTGCCCATGCAATCGTCCTTCCAGGCACCACGAATACCCATGCCAATGCTGATTCCGAGCACCGAGCCCAACTCCCATCATTGTAAGTGGAAACCCGTTACAGTTGGTTGTCGTGCCTGAGCCTCCGCAGAACGTTGGGGGATTTTTTTTTCGTATATCGTATTAAAGTTGGCAAGGCGAGCGGCCAAGAAATTCGCGTATTTTCACAGCTCAGTTCCGTTGAGTTCGGTTCAGTTCAGTTCCTGAGCGAAGGCGAACGGATTCGGGCGCGCGTCGTTCCCGTAGCGCGGTAATTCCCTATATAATATCATATATATATACACATATATTTGAATAATACGGCCTGGGATATATGATGGGTGTACTGCGGAGTTCGCGTGAGGCGGGCGTTAAAGTCGCGTAATTTTGGGACGTTATTTTTTCGGAAATGGATCCCCCGATGGAGCATTAATAAATACCACTAACTACATAATTATTGTAATTGCTGGGTATCGAAAATCCTCGATTTATATAACAAAATGCGGCGGCATATTCTAGGACGCATTTAAAAATCCATTAATATTAATCCAAGTTGGATCTTTTGAACATAGCCGCCCCGGCAGGATCCTCCGCATGAATATTAATGGATTTTATTTAATCTGTCATCTGACTTAGTGCGTGTTTTCAATCAAAGTGAAGCCCATCATTCATTCAGCGGGAATCTTTAGAAAAAAGTATCTGTGAGATTAACGTTATGTGACATATGGTGTGAGTGATTTAGGCATTCCTGTCCACAAGATCCATATCTGTGTGTGCCCACACCACTTGATGAGACCGGGCTTAGCCGGATACGGTTCATCTCACGATCTGCATACAGCCGCATTTATATACTATATATAAGAAATATATATATATGTGGTCGCTTGAGCGCTGGCAGATCTGGAAGTGGAATTTTTAATTTGCGCGAAAATACCCATTGCCATTGCCAATGTCAGCCGTAGAAAGTAATTTATAGGAAGTGGATGTCCAGGCAATTATGTGTGTGCTTCTGCTACTGCTACTGCTGCTGCTGCCCAGGAAGCCTGTAATTGAAACCCTCGATCTATCTATCCAATCCACCTCCCCGGTTATTTGTATAGAAGCAGATATCTACCAGATATCGGTCGCATAAATAGTCGCATAGATTGAGCTGTTACACCGTCCACCGTAAAAGCTGTCTGTCTGTTCAGCGACTTAAGTAAAATTGGCACGCGATTCAATTGAATCTTGGCGAGAAGTGTGCTGTGTGCCCTGTGCCGGGGCAATTACCAGTACATTACTATTATGCCATGCCTTGACCGCCGGCGAAGCTCCAGCTCCTTCCGACCCCTTCCGCGTCCAAAACTACAGTGGGAATTCTCTAGCTTGAAACCTTCTATCGACCCACGAACCGATTATAAATAACATTAATAACCACAGTTTTTAGTGCAGTTTTACCTTTTAAGCTATAATTTCAAATTAATTTAGAAGCTCCTTAAAATGTTTCTTAGTTCTTAGGAGCTGGATAAGTCGTGATGAATAAAACTTCGTGATTTCCAGCCGAAGAGTTCCCACTGTAAATATCATTTTACGGCGGCAAACCAAAATCGTACGCCCACACAATCGGGTGTAGAATCTACATATCACAGATGCGGATACAGATACTCGTATCTAGATGAGCACACTTTCTCGGCTCTTGTTTATTCGAGTTCCGAACAGCAGCCGAGCCGGAGGCAAAACCTTGCGGATAACGATAACCCTAAGCCAGGACTAATTTCTGAATACGATCTCTGCTCTCTCTCTCTCCCTTTATATTTACATATATCTTTTGTTTAGTGTTCGTGGCGTGTATAAAAAGTGATAGATCGCCCAAAAAAAAAAAATAAAAGAATAAAAAACAACAGAGAGCAAAAATAAACGAAATCATAAACAAAATGTAAGACCAAAGTACAGAAAGCGAAGGAAAATAAAACATACAAAATAAGCAAAGGCCAAAACCAAATGCAAATGATCGAAAATATTGTGTTACAGAAACCGAATTATGAAATTCCCACGTCGGTGTAAAGTGAGATGATTTGAGGTCTGTGTGTTACAAATCCTTTCCCGTGCCGTCGCCCCAACATCATGCTCGACAAATTCAACACAAACGCATTCATATCGTTTGGACTGGGATTCATACTGATGTGGTAAGCTCAAGTTACTCATTCCGATTCTGATCCCCCATTATATGGCCATCTGGAGCTAAAGACTCCAAGTGCAACCCCCAAACTCCAACCCCCAAAAACTTATCCCAGACCCAGAATCGTTTTCCAGTTCAAGGGGAACCTTCGTATTGCCAAATGCAAAAATCGTTTCAGTTCAGTTCAGTTAGGTTCGGTTTTCTGGTTTCGATTCGAAATATGTACCGATAGCAAGGTCAATTGGATCACAGTCAAATGAGAATCCTGCACGGCATATACGGCTATGGATTGGTATGGAGGAAACTAATATTATTATTCGCCTGCCAGGAGGTTAAACAGCGGAACAGAACCGAACTCAGCTGAACAGAATCGAATCGAAGCTCCGGCCAGCACGAAGGAAGTTAATTTCAAATTCAGACTTAAATTGACAAAGTTTGCTACAGTTGCATGTGGCAGACATCAAGCAGAACCCAAACCATTGAAAAAGGGGGTAACCCCCTACTTACTAAAGAAAAAAGAACTGCATTTGAATTTCCCCTTTTGTTTTGTGCTGCTCATTTTGCAGGCTGAGCGAAGCCACGGAAGCCCACATGAACTACACAGCCAAGCCGCGAGTAGTTCTTCCGCCTAATTATGTCAAGGGTAAGTTTAACTATACAACCTCCTATAGCTTTACCACCTAATACCAAGAAGCAGCCCCACAAACCCATTCAATACAATTGTTATGGTCTGTAAATCGTACTTCTCGGAGGTGTCCTTTTCGATGCGGTCTCCTTTTGTTTTTAATTGCCACGGATTACCCCCCTCTATTTTTTGTGATTTCTGATTTGTTTGCACCATGAAACCGCCAACCATGGATATGGATATGCGTGTTCGGGTTTTTCCTTCACTATTTTCTTCCTTTCCACTGTTTGATTTTCTTTTTTTTTCCTGCTCTTTCTCTCTGCTCATTTCGTGACGCGGCGAATTTCAGGGCCTCCGTCTATGGCATACTGGGTTAGGGTTACGGTTTACGGGCTAGGGGTCTCCTTTTGCTCAGTCTCCCAGTTGGAGCTTTTGACGTCATCCGGCATTACGATCGATTAAAATCAAAATAACATTTACCGGCGTCAATTGGCTGCCAGAATTACCGAAGAATTTGTGTAATCAGAAGATCTAAAGGAGAGACCTGACATTAAAGTGCCATTATTCCGTAAATAGTTTCATGCTAAACGGAAACCCTTTATTCGGCTTAACCTGCATGCTTCACTAGCTTAAAATACACCCCAAGTCCTTTTTACATATATTATTTACCCTTGTTCTGGTTTAAGCTTATAAAAGTTTAATTTAACCTATAATTACTAGAGTTCACTAAACCCAAACTTGACCATAAATTACCCAAACAATACCTGACTGGGGAATGTTAAATAATAAATCTAAAATATATGTATATTGAAAACAAGCAGATGGCTATCTAATTAAAAATATTGTAAAGGCAATTAGTGAGATTTGAGAATAACAAGTTTTGGAAAGTTTATAACCTAACTGGATTCCCATTGATTCAATAAAATCGAAATGCTAACATTCAACTTATGCAATAGCTGCATTTGTTGGCCAGAAGCCACCTGCAAGAGGTATGAATAATTTACCAAAATTACCCAGAGGCGTGTTCTCTTCATTTGAGGCAATTGCTGGAGCTAATCAACACCTTTATTTCTATCGATTTTCGCCGGTTGTGTAATACGCATTAAAACCGTAGGCTGCCCCTGAACTTGTAGGGAACTCGGGGGTTACATTTTATTTTCTCTTTTTCTTTTTGGAAGTCCAGACGGAGACTCCCTTCCCGCCTTTTAAAATGAATTCGCGCACGAAATTTTTTGCCTGATTTAGATGGGAGGCACGGAATCGTAAAGCTATTTTGCGAATAAAATGTTCACACCAAACGTCGGCTAACCAGAGATCATCGCACTTGATTTATTGCAGAGATACGACCGCCCTCGAAGAAGGGCTCACCAGTGATAGTAGACTTTAGCATATTCGTTGTAGATATTAACTCAATTAATGTAGAGGATATGGACTTTAGGTAAGTAGCTCAGTATATCTGGAGAGAGCTCAATCGTAGAGATCGTAATGGAGCATATAGCAATACTGTGTACATTTTCAGAGTAGACATGTTTATACATCAGCGCTGGCTGGAGTCACGTCTGGAGATACCAGACGACATATTCGAGGAGGGTGATGACTATGTGACGCTGCTTCCAGAGGTCTTTGAGAATTTTTGGCAGCCGGATCCGTATTTTCTCAATTCCAAAATTGCCGGTACGTCCTCCAATTCCCAAATTAAGTCCTATATTTAGATATATTATATTATATGTATGTAGTTTAAGCTTCATGTTTGAGTAGTCAATGTGTCGATGTGTATTTTACGTATCTATGTATCTTGGATCCGGGATTCTCTTGCACTTTGTCCAGCTGAGCTCATCACCTTATGTGTCTAATTAAAAAAAAAAAACTTTCTAAGTCTGGGCCGTTTGTATATAGTAACGAATTACTTTGTTTTCCTTTGTTTATTTGTTTTTTTCCTAATCCATCGGTTAATAATCCACCGACTAACAAACAATTCCCGAACTAACAATTCTGCATAGGATACGGAAGTCCATATGTTGCGTCAACTTCCCTGCTACGCAATAAGGGTGAAAGAGATTCGAAAAACTTTCATCTAGACAAAGATATAAGTATATCAAAAATGACTCTAGATCTGTGTTTGCCACTTTTGTGTTTTATTGCCAAAATCCATCGAAATCGAAAATCAGTTTCAGTTTCAGTATCAATATCAATATCAGCGCATAACTTCCATCCAATGTATCCTGTATATTCAACATTCTTCGAAATCTATCTATGTATACCGACTACGTAATGGGCTGATTTGAATGAATTCTCTCGTGCCATATAGTTCTTTGTGTGTATATATATATCCATACATCCCATGGAAAACCCAATGTACATTTAAGTTTTTCCTTTATTTTTTTTTTTTTAATTTCCCCACCCAATACCAGACCCGCCCACTTGCGGACCTCATTATACGCACGAAATCCATTCCGGTTTCAATGCCATGGTCAAAACAGGACACTCCAATCCACCGTAGTGCCACCCCTAAAACTCCAACCTTCCCTGACCCTCCCCCACGCTCGAAATCCGAAAATGAAAATTTGCAGTTGCACCCGGAGTTCTGATAAGATCTCACCTTGGAATCACGTGTGCACCCGTTGGCAATTTGGTTTTTTTCCATTTTTGGTTGCCATTGTCAACATTTACAGAACAAAAATCGATTCCGAATCGGTAAAGCTTTATATTTATATTCCTTGTCATGATTTGTGTTTAACAACACAGGTAAAAAGATTAAAATTTATTAAACAGTTTGAATTTTTGGTTGTCACGATTTGTTTAACATCACAACACAGAACAATTTTTATTTTAAAAAATATTTTAATTTCCTATATTATTCAAGCCATTAGGATTGTTAAGTTCTTATTATTAATACAATAAAATTATTTTTGAAATCACCTTAAAAAAGTAAATGTATAGTTTCCCAAACCCATTCAAAACAAGAACCATTCGTCGTCAGTAGAATATCGCGCTTGAACCTAGACATAAGGTGATCACGATCACGGCACCACCAATTGGTCCACCTAACCACTGAACCACCACCGAAATGAGCAAAGAATTGAGTCTAACGATGCCAATGCCATAGTTCTAATCAAAACCCATTTGTTCCGCATCTCTGCAACGTCTTCTCGATGTCTTTTCGTTGTAGAAATAGCGACACTGACCCACAAGTTCACGTCGGTGACGCTCTACAAGAACAAGACGGTGCGCTATGCGGCCCGGATGCACGCGATCATCGCCTGCCAGATGGAGTTCCAGCTGTATCCCATGGACATTCAAGTGTGTCCCATCTATATCGAGAGCTGTAAGTGGTTTCTAACACTATACCTTCAGACTTATTTTATTCGTGTTCTTCCTGAAGTCTCGTCGAACAACCAAAAGGTGAAGCTGCGCTGGTCAGATTCCGGCGTAACACTCAATCCAGAACTAAAGCTGCTGCAGTATAATCTGGGTCAGCCGTTGGAACTGGAGGAGAGCGACGGCTATATGCCGGAGAAGGTGGGAAACTTCTCCCGGCTCACCGTGTACTTCCGCTTTGAACGCCAGATTGGCCACCACCTCATCCAAACCTTTGCCCCCTCCTCACTGGTGGTAATGCTCTCGTGGTTCAGTTTCTGGCTTGGACTGGACGCCATTCCGGGACGTGTAACACTGCTGGTGACATGTATGCTAACTCTGGTGACCATGTTCACGGGCGCCGACATTCCACCAGTGGCCTATGTCAAGGTGAGTGATAAGTAGTTCTTTAAATTACACAAAATCAAAGATTTTTTAGAAATTACATAGAATTTTGAGGTGCAAGTTCCCCAAAAAGGAAAAATTCGAACTAAAAGATTTCTCGTTTCAGGCCCTGGATCTATGGATGGCCGGTTGCATGCTGTCCGTGTTCGCCGCTCTGGCCGAGTTCGTGGTGGTGAAAGTGCTGGACGTGCAGTACCAGTACCAGGTGAACCGAATACCCAAGGTACTGCCCATGGTAAGGCAGCTGTGGGGATATCGTTTTAATAAATAATACCACCTTCTTGTCGTTCCGATTTCAATTCGATTCGCGTAGCGCATCAGTAACATGGAGAAGGGTCAGTGTGCGACGGTGGCCAGTTGGGAAGGAGGAGCTGTGCGGTCGCGTAAAGCCACCCAGACGCCCACGACGCCGGGCCAGGTAAGCTATTAAACTACTGATATGCGGGGTGAACCACTGCACCTGTCATGTCCGCACATCAGAATTTGCAATTGAACGGGTCTAGTAAGGTGTACAGCTTTCAAAAATATTCAAAAACAAAAATTTTAAAAATATGTATCTATAATTTGATGCATCTTATCCGTAGACTTCGCTCCAGGGAAATGGTGGACCGCCAAAGCCAGCAAGACGACAAAGTCTGCTTTCCGTAGCCTGGACGGATACGGATACTGGTGTGGAGAAGATTATGTGGCGGGAGATTGACAAGGTATCCCGCGCCGTATTCCCTATCCTGTTTTTCGTTTTCGTGCTTCTGTACTGGCCGATTCTACTGATGAAGTCGTCCTAGGATTTGGGGAGCTCCAGACTACATATGTCTGGACTCCGTTAAAAAGTCAAAGAAATGCGAATCTGATGATGATGGAACTATAACTGGACTGGACTTAGAGCCCAAGTGCAATGACAGAGACACCAAGTCTTTGGATATTAAGAATATGCAAGGAGAGCTAGCCACACAATACTCGCTCTCTGTCATCGAAGTACAAGAAACCACAAGGAAAGTCTACTGTTACCTAAATAAGTGCGTGCGTGGGTATTAGTACACCTAGAGATCGGGTACATCGAATGTACTGAGTATATAGCTTAGTTATGGACTATTTGCTCACACGGAGAATGTATTGTTCATTTCAGTATTTGCTTTGTACAAATCCGATCTTGTCTTGAACGATATCAATACCTCCCCTATATTATTTTAAATCTATGCTACAAACAAAGAATTTTACGTACATATGTCTCTTTCGGACACCACGCACTTCCCCACAGGGTTAAAAAGTAAAAAGCTTCAGCTAATCTAGGCATTAATCATAAATCCCACATCGATTTACCAAAATTTTGATTTAGTTCTTGTCTTATATACACCGGATATTGAAGAAATGTATATCACTGTGCTAGTGACAATACTCACAATCGAAAGAGTAGTCCCTACTTTCAAAGTATAGACTCTCTATCTGAACAACTGCGAGCAACACGCATTAATCATTTTCTGGCAAACGATTTTAATTGAACTTTTGTATTAGGCTTAAGCAAATCAGCCAAGACATGGAATTGGTGCTTTACGGAGATAATAATAACACAATGGCCTCTAAGGATATTTGGATTGTAAATAATGAAACGAACCGTGAATGCTTTTAGAGATTTTTACATATTTAGAATTATTTATCCATTATAGCGCATTTTAATGCAAACATTAGAGCTGTGGCTTTTACATCTAATACTAAAAAAAAATTGACCTGTAGTTCAAACCGCGCACATCAGGCAGAATTTTTGAAAATATAAACATATTATATATATTTGTTAAGCTAAATCGAGTTTATATTTGATATGAAAATACAGACACAATGTAAATACATTACATCACTACTATATATATATTACATGCATATATTTATCTAGGATTGTATGTAACTGCTATACCAAGTTAAGTTTATATAAATATCTATATTCTTTCCATCTTTTAAGTTATGTTGTTCACTCAGCTACTCGTAGTTCAGTGAACACTCTAATAATGTTATCGAAAAGCTTTAAATTTATTCTTAATAAAAGACAAGGCGCGTACATCTATCAAACAAACTAATAGTTCATTTTTGTAACAGCATTAACACGAGGATGATTAACTCCTAATCCTCTTCTTCAGATCCGCTGTCACTCTCCTCCTCATCGGTAAACTGCGATTGACCATTCTCGTCATCTTTTGACCTGATAAGTAGCATTTCCTCATCGCTATCTTCTTCTACAACAGTTGCTTTCCCCTCATTTTCCTGCTCCAACTTATCTGCTCTGTCCAAAAGCACTCTCAAAGTATATTTGTTATAATCGCAGCTAAAAAATAATAAGGATTCAGTTAGACTTGTTTATTTGGCAAAAGAATTATTACTTACATCTTATTGAGCATTTCGTACTTCCTCGAGAGCACCTCGTGCAGGGCCAGCAGACCTGTGTGCTGAAAGACTCCATCCTGATTACCGTGTTTGGTCAGTAGACAACAGCTCCATTGCAAATAGAATTCAATGTGCGGTGTTGACTGGAGATGGCGGGCCAATTGTTGCAACAGTCGCTGGGCAAACTCCGGCGACAGATCCGCACAAACCAATTCGACTAAAAAGAGGGAAAGGAGCAAGGACTCAGTATGCATGCAATGCAGACACGTGCTGGCAGAACTCTTTATGGCCAGCCATTTGCATGTAGTATAATAGTTCCTATGCAAGTGGTATTGGAAGGGGTTATTAACCAAGGTAAGCGCTGGGGCGAGGACCTTGAAACTGTTTATTAACACAGCAAAAGTGCAAATTTGCACATTCGATCGGAGAACGGAGTCAGGGCAAAAGGCGACCGCCTCTCCGCCGGAGTGTGTCGCCGCTATTTTTAGTCGCGGCAGGGCTGAAGGTTGTCCAAACTGACAAGGACTGGCCCCTAAATGCAGCAGGCGATTTAGCATTTTACTCACTGTCCTTATACGGCACTCGCTCCAGCACTAGGGCAATCAAATTGGGCTCGTTTAGCTTCAGGGACATGACCAGCGCCTTGGTGTAGTTTTGCTTTTTAAGCGACTCGTGGACCGCTTTCGGCGTGACTTCCAGCGATAGGTCAAAGGGATCAAAGACAACGCCTATTCATAAAAATAATTTAATTTAATACCATTGTATTGAAAAATGATTTAGGCCTACCCTTATCCAAGGCATAAATGCAGAGTCCTTCAGTTCCTGCAGCTGCAAATGCCTGACCCGTGGGTGAGAACTTCACGGAGAACACTCTAACCTCTTGCTGGAATCGCCTGGAGGACATGTCTCCGCTACGTACTCCCGGCAATCTAATCGCTACCTTTCCTCCCTCTAACTCTTCACGTTCTTCCACCAGTGCCATGTTACCAAATTCACTTAAGTGCTTACGACTTATGAAGTCCTGTAAAGAAAATAATAAGTTAAAGTACAAATGTTTATCTTTGACTTTGTAAACACTTACATTAAGACCATCTAAGCTGTGGTTTTGGGTGATTTCGAATTTCTTCAGAAGTATAGCCTCTCTGACATGGTATATGCAGATGTTTGCCGACTTACCAGCAGCCAGTATGCACTCTCCATCCGCGGAGTACTCAATGGTGGAGAAATAACTAACAAGAATTTCAGTTAAATTATGAATTCCTTAGGGTCAAATAAAGCTTCTTACTTGGCCTGGGCATTCTTTTTGGCTGTTATTATATCGGTTTCCAGTCGTCCTCCGCTTAAATCATTACGCCCCTCTATGGCACTAACTTGGCTGGCAGATTTGATGTCGAAAATGGTTATATTACCACTCAGAGTGGCCACGGCAATCTAAACGGTAAAACAATTAAAAAAGAAATAAAAAACAAGACAAAGGCACTTACCTCTTCACCGCTGGGACTGAAAGTCACATTAGTTACATCTGAAACAGCATCAATAGATTCATGCTCGCTGTTGCTCTCAAGGCAGTTCCAAATCTTGACAGTTTTGTCCCAAGAACCAGACACCAGAGTTGAAGAAGTAGCTACCGGAGAGAATGCCAGGGAAACCACAGGTCCCTCATGGCCGCTTATGATTTCCAGCAGCTTGCCCGTCTTTACCGACCACAGGAATATGTCATAAACATCCTGCCCACCAGCTACAACCAACTCTCCAGAGTAATCCACAGCTACGCAAGAAAACTGTACAGGATTTGGTGAGGTAAAAGTTCTAAAGTTTCGGTATCTGAAAATAAATAAAAAAAAAGATTAGTATTATAGTAGTAGTTAATTTAAGGACTGAATAAAACAAACCTATTTACGTCAAAAGCGCGTACTGTGCCATCTAGTGAGCTGCTGACTAAAAATTTCTTGTTCCTACTAAACTGTATCCCAGTTACTCCACTTGTATGCTCGCTGAACGTGACAAAACAGAAGCTGCTCTGTGTGTTCCACAGCTTCACTTTTGAGTCCTCGCCACCAGTGGCAATAAACTGACCATCGGAAGAATATGCAATGCAGGTCATCTCACTGCTGTGTCCTTGCTGCTTCATAATGTACTGCTCGCTCTGCCACTCCCATACCAAAAGTTGCCCAATCTCCCTGGAAGCCAATGCCACCCAGTCGCCAGTGCAGTTGAAGAGGGCTGCCGAAATGGGATAGTCGGAGATGCTCAGCGAATGAATCATGTTGACGTCCGGCAGTTCGTAGAGGTAGAAGGCTCCGGAACTAAATGCCACAACAAGAACCTTAGTGCGAGTGTTGTAATTGGCTGCGGTCAGTTGAACATCCCGTTGCTCCTTGCGCGGCTCATCGGCCAAGTAATGCCGAGTAATTTTCTTGTAAAAGAAAGGATGACCCTTTCTCTCACCCTCATCTTTTACTTCGTTGACATCTTCGGCTCCTTTGGAACCCTCCTCCTTCACAGCCTCCGTTTCCACCACATTTTCAACGTCATCTTCGGACTCATTTTCGGGTTCAGCCTTTTTCTCCCTCTTTGTCTGAGGAGGAGCAATCGCAGGTCTCTCTGCGTCCTCCAAATCCGAAGGAGCCATACTGCATTCCCACAAACACAGTTGACCATTTCGACTTATGGTATTCAAGTGCAAACTGTTCGATTCAAAGAAGCAGGCCACAATGGCATCCGTATGACCACTTAGGTTATAAGTCCGGAAGTTCTTCGTATAGTTGATGGCGCAGATTTTGGTGGAACTATCTCGGCAACCGATGGCTAGGAACCTGGAATCCGAGGACCAGTCCAGCCATGTGACATCGTCGTAGCCACCGAGGAATCTTCTCCTCAGAACGAATGGATTGTACTCCCCAGTAATCTCACCCGGAGAACAGAATATAAGTACTACGTTCTGGACAGCCACTGCAAAGAATGCGCCATTTGGACTGAAGCAAATGCACTGAACACCCGTCTGGAACTTATGCCGATGAATTACTGTACATGACATCATGCTGATGAGTTGTGCCTCTCCTTTTTCATTCACTGCTATCAGAAGACTTCCATCTGGCGAAAGAGCCAGGTTCGTATAGTTATATCTTGATTCCAAGGACAAGGTGCGCGATTTGTTGCTGTGAGTCAATCGGATATATTTAAAAGATCGTCGTATAATTGTTTTTAACTTACTTTTTTAAATCGTACACCGTTATTCTATTGCCAACAGGACTGATAACCGAATTTCCATCCGGCGTGAAGACCAAATTTCCATTGCGATATATTGTCCCAAGCAGGTTAGAGAACTGCAACAACAGATATTGAATATTTTAAGTTAAAATCATGACAAAACTTACTTTGTATGAAAACTTCATTTTGCGGCTGGTTTTAAACGAAAAAACCACGAGTAAAATATAAACAAAAAATCCCGCACGTGTTGAGGTAAACAGCACATGAAGTTTAAAATACACTAGCGCGTTTTCAAATTGCCATAGCACAGTATGTAACAAATAGGTGTAACAGACGGGAAGTTTGAATAGTGACGAAAGGTAGGCAGATTATTTTATCAAAAAATGGCCCTTTTTAATGGTGATAAAATTAATTAATAAATTACTTATTTGTATTCATTTTAATATACCTTTTTATATATTAATTAGGTGATAGATATCTGATTAACTTCGTAATTTTTATTGCTTTTTGAGTAAAAATTGTAGTCGATATTTATACAAGAGTGGCCACTTCTGCTAAACAGCTGATTTAAATAGAGCTGCCAACGCGGTCGAAAGAAAAAAGTCAGGTCAAAGAAAAACAAAGAAAGATATACAACGTAAATCCACAATTTCTGGCAGATATCAAATTTTCTAAACAAATAAAAAATGGAGGCGACTAAAACGGCTTCGGAGAAGTTGGCTGATCGTAAGGCCCGACTGCTGGAACTACACAAAAAACGTCAAGAAGCGCGGACAGACAACCACCAGGAAGTGGTGGCGGAGGATGCTCGCAAGAAGCTTCCCAAGAATTGGGAGGCCCGAAAGCGCCAGGCGGAATGGATCCTAGCAGATGACAAAGCGCGATTAGAGGCAAAGGCGGCTGGCAAAGATTATGAACGCCTGAAGCTATTGGAGGTCTCAGCTGTAGATGCTGATCGCATCGAGAAAAAGAAGAAACGCAAAGACAATCCAGATTTAGGATTTTCCACATATGAAGCTCAAACAGCAAGGCAATACAACAGATTGGTCAAGAGCATGCCAGCCCGCGATATGGAGAAATACGAAAAACAAAAAGAGGAACTAGGCGAGGCCTTCTATGGCGGTGCACACACCACTTTGCATTCGAGGACGAAGGACACTCCAGGTGCTATTGACAAAATGGTCAATGATCTGGAACAACAAATCGAACGCCGCAAGAAGTACTCCCGCAGGAGGATTTACAACGACGATGCAGATGTGGACTTCATCAACGAAAGAAATTCCAAGTTCAACAAGAAACTGGACAGATTCTATAGCGAGCACACGGCCGAGATTAAACAGAACCTTGAACGAGGAACGGCCATTTAAGTTACATTCTTCAATGTTTCGTATATGTAAGATCTGAATTCGAAGTGTACCTAATGACATTGTTAATGAATAATTTTGTGTAAATTAAGAGATTATGAGATCTATCCCACTTTATTTACTATCCATCATCTAAATTTAGTTTATAAAAGTACACTTCACGTATGTGTAAATTTTAAATAAAAATACTTTTTATGAAAATCTATGATTAAAATTGTAGAAAGTTGGCAGCTCTGCTTCGATGTAGGAAAATTAAGTTTTTAACTAGCAAGGAAAAATGCAGCAGTTCAGTTCGCGGGAAAAGTATTTGGTGTCGAACACCTTGAACTGCTGGCCCGTGATGCTGCAGGGACACTCTGTGCTCATCGATCTGCACAACGAGACTTCAGTGGCCGGCATCATTGATATCGCGGATGGGCACATGACCTGCGAACTCTCTAATGTAGTGTTCATTGATCGCAATGGAGGCCAACATCCATTTGACCACTTCATGGTGCGGAATCGTATGATCCGGCAAATTCACATACCCACGCACTTGGATGCCGAGCAGGAACTCCGAAAAGCGATGGAACGCGGTGTCCTGCGAAGAAAGCGAGTTGAAGCCAAGGGAGGGAAGCGCACTTTCAAACAAAAGCGTGCGGAAGTGCGACACAAGGAAACCCTGCATATGATCTCCCAGCAAAGGAAGGAAAAGGAATAGAGCTAATCCCTACGCATTCAACTTAGCATACGAATTATTTTCAAGCTAAACGATGAGCATAAACATATTCCCAGCAGAAAAGAAAATCAGGAAACTTAGTATCTACCATGTTTATTTATTCCAAGAAATACAAACTTTTCGATCGACTGAATATCTTATATTCCCTTAATCCAAAGTCTACTTAGCTGTCTGCTGCTGCTCCTTGTACTTGTAGTGCAGCTCCATGCAGTCGGTGTTTGAGATGTTCACCCAGCCATCTTCTTTAATGTGATACACACGAATGATGCCACCGGAGTAGGCATCCCTGAAGGTGGCATGGTAGATGGCCCTACGTCCCAGCTCCTGGGCCTCTTCGTCCTCCAGATCCCAGTGATAGCCGGAGTCGAGTACTCCGTAGGCATACAGCGAGCCACTGCCAACGGAAAACAGATTACCAGGCGTGCGTGATCCCTCAGAGTCCACGTAGTAGAGGCCAGGCCCACGTTTATCGTAACCAGCCAACATCATGCCCATACTCAGACCCATGCCCTTGTATTCGTGGGCAATGTTAGCCATTATCTTGCTGGCAGCAGCAACTGAAATACGTTCCTTGTTGCGCAGCTCGTGCAGACGGCACTCCTTTGAAAGGACCCTGTCCCAGTATACACAATCAGCTGCTCCGCCGGCTAAAGTTCCCAACATGAACTGGTTAATCTCCACGATCTTCTTCATTGACTGGGAACCAATGTATGATCCACCAGTGGCTCGGGAATCCACAGCCAGGAGAACGCCGCCCTTGAACTTGAAGCCCAGCGTTGTGGTACCGTGATCGAAATCGATTTTGATGCCGGTCTTGTCAGCATTTGCCTGGATCTGATTAAGGTTGTGAACGGGCTGGAAAAGAAACAAGTTTATGCAAAAATCCATAAAGAAATCAGAATATAAACTTACGTTCTCAAATGGCGGAGCAGCCAGTGTGTAGGGATTGGCAAAGTTGCAGGTTAGACCCTTCAGGTCGTCCTCCACATCCGCCGACGACCAGGCAGTAGGTTTCATGTATGGAGCATTGGATATCTTGCAGATTTCAGCCAAAGCCATTTTTAGTTCTTATTTAAAACAATTAGAAAAGTTGTATGAAAATTGCCGATGACAAACAAAATTGCTTGTCCACTTCAGTGTGAACACACTTTGTTAAAGATGATATACCAACTATCGAAAGGGACGATTACTGTCAAAAATACGGCAACCCTGACCGAAACCTGTTGCCAATTTGGCCTGCGATTGGCTTTCTTTTAGTCTCTTTTTAGGCCTGGCTTGAAGCCAAATTAACTCTGGGCGTTCCACTAAGTTTTCGCAAAATAGTTCAAAATCGGTCATTGAAAAAGATTTGAAAAAAACATGTGTAAATACGTGAAAGTGGCGAATAATAATGTATAAATAACGGCGCGAAATCAGAAATTGAAATTAGTGAAAAGTAAGTTGAAAATCATGAAGACCAAGGCGGAGTCCAAACCTGGTTTTTAGGCCTAGGAATTTGCTGTGATCGTCTTTAATACGCAAGAAACCATATATTTTTATTTTCTGAGCTCAAAGGAAAGATATATATCCGATGATCAAAAGATGTTTTTAAACTTTCAAACCTGTGGCTTAAACGGTTTATTGTCAACTCCCCCTTGTGTTTGTAATTGCAATTACTACGTGGTACGCCATTACCTGAGGCTCACACACATGCGCATACACAGCTAAAAAAATATAAGATCAAAGATCAAATTTATATTCATATGACCCTAGGTCAAGTTTATCTTTTATCCATTATAATAATGATTCATGCGAATGTATTTACATACTTTGATTACGAAAATCTAAATAAAAATTATTGACTAACTTTTCATGAGAAAATATTAAACTAAAAATAACATTAGGCGCCAAACTAGATTCAGTATTTTCAAGGTAGTTTTCAATTGCTCGAATTTGTATAATCTTTAAAACTAAATCGTTAAATCGTTGCCAATCAGAAAAATTGCTTTAAGTGTAAAAGACTTGTCTAGTCCAGAATTTGACTGGTTTTAAATGGTTTACTCCTGGATTCTTTGGGACCTGTTATTATTTGATTAATGTCAATAATTCTAAGTCAGTATTAACCAAACTTAATTTAATAATAAATTTAAGTGATTTACTCTATTAAAAGTCAAATACTAAAATATTTACACATTTTTTTAGACAATGCAGCATGGATCCTCCCGCATTACCAAACAGGAAGCCCTTCCAAATGCCATCTCCGGGGTAAGTTTGTACAATTAAATCAAAGAAGTTTAACCGCAATTCCCCATTTTAGCCCGATTCCAGCAATTGGACCTCGTTGCATGAGGCGGTAGCCGCAGGTGATGACCGACGGGTGGAGGGTCTCCTGTTTAGCAATGCAGACCGTTTGGCCAGAGAATCCTTGCAGGGTAATACACCGCTCCACGAAGCCGCCAGTCGAGGGTTCAGTCGCTGTGTGAAACTGATCTGTACACCCCCGACACCACCCACTTCCTCGGGGGTTGGAAAACCAGGAAAAGGTCAAAAAGACAAAGACAAGGATAAGGATAAGAACAAAGGTAGGGCGAAGGTGGTCCACCAGACTATCGAAGCCCTACACAATAGTGCTCTGAGTATAGCCAATAACGAAGGGTTGTCCGCCCTTCACTTGGCAGCCCAAAATGGACACAATCAGAGCTCCAGAGAACTACTCTTGGCCGGCGCTGATCCCGACGTCCAAAACAATGTGAGTGGGATGAATTTTTTAAAATATAACTATGTTCAACAACATCATTTTTTAGTACGGCGATACTCCACTTCACACCGCCTGCAGATATGGACATGCTGGGGTAACCCGTATCCTGCTTTCCGCCCTTTGCGATCCTAATAAAACCAATCTAAACGGTGACACCGCGTTGCACATCACATGCGCCATGGGTCGTAGGAAACTTACGAGAATACTGCTGGAAGCGGATGCTCGTCTGGGCATTAAGAACGCCCAAGGTGACTGTCCCATGCACATAGCAATTAGGAAAAACTATCGCGAAATAATTGAAATCCTAAATACACCGAAGAAGATACGAAACCGCAAGGAGAAACCTAAGGAAGGTGGCAGCAGATCAGACAAAGACAGAGATCGTGATAGGGATGTGGTGGACAAGGGCATTAACTGGTCACCTTATGGCTGTCATTACTTTCCCGATCCGCGAGCATTTCCTTCACCAAAACTGGAGACTCTACCCAAAGAGCCACTAAAACCGGGTGAACAATACTTTCTGGATTTGGCAGGTCACATTCACAAAGGTCCAGTAAGCGTAGGCAACACCTGCTATTGCGGTCCCTTCTTCCGGCATATTGAAAACAAACTAAACTGCAATCGAAAGAGCTTGAAAAAGTATGTCCACAAGACAAAGGAGCGTTTAGGTCACAAAGTGCAGGCATTGGCCATAAAAACGAACGATCAGATTGAACAGCTTACAAGAACGATGATCGAGGACAGATTGAGATGCGAGAGCAAGAGGCAGCACCTTAGTGAGTTCTTAAGAAGAGGAGAACCAATGCGATCCACCTTTGATCAGCAGAACAGAAACTCAAGGATCGAAAGGACCCTATCTAGGTGTCGCAGTCTAGAGCTCTTGGAAAACAACCACGAGGCTAGTAGGCTTACCAATTCCCGAAGTGTGGATCTACTTGAGGATCAGGCAGTGGAAGCTATAGTACACCGATCAGCGGAGGTTCAGCTTGAGAGTGACAGCGATGAAGATTCAAATGAAGCTGGGGAAGAGGAGGAGGAAGAAGATGGGGGAGAGGAAGAAGTGCAAGATGATGCAGAACCAGAAGAAGAAGTACAACAACTAGAGCACTCGAAGCTGGATGAACTCAAGCTGGATTTCCTCAAAGTTTCTGAAAGACTGGGAGTTCTTTTAGAGAAAACAACATTAATCATGGAAAGAGACAGCGAAAAAGACGTCAAGCACCAGCTTTCATCCTTATCGCCACCCTATAAACCCCATCCCAGGGCTGAGTCCGTCCAACTTCGTGAGGATAAAGAGAGCGTCAATAGCCCCAACTTCGATGAGTACACCAACGTTATGCGGCGCTACCCAAACTCCAGTGAGACCTCGAATCCTTCCCAGAACTCCAACAGTTGGGACTGGGAGGCATCCCCCACGGGCAGTAATCCACAGCCAGACTATCATAAGTACTACCAACGGATTGGAAGAGGAGAAAACATGCTGAACTCAGTAATAAAAGCTTTGAGAAAAGATGCCTCCTTCGCGGATATGGGAAAAGAGGAGGCTGTCAACGAAAGTGCCGAGAGGATTGGAGGCGATAAGTTGCTCTACAAGGAACAAGCCAGTGAGGCAGCTGGTATCTCCAACCTGATGAAACGACAACCATTGTGCCTTGAAGACAATTACCCCGCCATGTCGAATCTGTTTTACTCTAATCCCATTATGGAGTATGCTGAAGAAACGGAAATCAGGCAGAATGGCAATGAAAATATAAGCAAGGTAGAGATCCGAAACAGTGAGATCAAGTGCTTGAAAAAGCCGAATGCCGGTCAGGTTCGGGATATGGTGGCCCAACTGCAAAATACCATCGATTCTAATCGGCAGGATTCACAGACAGCCAATGTGATTGCGGCAAGATCACAATCCCGCTTAAATAATAACTTTCAGCACATAGAGGCCACATCCTCGAATCCCTCGCCCACTTACAGTATTCCACACAGGAATACTGCCCAGTTTGGCCTGCCCGAGAGACATATACCCAAAGACGCTTACTTTCATGAGCTACCCCACCGACCACCGATCCCGCAAAATCCGCAGAGAAGGATCCACTCCGGCTATGCACCAAATTCGAATTTCTATCGCAATGAAGATCTATACGTTGAGAGGATTCCCCAACCAAATAGTCCTATAAGGCAGGGTGGAGACTATGTGGGTGCGATCAACTATAGGGCACTACAGTCACAAACCTTTCAGGCCATTATTCCGCCCCATCCTAATCCCAGAAATCCAAGAAACTGGCCCCATCCAAGTCTTCCGCCAAACGACATCGATCTTGACGAGTTGTCAGCAGTTGGCCTCTACAATAATGTATCCAGTCTAGTTTGAGTTTGGTAATCTCCCAAAAGATCCCAATGTACATAGCTAAACCTAATTTATATATTTATCTTAATCGTAATCAAGTTCAAAACTACAAAACAAAAGTTAACTTATTTCCAATTGATAAATCTAATCTAGAGGGTTATAACATACAAAAATAAAATACAAAGTTATACCAGAATAATGTTCTTTTCATAAGGGTTAATTTATAAATAAATAAGATGATATTAAGAATATATATGTTATGTATTAATTTAAAAAAACGAATTAAGTCACTAAAATTGAAAACTTTAGTAACTCTTGATATGCTCATTCCCCTTCTTCATAAATGAAACCCAGCCAAATGTTTTCGATCAAAATATATTTGTCTTTAAAAATGTTTAATAATAGTATTTATGCATGTGTAAATATCAGAATGTCAAGTACATATATTTATTGATAACAGATCATTTTGGTGTTTTGATAGACATGCGGCTTATGAACTCTGTATAATGGTGTAAACGAAATCAACCAGGAAATCATCTCAATAATCGAGCTTCAGATGCTTGGTGGGAATTTAAAAAAAACAAAATTCCCACCTCTGACAAAAAGTAAACAAGTAAATTGGGCAACATTTTGATATCGTTCATCAATATGTTTGCGGTATTGTTAGTACAATTTTAGCAAGTACCTAATGATGATTTCTCGATGTCTTCGTAGTTAATTTAAAATTCTATAAATGACACTGCTGCTGTACGGCGCCTGCTACTTAAATTTACCGGCCACTTAATAATATCTTAATTCTGAATAGTCATATTACAAATACAAATTACAATAGCCAATAATTTAGTCACTTCGCATGTATGTATAAGTATGTTTCTATGTAGGTATGTATGTTCTATGTAAGTATGTATATCGCCTAATTTAAGTCTATTAATAATAGTTGTTGCTTTTTGTTTGGGGGCGTTGTTGGCTTGGAAATTGATGTGACGTGAGTAACTCGGCATTTCGCTCTGTGTAACTTAACAATGTTGGTCTTAGGACTGCAATTGGATGTGGACTATGATCGCTTGTGTGTAGCCAAGTGACATATTCTCGGTCAGGTAACGTCTCAAAGGGGACTGTTGTCGGAGTCTTCGCGTTCTTGTATTGTGGTTATGCTCTGCTGCAAGGCATTCGGTGTGAGCCATTCTCTAAAAAAAAGGGGATTCAATAAATAATCCAACTTCTATTTAATTTAGGTTCACTTACTTTGGCAAACATCTTTGTAAAAATGGCACACAGGAGCTGAAATGCGCTAAACGATTGACCCAGCTGGGTATTTCTTGGCCGCAAAGTATCTAAAAAGATTAAATAGTATTGCGGATATAGTCCAGTTGCCTATCGTTGAGTAAATTAAAACTATTGCATTTTAAGTATGTTCATCGGGTTTCAAAGTTCACATTTTGTTTCCATTTGTACTAAATGTTCAATAATTCAATAAAATTCAAAGGTCATCATTTTAATTCCAAGCCCTTCTATATATGAATCCAATAACTTTACACTTATTAAGGTGATTCATAGCGGAATATTTGGGTTGCAACTCACGGTATCTGACATTCAGTGATTCATTAATCAGCACACCCGAAATTTTTTTTTCATATCTCTTAAGTTTTGGATCCACCCATCACAATATTTAATGTATAATTGGAAAGTTTTCTAATCTCTACAGGTTACACCAAGCCCCACATCTCACCTGAGTTAATGAACCCGAGAAGTGGTTGCAATTGTTGTTCATGAGATGGTACCTGTCGCCCCGGAACTGATTGCCTAGCTCCTCGACGATACGACGAACCTCCTCGTACGTAAAGTCGGTGCAGCCTATTTGGATGCTCTGCCTGAACTGAAATTGATCGCCAAGTTCGTCGTGATCCCGCGGCGAGATCTCAAAGACCCCTGTAAAGGGAAATGGATGTCCGCCGTAGGCGAATTCGGTGCCAAAGGCTTCTACGCCGGAGTGGAATACGCCAAGGCCAATTGAGGTGGTGTACTCGTTGATCCAGTACTGCAAATTCAAACACAACGTAGCTATAAGATAGAACCGGAGAATTCGAATAGATATATTCATACCATATCGTAGACATTGAGTATAACAGGCTCGCGGGTCCCCATATTGGATGGCAGGAGCTCTTCATTACCGATCTCGTCTTTTGGAACACTGAGACAGCTCGGAAACGACAGATTGCACGGCAATCCGTTGGAGAACATTGATTAAATGCGTCGTTGGTTTTTGTGGGGCTCAAAGTATATGAAGTCTGCAATGGGGGGCTTTTAATTAATCGCTGTTCGCAAGCATATGCTGGTTAAAAATATAAATCGTATACATATGTGTTTACTTCAATTGGAGGCTTTAGTTATAACCGATTCTCAGATTGTCGGTGCACACATATGTATATTCATCATTTATAAATTCATATACATATATATAGACGAGAGTGCGTAAGATACATGGGTACAACATATATGTACATATCTGAATGCAGTTACATACATATACATATGTACACACATACATATGTATGTAGGTCCGACTCGGAAGAAATGTGTCATAGCAGGAGGATGACTTACTCCTGTTTAGGGCTCTATCAGCATCCCATTCTCCAAAAACAGAAACTTAACAAATCATAAGGGGCCAAATTAAATACTAAAAAGTGACTATTCAATTTCCGCTTTTGTTTTTAGTTTACACAAAATTTTTTTGTTTATGGATTGGTTTCAGAGTTGTCACTTGTGCTAAGATGGTTCTTGACGAACTGGTTCTTCGACAACGATACTTCGATAACGATAAGTAAGTTTAACTTGATAAAATTTAAGGCAATTTTTTTTTTTGTTAATCCTTGGTGCATTTACAAAGTTTTTACTTTTTTATAAAAGGTTATTTTATATAAAATTTGTTAGAAAATAATTTCCTTTAGTCGCATCATCATCTAGAGCTAGTTCCCAAGTGAGTCACAGCTGACTGCTTATCAGAACTGGTCCATTCCCAAATTGTTCCACTCTCGTTGATATAGTAAATCACAGACAAAACACTAAAAAATTTAATTAAATTCATTAAAAGTTCTTTGTTTTGATCAAAATTTGTTGTTATGGCTACACAACAGCAATAAATTGAAATTTAAGCCAAATTAAGGTATCACTGCCGCCAGTAAATGGCAAATAGAGTGCGGTGACAAAAGTGCAATCGATTGTTGACCGAATTAAAAATAAAGCAAACAATTGGTAAAATATAGTTATACCCGGAAGATAAAGCCATGATATATAGGAACAATAAACTAAGAAGGACTAGAATTTAATTTCGGCTAAGCAGTAAGACCAATGTGTTGTGGGTGTGGTCTATAGCACACATGTGTAGGCGTGAGTACAAATAAATGCCAAAAGGTCAATTCTGATAGAAATGTATTTTTTCAGATCGATGAATTACTGCTGTAACATATAAAGAAGGAATCCACCAAAGACATGCGGCTGGAAACTCAACTGACCAACTCTGAGAAACAGAAAAGCAATAATTAGCAACTAGTAATTAGGTGACCCACGTGAACTTACGTTAGACAATGTTTTTCACCATGTTTTCCGAGGGGTACGACACTGATGAACTGGACACCATCGCAGATGTGATGGGCCTACGGTCACAGGCTCGTCTGAATACCTTTCGCGAAATGTGGTACCATGTCTTTCTGTGGGCTCTGTTCTCCTCCATTTTTATTCACACCTGCGCCGCCGTTGTGGCCTTTGTAACGCTCCGGAAACATAAATTCGGGCGATTCTTCTCGATTCTGATTTTGGTCATGGGATTTTTGTCGCCAGCTTCGAGTGGAATCATTAGCAGTGCTGTCATCGCATTCGTGCATCGCGCCTCTAGTCTGCCCATGTCGCCCATATACGCTATGATCTGGGGCCTCGGACAAACCATAGTCTCCGCCTGCCTGGGATTCACACGTATTTTGGCCACGCTGTAAAGCCTGGACTGAAGTTTTTCATCGGCCAAGGTCACTTCTGCACGCTCACCATCATCTCCCAATCCAATGTTCACAGAGCTCTGGCTTTCGACCAGACATATTATCAATTCTTCAGGTGTGCAAGAAACAATTAATTGAATTCATAGTTATGTGTATAGGAACATTGTGATTTTTAAATTATACCTTATATGATGGAAAGAATAATGTAAAATATTTAGCTCTAACTTTAAGGTTTAACTCTAATTGTACAAAATTTAGGAAGCTAATATATGAGCTGATTCTTAAGCTAACAAATTATTTATTTTAAGGAATTAATGCGATTTTAACTTTTTATTGTGATGATTTTAGATTTTATAAACTAAATTAGAGTATTTGGATCCTTAGCGTTATAGAGCGTATAGAGTTTGTTACTGAGAACGTTTCCGATACGTCGTTCTGTGTGAAGAGGTAGAGGTCCATTGCATCGTTTTATCTTTAAGTCGGAAAGACTTTGCACAGCTGTAGGGTCATTGGAAAAATGTTCAACAAGTTTCTTGGGGCAGGGATACTGGGCTATGATTGACTCGGCCACCTCTAAAGTGACCAATGGCAATCGATTTAGATGCTGCTGCCAGAGACGTCCGTATCCATTTCCCTGATCTACTCGTACGCACTGTTTCTTATCGTTGGCCAGATACTTTTTAAAGCAATTCAGCGTTTCGTTTCGTTGTTTTTTGTATGGTGCTTCAGCTATGGCTTTTGTGTAACGCTTGAGCATTGCCACCAGATCATGACTTTCGGGACGATTCATTTGCTCTATATGAAGCTCCTGAAGCAACTGCATCTCTATCAAAGCATCCTGGCCGACTGAACTGCTGTGCTTGCCGTGTCGCACTTTTGGTAATGCCACTGTGTATTGACAATCCGGAAATGAGGCCTGTAGCCGGGGTCCCAAACAAACAAGACTTTGATCCTTAACGGCCTTTTGGAAATTGAATTCAGAAAGCCATTGGACCACTTGATTTTCCTGTTTCCAGGCTTCGTCTAGGCCGGTAGGACTGTTTTCCAAAGCAATGGTCTGCTGTCCAACATTGCGTTCCCACAAAATGCAAAAGCTTACAGGCAAACTCCTAATTTCATATTTCAAGTCGGTGCCATTCAATAGTTGGAGCATCTCCTGACCCACGGGAATGCCCAGAAAACCGGCATCTATAATCATTCGTATATATTTCATGCATTCTCCCGGTTTTATACGATTCTGATGCTCCCGTAAAGCCTGTTTGTGCAGTTTATCCACTTTATTTGACATTGTTTACAATAGTCCGCCCAAATAGTATTTAATTAGAGGCGGGATAAAATCAATAGGATTTAGTGTCTAGCTAAGTTTGATGTCATGGTTAGGAACTCCACTAAGTTCATATCGAATAAATCCGTCAGGAATATTTAGCTCTTTATTTTTCATAGTACGGTAATACTGCAACGCACGCCACACGTGTTTTATTTACTGCGTCTTTTAACACAAGAAAAACTTAAGAAACTTCCAAAATGTATCTAATGTACACAATCAATGAAAACGGAGACCGCGTCTACACCCTGAAGGTAAGTTAATCTAAAGCTATATGTTCTGACCTTAGCAAGTACTAATTTTTTATTTCGTAGAAACGCACTGAGGATGGACGTCCAACTTTGTCTGCTCATCCAGCACGCTTTTCGCCGGAGGACAAGTACTCCCGTCAAAGGATCACCATTAAGAAACGCTTTGGACTGCTTCTCACCCAGAAACCGGAACCCATTTACTAAGCCGAAGTTAAATTTTAATTAGTGTATATCTTTATTTACAAATAATAAGTTACAAAATAACACACCTAAGTCTTTAAAGACGGCGCTTCAAGCCCGCCGTATAATCGAACAGTTGGGGATTCCTGAACTCGCCTCTCATATCCAACACATAGTACAATGTCTTGCCTTTCACCTTAATGGGTAACTGCACCCTAGCTAAGTTTCGTGATTCTTCTGCGGAAACACACTTTAAAGGCACAGTCATGATACGATTTCGGTTGAAAGGACCATATGTCACAAAGGAAACGCTTTGACCTCCCTTTCTCAATATGAGAAAACGCACAGAACGGAGGGTAAACATCCATACAGCAAACAGAATTCCATATCCTAAAAAGGTCATCGAGTTTCAGATAGAAGAACGGAACATAAGTATAGTACTTTCTCACCTATCAGAAAACTGCAGGCTGTAATGCCATTTCTGTATTTATTATCGCCCAGATTTATGCGCTGAAACCATTTTAAATCCTCTCCGGGTTTCTCAACCACAGGAGCATCCTTTAGTGTCGTAAAAGCGAAGTGCGATAGATAAGTCCAAAACACAAACTGGCATATTCCGAAAAAGTTCAGCATGTGGTAAAAGCGCGGGTTCTCATATTTGAAGAGGATTATATCCTTGGGTACACTGGTGTTCACATCAAATGGAGCTGTTTGGGAGAACCTCTTCACCGTAGAACTAACCGGCGATTTAGTAACAATAGGCGGAACTGCCAGTCTAAAACTCTGAAGACTAAGCCTCTTAATTGAACTGACTCCCTGACGCAGAGCAAAATTTAGCAGGTTACTCATCTTAATTGAAAACTTCCTGCATTTGTTATTATAAAACAATTTAACCTACAATCTGCATACATATGTTTATATTTTGTTCCAGTTGCCATTGGTTCTTTGGTACCGGAACCGGAACTAGTTATTAGAACCGTTTTCAGGGATGGCACTTGATAGTTCTCTACACTATGATATCAAATTATTTTTATTTTCAAATTAAGAGGCAACTCTCTTTAATATTTTTGTATTTTAAATGTATGCAATATATTTCATGAGGAAATTTAAACTTACTAGTTCCGCCCCCAGACAACAAAGTTCCATTCCTCAGCCCTAATTGCTACAGATGATTTTGTTTGGTTCCAAATTAGAGATGAGCACGGGTCCATCGATATATTTTTCATATTTATATATTCATTAATCATGCTATTTCATTTCGATAAAATGGTTACTTAGTAGAGATATTAGTTAATTTATTTCGGGAAATTTTTGAATCTGGTAGAATACTTAATTTTATTAATTTAATTAAACTTAAAAGCCGGATTTCATCGAACCTAGAACCCAAAATAGCTCCGGTAAAAATATTTCAACCCCACAAGCGCATTGTTATTTATTTTTTCATATTTTATTGACAAAAATAAAATTAAAAAAAACTTGAAGTTTTAGCTGAAGTTGAATGTGTCTGAATTGGCGGTCACGCAACCACCTCTATTGCACAAGACGCTCGTTTGCAATCTGGGCGCCTGGACTGGTTCTTTTTTACACCTTTTGTTGTTTGCCGATTTTAGTCTGTGCTTCATTCTTCATCGTTTAAGGGCATCGGGTGCGGATTTGCGTGCAAATTGTAAACAAATCACCGAAAAACTGTTAAATTCATTCAAACAATTGTCAAGTGATAGTTGCACCCGTGGGTTATGTGATATTCAAATAATTTTCGTGAATACATTAGTTAATAAACGTGTAAGTCAGATCGTTCGAAGGTAAGTTCAATTTTTTTTTTTTAGAAATATTTTTTTTCTTATTTATAGTCATTATATATAATTATTTTTCTCTGTCTTAACGATGTTCTAATCTACTTTGATTTTAAGGTTTTTAAAGGTTTTTAGATTTGGGATGGGTACGAGTAATGGGTACCATACGTCAGATATGGTTGGAGTCTCTTTTAAGACATTTGTGTTTTTAGGGTTGTCAGGTGGTTGCAATTCGCAAAGTTTATACGAAATCGGATATATGTCTAGTGTTATAGCACTTCTATTATTGCAACCTTCACGATTGGTATATTCAAGTTTAAATTGATCATAATGCTATAGCAACGCAATAACATATGACTTGCCGGTGGCAACCCTGGTCGACAGCGAGGTCAAAATGATACATATTATTGCATTTTAGTTGCAATAATTAGGACATATTACGTTTCTACGAGATATAGAGCAAACATATTGGAACCCTGGCAACCCTAAAAACATAAAATTGTACAATAGGTGAATAAAAACGTTGCCCCGTTTTGCTTTTGCTCTTGCTTGCAGCTTGCTGGTTTTAGTTTTTTCGGGGTTACGGCTCTATCGTAAATCTGATATCAGAAACTTGTAGAGGTCGCTGAGGGGTTTTCAAAAATGTCATTGGTTTCCTTGAACATGCAAAAACTTGGATGTTTTTCGACATAACCTCACATTGCATCAAAATCGATACGTAACCTAAAAAGAATGTGAACGCGTTGCAAAAACGCACACACACATACACATTTTGATATACATACAAACTTACACAGATGCACAGTTGCTATAGCGTATAATCGCTATAGTCTGTGTGAGAGAGAGTGAGACAGCTATAATAGACATAACGCTCAAAACAAGTTTAAATTTTAATAGATAGTATAAAAAAAATCGGACTTTTAAGATTATAAATAAGATGGTTGGTTTTAGTTGCCAAAACGCAAAATCTAAATTATCTTTATTAGCATGTGCCGGTGAAAGGTTTTAATGGATCAGATTATGGTAAAAAAGTATTGCCATCGTAAACCTCTGATGTACTAGGCTAACCCTAGCTTGTAGGACCAAGTCCGAATCGAATGAATATCCCTGGATGGTAGCTTTCAACCTGCCAACAATAGCGTAATGACGCCTTAATTTTCGTTTACTTATTGTTGTAGTTGTTGCTTTCTGCCCTGCTGCTGTATCTTTGTCGTGTGGTATTCGGCGCTACGCGAACTTTATTCAATTTCTATACATATAGACAAATATATACGTATGTACATATGTACATAGCCACGTGTATATGTTCGGTGTCTTGCTCTCCCTTGCACTCGCTCTCCGGACGGCCTCTGTTCATCCCGCTCACTCCGCAACTCTGCGAAACCGGTATCCTGCCGAGGTCCTAAGCCCATCTCGGAAAGACCAGACGGATGGACTCTGGATCCAAATTCTGAAAGTTTGGAAAGTTTGTTTCTGTAATTTTTAGATTTTTATTGTTTCTTTTAGCTTTTGCCTACTTTTTCCTACTCTTTGGGGAACAACCCCCACCCTCTACCTCCGTCCCTCTGGAAAACCGCTGTCCAATACTCATATTTGTAAATTAAGTTTAATTAAGAAATTAATATTATTTATTGGCTTTTACTCAACTTTTGCTCTCCCCTTTAAGTTGCATCCATAGAGTCGTCCCGCTCTAACAGCCTAATCCGCATACTGCCTTCCCGCTCGCAAGCAACAAACGCGTTCTATTTACGTTACTAAAAAACGTTTTGCTTTTTGCGATTATATCAAATGAATGAATTGATGAAACGAAGATCTCTTCTAGCTTAAGTTTAATTTCTATTTCGTTGTGGTTTTTCACATTATTTTTAGTTATTACCATATTGAAAGAGACTGCCAACTTGCTATGGAGAAAGGCCCATAAGCGACTATTACTATGCTCTACTTTCTTGCAAAGGTCAAAGTTTGAGAGGGGGAAAGTGATTGTCTTGAGTAACGGGTAGATTGCATTATCAAATTGTATCATATCATTCTGAGACACGCCCTCATGCCGGCTATCTCCCTCCCGGTTTTCCGTACGCCCCTCTTGCTTTCACCGCTCTCAGCTATTTGCTCTCTCGCTCTCATTTTAGTTAAACGTCAGCTGGTTTGGCGTTCACCTCGTTCATTTTAGTTTAGTACGCGGGGAGACCTTCAAGTCATTTTGATTTCTCCAAGTGTAGGCAATTCGAAATAATCAGGAAACCAATGACCAGGACGTTTAAAATTGTAAGTTAGCTCCAACTACAATTATCGTTCTCTGAAAATTAACATAAGCGTCTAAAAACAAAATGGAGCCAACATAACCTCACTTTCGTTAGCGAAAAATATCATATGCACGTTTCTATCGTTTTAGAACACTATTGATATGAACAATCATGCTCCATTAAACTCCTTTTTTGTGTCTTTCGTTACTCATTTCTTTCCCTATCCCGAATATTTATCGTCGCTTTGCTTTTGTCTTTTCGCTGCAGTCGTGTTGTTATTGTTGCGTTCGGAAAGCAACGAGCGCTTGTGACAACCAACAAAAACACATGGATAGCCTATGGGTAGATACACACCGAATCGAGTCCGAAAAGAAAAAAACAAAAAAGCTGTTGGTCTTGAGTTATGATATTTCTGGTTCAAGAGTTTTCAAATCGAAAAACTATCTTAACATTATAATCCTATGATAATCCCAGGGTTCGCATTTTGCTTATCGCAGTGTTTGGAAATTGTTTTGAATGAACTCGAGATAAGGGCTTAAGAGTTTTCGAGCACTCCAAATTGTAGAAAATAGTTCATTCGCTCAAAACCCGCTTTATACATAGGTATAATTCTCAAGTTATTACTCTAGCATTTTCGCGATAAATAAACCATAACTAAAGCTTTTGGAGAGCTTTTTCCAAAAGCTCTTCCCAGTTTTTGTTATTATTCGAACTATGCGGTTTAATATTCTGTAACATGTTTTTTTTTTTTTTTTTTTTTTTTCTGATTGTAAACGTAGATTGGTAATCTACTATATGTCAGAGGGGTAAATCTGCGCAGCCCATTGATTTAACAGGGTTGCCAGGGCTTCATAAAACTAGCCGCAGTCTGCTGTAAATTGATTCCAGGTTTTCTCTTCTTTCAGCGGATCAATGTTTTCGGAATTGTTTGGTAATCTAAAAGAAAAATAAAAATGATGGATGTAAGCCAAAATATGGAACTGAAGGAACTGTCCGCAGAGAGCGCTTTAATGCGAAATCTATCCTCCGATCTCGGCAGTGAAGTTGAAACACTCTCCACCCCAGGTAAGTTACAATCAACTAAATGAATAAAACCTATTCGGGTACATCTATATCTGAATTACAGCAATTGAAACGTCCGGGGATGATGAGGTCCTATGTGAGTTCACCAATGGCGTTGATTCCTCCGATAACAAGGTTATCAAAGATATTGACAAGAAGTTAAAAGGATCGGAACAGGAACGCAATGCAGGCAGCGATTTGGACGCGCTGTTGGACAAGATAAGCTCTATAGTGGACTGTAGTCCTAAAAATTCCGATGATATGGAGACACTCGATAATAACAAAGATTGCGACTCTGCGTCCATAGAGGAAAAAACAGCTGCTGAGAAACAGAGCGAGGAAAGAGAAAGAGAAGTAGAAGAAGAGGAAGGAGAGATATTGGAATCTGTAGAAAACGAAGAGCGCATGGAGCAAGATTCCGAGCTGAAGACTGAGGAGAAATCTAGTGCAGAAGAGATTGAGGAGACCGAAGACATCGATGAAACCACTCCAACCAAAGAATCAAAAGATAATCTCGATGTTTTGGCTGGACCAAATGAAGACAAAATAGAAGAAGTAACAGATGCAAATGAGACATCGGAGGAAAAAGATGAAGCCAAGGCGCAAGCTGACGATATCAAAGAAAAGGTCCGGGCAAAGCGAGTCGCATCCACGGATGATGTGTTTATGGATGCCCTAGACAGCATTTCCAGTTCAGATGAGCTCGATGCTCCCGCTGTTCAGGATGAAAAGAAGGCAAAGCATAGCAAAGAGCTGAGCACCGAGGATAAACAAGCTGCCAACGATCTGGAAGACATTTCATCCGATGATGATGATGGTATCCTCAAGGATAAAAAAGTTGATGAAGTCGACAAATCCGAACAACATAAGCTGGACATCATAGACCTAGACTCGTCAAACGAGTGTCAGGATTGCGAAACTCCGATGACTGTCGAGAAAGCGGTTGCTAAATCAGAAGATATTGAAAAAGTAACAAAGAATAAAGGTTCACCAGAGAATACGGACGGTTTAGAAGAAAATATTTCAGAAGAACCCGATGTCCAAGAAGAGAAAGAAGAAGAAAAGTTTAAAGAAGCTAATAAAGCTGAAGAAAAAGAGAAGCTTGAAGGTATAGAATCTATTTCAATTGAGGAGCCTGAAGAGATCAAGGAAATAGAAAGTACGGAAGAAGACAAGAAAACAAATAACACAAAAACTGAATGTTCCGAAGAGGCCAATAAATTAGTTGACCTGCATGAGGTTCAAGAAATTGAAGAGTCTGAGGAGACTAAAAAGGATAAGGTAGAGCTAGAAGAAAGCAAGCTACCAAAAATCACTAAGGTAACGGAAGGGTCGGAGGAAGTGAACACAACAAAAAAGCCAGAAGAGACCAAGGAAAGAGAACAGTTTGAAGTGAAGAAGAAAAGAGAAAAGTCAGAAAAGGCTGAGTCCACAGCAGAGCCGGATGAGCCTTTTGTAGTCGAAGAAGAAACAAAAGACCCCAAAACGGCAGACCAATTGGAGGCGGAGCCTCCAACTAAATCTCAGGAAATGAACGACAACACGACAGATGAGGAGGCGGCCAAGGATACCCTTGAAATTGATGAAAAAACGCCGGCTAAGAATAAACCTATGATTGTATCGGAAAACGATAAGGAACCTAAGCTAAATGGTGTATGTGAAAAGTCAACCGAAAAGGATTTTGCTGGGGAGAAGCATCTTGTTGAAAAGGAAGCCAAAGATACGGATTCGGATGACGAAGTTATCTTCTTTGAGCCCATAGATAAAACCAACCCGGTTGAAACTGCCGCTCAATCAACGAGTGAAAAACCTGAGAAACCTCAAACTCAGCCAACCAGTGAAAAGCCCGAGAAACCTCAAGATAAAGATGACGAAGTTGTCCTTGTCTCCGAGGATGAGGATGAAGAGCCACAGGTTAAGCCACCTGAAAAAGAAATGCTCAAAAGTCCAGATAAGGAAACGACTACCGTGGGACTTTCCAGCACTTCCACGGAGGTTAAAGACCTTCATACGGACAATTCCGACAATGCATGCGATCAGTTTGAGAAACTGAAGACCAACGATAAGGTTAAGTCCACTGGCACAGATGATGGAAACAGTAACTCAAGTAATCTGTTGCGCCCCGCCGAGGATTTGGAGGTTTCGGCACCGAAACGGATACGTTTGAGTGTCGAAGAGAAAATTGATTCCGCACTTGAAAACCAAAAACCTTCTAGCGGAGATGAATGCAAGAAGGACATTAAACGAAGCCATGAACTTCTGGACAACAGTCCCGATCGGGAGGAGGTGACACCTAACAAGAAACCTAAGACTGATGATTCCGACTCGAATAGCTCTAACGATGGCACTCTACAAATTGATATGGATCGTCAAGAAGACGAAGTCCAAACTAAGAAAGATGCTCTGAAAACAGAAGATGAAAATAAACCAAAAATTGAGCTTAAGCCCAAGCCGGAAATTAAAACCGATGTTAAGCCAATACGCTTGGAGTTCTTCAAGACTTTCCGCAGTACCTTCGACAAAATGTCCCGCGACGACCTGGAGGAGCTCGTTCTACAGAAGGTAGTCGAGGCAATGTTGGTTAAAAGTGATTTCGCGGATATTCGGATGCAGCTTGACAAATGCGAAAACACTCTAACCACGTATCGACGGAAGATTGCCGAGGTGACCAAGCAGTTCCAGGATTTGGAGACGGTTCATAAGCGGGTGCTGAAGGATTTGGAGTCAAAGAACTCGCACTTCATAGCTCCTGTGCGGATAACGCGAGCAGTTGGTCTTCAAGTGGGCATTCCGTTTAAGGCCATGAAGCCTACTGTCGCCGCTCCGGATCAGCCACATGCTGCAGGCAGCGTGTTGACGCCCCCCACTGGAACGCCTCCTAAGGCCAGCACCTCACCGATGCGATCACCAATGCGAGCCAGACCACCACCTCCTGCCTTCGGATCCTCTTCAACCGGCTTAAACACGGTCACCAGTGTACCTCCAAGTCCTAATTACCAACAGCAGCAATCACGTTCCTCCGCCAATTCATTGCAAACTACGGCAGCGGTAGCCACTGCCCAGCCTCCTGTGCGCCGGGGTTGCCTCCAGAAGGTAACACCGCAGCGTCCAGGGCCTGGTAATATCTTGCCCGTTTCACAGGCTAACACTCAGCCCAACGTTCACCGTCTACAAAGTTCACCGCCTGTAGGTCAGAGAACCACGCACGCCTCAAAGCATACTGGATCCACTGCCTCCCTGACGGCCTCTACGCCCAATGCAACCGCAAAAGCAGCCATGCGTAGCCGAAACTCTACCCCCGCTTACGTACAACAACAACCACAGCAGCCAACTCCGCCACAGTACCAAACGTAAGTATATTTTTATTACTGTCTTTAAAATTATTATTTTACTAACATACATATGTTATATATTGCAGATCTCGTTCAGGTCCTGGCGCCACCCCAGGTCCAAGTTCCTCCAAGGCGCCAAAGTGCACTACGAAAGTCCGCGCCCAGCAGCCACCGCTTTCGGGAGCAACGGTATCGGTGCCTATGGCATCTGCTGTTGGTAGCGGAGCGGGATCTGGCGCCTATGCCCAGCAGCAGCAGCCCAGCCTTGCACCGGCCAAGCCAAAGGAAAAGGCTGTCATCGACTTGACGGACGAGGATGACGCAGCGGCAGCAGCCGCAGCAAAGGCTATTCAGGCACAAATCGAGGCAAACGCTCGTCTGCGCCAGGCATCCAATGCGGCCATCAAGCGGAATGCCCAGGTGGCGGCAAGTTCAAGAGGTGGTCGTGGAGGTGGAAGTGTGGTGCGAGCGTCTCCAATGCAATTGGGACGTGTAAGTGCCCGACAGATAGTGCAGAATAATGGAGCAGGTTAGTTAAAATCAATAATTTTATTAAAAGTGTTCAACATACTAATTTGTATATAAATCCATAGGTCAACGTTCCACGGGCTCAAACATAACAATGCAGATACGCTCGGAGAATACACCGCCAGCTTCCTCGCGCTTGAGATATTCACATCCTGCACCACTGCCCTCGTCGCCTGCCCAGCCCTTCAATCCCGCCTGGAAAATGCCTCCCTCGCGTCCCGTTATCCGGATAAATCTGCTGGATACGGGAATCGTTATCTCGTGGACTCTTGAGGATACGAGCCCAAAGTTTGCGGAGTGTGTAACTTACCAGATTTACGCTTACCAAGAAACGATTCACGAGCCAAGTACGGACAGCTGGCGGCATGTGGGCGATGTCAATGCAATGCTGCTGCCCATGGCCGTAACCCTGAATCAGTTCCAGGAGAACCAACGATATTACTTTGCGGTGCGCGGTGTAGATAACCACCAGAGATTCGGCCCGTTCAGCGCCCCCAAGACCTGGTCGTAAACGGATTGCGTTAGTCATGGGCCATGTCTCTTTCTTATATGTAGACAGTAGCTTTAGTAACGCTCACTTGTAATTTATTTGTGTCCGCATTTCAAGCGTTGATACTTTGTTTCTCGAAATTAGTCTGAATTATGAGTTTAGTTCTAAGTTTTACGGAGATTTTTAAGGGAATTCTGAGAATAAAAATGTATTACGCCGAGCAGCCAATCTTCAGCAGCTAAAAGTCAGGCAGTAACGAAAAAAAACAAAATAATATTTATTTCACATTAGGTTATCCATAATAATTAAGTTCAGAACTTACACGAAGTAATATAAAATATTGAATAAATATCGAATGAAACTTTTTATTCTGCCTCTGTGTTGTAACTTTTGTAATTTTGATTTGAGTTTGAAATGTTAAATAGATGGAAAAAGCATGTTCGATTCTAAGATGGAGTTACACTAAATAACTTCTGGGAATTTTATAATTTTAATAGGTAAGAACTAGTTCTGGAACGCGAGTTTATATTTTTTACAAAAGCTCAATGTGTTGTGTTGTTTTAGTTTAGTTTTCCGTAATTATCCAGCTAATTGAAAATGCCCCTGATATTTGATATAAGCAAATATTATGCGAATAGTTAGTCTAATTGGTGCTTAAGTGGATTCTGCCTGAGGTATTGAATTATGTCCTGCCTGGGTCATTATGCATGAGACATTTTTCGTGTGTGAGAAGGCTATGTAGAAAGAGCATTTGGTTGGGCGGTAAATTGACTGCAATCGATGGCACATAAAATATAGATACACGCCCATTTACGTGAGTGTGCCATCCAGTTTGGGGGTCATAATGCTTCCTGTGGAGTTACAGAGGAGCTTGTCTCCGTCGAAATTAAATGTGCTGAAAGAAAAAATATTTTTTAAATTATTACTAATTAAACAGAATCTTAAAAAGTATTGATATATACAAAATGTGTTATACTTAAAATATTCCACTTATCAAAGCTCCACTGTGACCCCTATGGTCAGAGGTGTAGGGAAATGGGGGTTATAGCAATGGGGTATCATGGTGCATGTAAAGTGCTTCTACCTTCATATCCTTGCTGCCTCGTGCACTTGACATTGGCTTTCGAATCGGGTTTGTCGCGACATTTTTGCTCATTCATGCGAGGCGCAGGCAGGCGGAACAGGGAGGTTGTCCGGAGGGGGGCAAGGTGCAGGATTGGCCTGGTAATGGCATAATCGACCCCCTTTCTGTAGCCCCCTTCTCTACGGTGGGTTGGCCACGTGCCGTGCTCTTTCGGCTGTTCTGGTTCTTCCGCTGCTAGTGCTGCCGCTGCTGCACTTTCAACAGCAGCCAAAAAACCTTGACATTAGGCAGCCGTCGACGAAGCACAAAATCCACACAGATACTCTGCGCTTCTGTACTTGTGGGCAAATCGTCCTGCAAACAAAAAATCACTATACTTGAGCTGTCCTACCCATACATTTATGTTCGCAACAAAAAGTAGTGTGCAGGTTTGTTTTACTTTTCTGAAAATGAAATTGAAAACTAAAGAGTTCGGATATCTATTTAACGGTTATTCTTGGCCTGTGATTTAAACTTAATAATATAAATACTTTTTATATATATTCTTAATTACATTTTCTTCTTTATTTAAATTCTACCTTTGAACTACTTTTTACCATTTACAATTTAAACTACTTTATATGTATTATATATAAGAAAATGTTATATTCGCATCCGATTAATCCCATTTTCAATACCCTTAACCTTTGAAATCCGTTAAATATCAATCAGAATATGGTTGTAAATCCTTTGTGTGCCATCAATTAGTCGGCAGTTATTTTCGGTGACCCCGATACACGGGTGAGTGTAATTGAAATACCTGTATGTTTGGGTCACCACAATTGCAATTGAATGGCTGCAGTTGTTGCTGTTGCTGTTTCTGCTGACGAAGGCATAATAACAAAAACACAGATGTTCTGTCAGCAGGTTGCATTACAAAAAAAAAATGCAAGAGAGAGAGAGAAAGAGAAATGAAGAGAGACTTACTTTTCCTCCCGACAACTCTCTCATTTTCTCACTGCGCAAGACTTGCAGCACGGCAACACTGGCCGTGGAAGTGCGAGCAAAACGCGGTGGAAATCCTTTTGTTTATTCGCTTGCGGAACGCGTTTCTCGACGGTTGGTTCGCTCGCAGCGCAAGAAACGGAAGTGGTGGCAAAACGTGCAACATCCGGCGGCAAACCATACAAAAATAAACACAATAAAGCCCAGAAAAAGAAAACCTGTAAACACAGCTCCATCTAAAAAGAAACAAAAAATAGTTAAATTCTAATAAAAATATAACCAAAATATAGTCAAAATTTGTGTGCGCTTTGTTGATCAAATCAATAATCAAAATTATTGCAAATAATTAAAAAATTATATAAATATTTCAAGTGCTTTCGGTAGATATAAATGTCTAAATTTAAAACGCGGTGAGCTCCCCCAAAAATTTAATATCGATTATAAAAAAGTTAAAAAGTTTGTGGAAACGATTTGTAAGTGCCCCAAAGAATTCCGCCACCCCCTGCCCCAACCACTAACCTTTCACCTTTCTTTGTGTGCCACATTCTCTGTTTTGTGTTTCGGTGTGTGATTGTGTGTGTGTTTATGTATGTTAATTAAATTACCGTTATGTGTGCTTACCATAACACAGAAACACATATACACAGAAAAACCAGCTCTATCAGAGTAATTATAAAACACAAAAACAAAAAAAATAAAGAAAAATAACAATGACACAAAGAACAACAACAACGGCAAAAACAAAAACAAAGGCCACTGAAAATCCATTTCCCATTTCCTTGGGCTTTCCCTTGCTTTCTCCTTCCGCTTTTCCCCACTCATCATCGCATGTTTTGCCCGCCCTGACACTTGGGGCATATTTCTGTGTTAACTGGGCTGTGCGTGTGTTTATTACTGCGACTACGGCCATTGGCACGTACGTCGGACGGAGGACCCTCAATTCGCCGCCCATGTCCTTGCCACGCCCCCGCCAACCGGCCCTGCCTTCCTTTGCCACTACTCACAGTTATTAAGCGTCTTATGGCAACTCTCAAAGCGACCCATAAGTATGCTATAGTTTTTGTTATTCCCACCTGAAGAGACAGCCCAAGAAACACTCCAAGAAATAATGTTATTTCTTTGACTAGCCAACCTGCAATCAATCGGAATATATTTAAGAAATATTTAAAATTCATAACACTAAATATTTTAAAAACATTTAAGCTTTTTGGGGTGGTAGGGCATTAATTATTTCTAAAAGTCATAAAGTCATAAGTTTATCAAAGATAGTCCCTTGGTTTGTTGTGTAGTAGCAGCAGGTGCATTTGACTCAGAATTTCAGGTGAATGCAATAAGCTTCTGACCAGAAATCAATAGGAAATCAAGCTTTATGCTTATGGATATGGCGGAGGTATATACGACATGGGGGATAGTCAGTCGCCTGGCTAAGCCAAAGTAGTAGCTTTTATTGCCCTTTGTTACATTCACCATTTGGACCACTTTTATGTTCGGCCCTTTGCACATCAAATTGATGATAAATTGCAAATTGTGGCCATAAAACCCCAAGAGAGTTATTGAAAAATTTCAACGTAAAGGTCGTAAGGTAGCAATGAAAAAAGGTATAGCATTTCATATTTATGTTATTTCTTGAACACGTTTCATAAATATTAAGAAAGCAATAGATAAGGACATTCTCTTGCAGCTGTTGATACATAAATGAAATGTTTTTCGATGTTTATCCTTGGAGTATGAAAATTAAATTGGTACATATATGGGTTCTGGCATTATGCTTGCTTGCACTGAAATTTCTTTAAACAATGTTCAAATCGAAAGTCAAATATCTATTTTACAAAATCAAAAACTTTAACATTAGATATCTATTTTCTCAGAATTTTCACTTTGAAACTAGTTACCAATTTAGGATTTAGCTTTATTATCCTGCTTACCATTTACGAAATAGGATTATTAAAAACTTAAAGAGAGAGATTTTCTTCTTCCTGTGCAAGTTTTTATCCACTTTCGTTCACTGTTGAAACTTTAATCCAGCATGGCTGCAGGCCAAGTTAGACTGAAAGCTTTTTAGTGTAATTTTCGCGTTTTTCAATTAAGGACAAAACACAAAACGAGAAAAATTCACACTTCCCACATTAAACATTGGTGAACAGTCGAGTTCTGTCAATTGCAAAACGTCTGCCTCAATTAAACGACATCGATTGCATTTGATATCCTTTGGTTGTGCATTTGCTGGGGAAATTGAAGGGGTTTTCAGGATAAGGATGGCGACATCTTCGACTGGCACATGCCCATATGCAAATGGCGCCATAATCTCCACTGAGCGTTGGGCATTGAGTCGTCGCCTATTGATTATCAGTTTTGCATACTAATATGCCCGAGTCGGCAGTGCATTGAATTCGAGCCAAATAAAGTGACAAGCTCGGTGTCCCACTGTTTGTTTCTACCCGTCCCGGTCTCTCTTTCCGTCCGTCTCTTTCACTTGCTTGCCATGGCATGGCAGCTGCCAAGGGGATTCCCCTGTATTTGTGTGTGTGTGTGTGTGCGATGTGTCCGGGCTTAAGTAGCTTTATGTGCTTGTGAGTATGTGTGTGTGTGACTCTAGCATTTTGTGTTTTTCGCTTTTCTTGGTTTTCGATTTTCATCACGGCCTTTCCACGAAAAGTTGCTTTTCCCTTCGTTTAAGCTTTTTGTTTGGCCTTTTTTTCTGTACCCTCAACGAGGGTATTACAATTCTAAGACAAAGAGATATAGTGAAAATTACTTAGAAAAAAGTAAATTCTTTTTGAATTATTGTTCTTGATTTCGACAGTTTTTAATAGATTTAATATTGAAAAGGAATCAGATTTGAAATGTTACCAAGAACAAAGTATTTAAAGGTTCGTTCCACTTTATTGGGATTTATTTTTAGCTTGTTTGAGAAGTGCCAGCCTCGTCGTCAACGTCGCCATTGTTTTCCCCACTGCCTTGTCATTCCACAGCTCTGTAGTTCCCCTTTTTTGTGGCAGTGGCTTCTATCACATTACGTATACGCATTTAGTTCCAATTTTTGCCTCTCGTTTCATGGATTTTGTTTTATCGGTTTGCGTGCTCGGCCTGAGTCGTAGTGTGTTACTGTGTTTGCATTGCCAGTGTTATTTTGCTTCCGCTTTTCCTCAACTGTTTTCCACTTGCTTGTGTATTTCCTCTGAAGTCATAATGGGGAACAGCTGATAATACACGACCCCTCCCAACGCCCCCTTATCGAGTTCTGTACCCTAGGGACGCGAAAAAAACAGGAGGCAGGGCAGCTATAAAAGAGTTCTGGTAATGGGCGTGTTTTTTTGGGCTTTATATGATACGACTTCTGGTAATGGTAGACCTATTTTCGTTTGTTTTTCCACTGCTGAAACATGGATTTGCCTTTAAATCAGATGATAAAATGCTATCCATATTAAATTATTTTACTTAAGTCGTAAGTTATAGGTGATATGCCAATCTTATAGGAATTTATGTCATTTAAAATGATTTAAAATCTAGAAAATGGTATAAAACTTGCATATTAAAACCTAAGGCCATACCAAATTATGAAATATTTTTACCATCATAGAAATATTTACTATTTCCTTCTAATCCCTGTCCGATTTAATGTTTGTTTGACCCACGTTCTCTCAATCAGAGTAATAGCTAGCCCTCTCCACTTGCTGGACAATCTGGCCTAAACAATCAATCATCCCACAATCCATAACATTCGACCAAAACATAAAACAAAACAACAAAATCGCATCGATATCGATGAGCAGACTCTGGGCAGCTGTCAGTTGGCATTAAAAGTTGTTTGAATGGCGAATTATAATTGCATTTGGTTATATTTTTGTGTTGTTATATTTTGTAGAGGGGAGTCTCAATGGGATGTTGGAGCTGGTTGGGTGAGTAGTGAGTGATTTATGGTGGGAAGAAAGCATGGCACACAGGGCGTATGATAAATGTCTGCAACAAGCTAAATTTGTTAAGGATGGAAATGAAATTACAGAAGTGTTCAAAGTGAATGCAAAAGCAAACAAAAACAGGCACGCATAGACACGGAGAAAAAAACTTAGGGAAAAGATGCTCTTTTTAGAAAGATTATTCCGATTTGAATGGGAATTACCTAATCTTTTTATGAAGATGGCTTTGGTAAAACTGATTTATATTTTTTTCGTTTGAAATCTGTTTATTTTTCTAATTACTATCCCAATATTTTTATCCGTGTATCCACACTCACACATTTGCAATATTAATGATGCTGCTGCCTATGTAAAATTGAAAGCAAAAAGAAAACCGCAAAGCATCATCATTATCATGATCATCATTATCATCATCATCAACATCATCAACTATAAAACTGTCTTTACTCTACCATTTCCAGCGGAATCAGAGCCAGCGAAATGAAAGCAAGGCAAACAAACGTTATGCGTATAGGCCAGGCCAAAAAGGACAAGATAACAAATCTCCCAGCAGCACTTAAGGCATAAATCTCAAACTCAATCAACCATTTTGAGGCTGAGAAAGAGTGAGAAAGAGAGTAGGTTCACCGCCAGACAGAGACAAACGATCTAAGTGGCTGCCTTTCATCTGGATATTGGGACAAAGTCGGTAGCAAAATAAGGATAAGGATAAGGAGCTGAAAGAGGAGCACTTGGAACACCAGGAACAGTCCCATCATCATCATTCTCCATGTTGATTTCACCTGAAATTGCGACCGCAACGAAGGACAAACAAACTCACATCGAAGGAGAACGCTTTCAAGGACACAACATGGCCAGGTATGTCGGCATTGGCTTTCTCTAAAATGTATTTTTCCTGTAATTTATACATTCGTTCACCTGTCAAAATATTTCCAGTTCAATGCTAACGAAAGCGAAGAAAGAAAATCGCATTTATCATTGGTTAGCCAACAAAAATTACAACATTTAGGAGAGTTTTTTCTCAAATAATAAAAGTGAAATTCGTTTTTTTGTTCTTCGGAGAAAAAGTTTAAATGTTGGTGTATTTAAGTTTTTTATGTGGAATATAGTTAGCAATATAAAGATCTCTTCATTGCTAAATAATCTTTTTGATGTCTTAAACTTGGTTTATATATAAATGTTTATTTGGAAAATCATTCAATGGATGTGCAGGATGGTAACACATAAGTTTGTGTCGTTATTTGTTTAAATATAATGTAAACATTCTTGTTCCCAGGAACTAAGAGTACTACATCCATTCGTTTAATAATTGGTTTTATCCTCGACCTCGAATTCTGATAGTAAAAGAGTAAATTTTTACAAGTTAATAGATCAATATCATATAACTTACCTGTCCATGAGCAACCGAAGGGTGCTCCGCTTAAGAATGAGCAGCACAAAATCTAAAATACCAATACTGGTATTGAGGTAATTAACTACCTTTGTAATCGTTGTCCAAATCTTGTGTTTCCACTTTATTAATTCGCATAAAAACAGCATCCACGATAACCCCATTATGACAGAAAGCCGCAGGAAGAGCATGTAACTATGGGGATTCGGATTTATTATTCTTTGTTGAAGAACTGCAAGAAAGGAGCTCTTACGTCTCTTTGTCGAATTCAAGGCGTTCTTTAAAATACTTCAGCTCCCTTTTAACTTTCAGAATGTGTATAATTGTCAAGATGAACATGGTCCAATTGAAGATACCTACGGTTATTAAGATCCCCGTGTAATAGATCCTGATATTCAAGTAAGGACCTATGAATGAGGTTAAATAGTTTAGGTGTGCCACCCTTAATATATCTCCCTTCGAATCGTACCAATCAACAGACATCTGCTTAAACCAACTATGGGCATTCCATTCCAATGATGGGGATCATTCTCCCAAACTTGGTTGATAACAATGATGATTCCAGTAAGAATAGAAGCAGGAATCCAGGCAACGGCACTGTAGACCAGGAAGCGATTTTCAGGTTCATGGCTTTTGAGCGTCGTCAGTGTCATCCATAAATGATAGCTGATTATGGAACTCCAGAAATAAAGAGCAATATTAATAAAGTAAAAAGTGTATCCTGCGGATAAACAATATAATATTCCAAGTTAAATATTCCAAATCCAAACAGAAAATCAACAACTGACCTGCTAGAGAGCAAACGTGGTCCAATAAACTTGCGTTTTCAAGCCCAAGGAGAAAATATACAACAGAATTGCATAAAAAGCTACTAACAAGACTCTTCCCGAGAACGTTCCTTAGCTGGTTTACGTAAAGATATATGGCAATGGTAAGGATGAGGCATACTATGGTAGTCATTGCGACTGGTGGAAAATACTCGTAAAACTTTTCAATAGAAAAGGAAGAAAATTATTATCTAGATCAGGTCTTACTAATTTGATCTGCTGTTTTCCATTTCTCAAAACAGTGGTGCACAACAATCCATAAAGTTTCTTGGAAGTCCGAATGGGGATAGAAGCAATATTCCTCAATGTTCCAATACGAATTCAATGAGTTAATATATATAGTTCCGTTCTGTTAATCTTAACTATTATTAGGGAACACTATTATCGATTCAAAGGCAAACCTCGAATAACGTATATTCGCCAGCATTTAGGCCGAGCATCTCATCGCAATCGTAGTTTCGGGTCCTCATCAACGTCTGGTTTGTGATATATTGAGTCTCCACAGAACCATCCTTGAATGTCACATTCAGGTAGGGATTTGATCGGGAAAGTTCCTCCTCGAAACCATCACTACATCTGCCATTCGGTAACATATTCTTGCGGGGACAGCAGAACCGTATGCAAGGCTTGACTTGGCAAACGCATCCTCTTAGATGTTTCGTCTGTGGTTGGCTTCCTCCATATAGTACCCTCCTGTAGTCATACTCACCTGTTAGGTTAGCAGGAATTATGATGCCTTCATATACATAAGAACCATTCTGCTTTTCAATATGTGACAGGTCCACAGTATCGTAATAGTTGCAGTCTGGAATATCCGTTTTAGAACTTGAAAAACTCAAGAGAACGTTGAAAATAAGAAACACTTTTATTCCCATTTTGAGCTATGAACCTTCTTCGTCAACAGCAAAACTTGAATAACTCTTTATGTAGTTGGTTTAAGTTAAAAACTGAATCAATTTATCATAAACGTCGACAAAATTTGGATTTTCAAAATTTTTCTCAGAGGAATACTTGGTAAATATAAAATAAAAGAATTAATGGTCCCGGGAGAACGCATTGGGTGGCTCCCCAACCCAATGGTCGGCCTGAATGCCAATCTTTTATCAAATACTTCAAGAAATCAAAAATTAATCATTTCTGTGTTTCTTCTGAATTGAATGTTGATGAAAGCATCCTGATCTTGATAGTGGTTCCATTCCAAGGGAAAATTGAAACACAATTAAATATATATTTATTTTTATCATCTTTTAGTTGTTTATTATTTAGTTTTTTTTTTCAGAAAGCAGATGCGGTTATTTTCCCTCTCAATGAAACTGTTGTACTTTACTTTACTTTTCCTTACTTTTAATACTGAGCTTACTCCCGACCGCGAATTCTGGAAGTAAAAGAATGGGGTAATGCTATTCAATGGAGTAATATCACATAGCTTACCTATCCATGAGCATCCGAAGGGTGCTCCGCTTTAGAATGAGCAGCACAAAATTTAAAATTCCGAGAATTTCATGAAGATAAGTAACTACCTCAGAAATCACCTCCCAAAATTTGTGTTCCCACTTTATTAATTTACATAAGACCATCATCCACGATAACCCCATTATGACGGAGAGCCGCAGGAAAAGAATGTAACTAAGGGGATTCGGACTTATTATTATTTATTATCAAACTCCAAAGTAACAAGGGCTTACGTCTCTCCGTCGAATTCAAGGCAGTTCAAGGTCCCATCCTGCCGTTGCCTAAAATACTTCAGATCCTTCTTAACTTTCCTAATGTATCTAGCTGTCAGGATGAACATGGTCCAATTGAAAATACCTATGACAATTAAGGGTCCATTGATGAAGATCCTTAAAGTCCGTTTAGAACCTTTAAAACAGGGTAAATAGTTAATTTGAAACCTCTCTTAAAATATCGTTTTTTGAAACATACCCACCAACACACATCTACTGAAACCAACTGAAGGCATCCAATTCCAGTAATGGGGATCATTCTCCCAGACTTTGTTGACCACAAATATGATTCCAGTGAAAAGAACAGCAGGAATCCAGGCAAAGGCACTGTAGACCAGGAAGCGATTTTCAGGATCATTGCGGCTTAGCGATGTCAGTGTCATCCATAAATGGTAGCTGATTACGGAAGTCCAGATAAAAAAAGCATTTTTGAAGAAGTAAGAGGTATAACCTGCAAGAGTACAAGTTATACACAAATAATTCTTGTTCAGTTAAATCGGTAATAAATTTTGGATCCCAATTCCAACCAGAAATGCATCAACTCACCTGTTAGAGAGCAAACTTCGTTCAATAAACTAGAATTATCCAGCCAAAAGAGTATCGCTATTACGATAATGCACAAAAAGGTGCTAATAAGACACTTTCCTAGGACATTCCGGAGCTGCTTTACGTAAAGATATATGGCAGTGGTAAGAATATAGCATACAACCGAAATCACATCGACTGGAAAAAAATAATTGGAAAAATTTAAAAGAAAATGGACAGTAATTCTCTATGCAGGGCCTTACGGGCTTGAATTTCTATCGAATATATCCAAACGCAGTGGTGCACAACAATCCATAAAGTTTCTTGGAAGTCCGAATGGGGATAAAAGCAATAATTCTCAATATTGAAATACAAATTGAATGAGTTAATATATATAATTCCGTCCTGTAAATCTTAAGTACAATAAGCAAACAATATAAACGATTCAAAGGCAAACCTCGAATAACGTGTATTCGCCAGCCCTAAGGCCTAGCATCTTATCACACTCGTAGTATTGGGTCCTCAATATGGTCTGCTTGTTGATGTATTGAGTCTCTATAGAACCATCTTCGAATGTCACATTCAGGTAGGGATTTGATCGGGAAAGTTCCTCCTTGAAACCATCGCTACATCCGCCATTCGGTAACATATTCTTGCGAGGACAGCAGAATCGTATGCAAGGCTTGACTTGACAAACGCATCCTCTCAGATGTTTCGTCTGTGGTTGGCTTCCTCCATATAGTACCCTCCTGTAGTCATACTCACCTGTTAGGTTAGCGGGAATTACGATGCCTTCATATACATAGGAACCATTCTGCTTTTCAATATGTGACAGGTCCACAGTATCGTAATAGTTGCAGTCTGGAATATCTGCTTTTGAACTCAAGAAACTCAAGAGGAAGTTGAAAATAAGAAACAGTTTTATTCCCATTTTGAGCTATGAACCTTCTCCGTCAACAGCAAAACCGGAATGAATCTCAATGAAATAGGTTCCAGTTGGAAACTAAATCAGTTCATCATAAGCGTTCAAAAATGTTGGAACTTCAAAACTTTTTCTCTAAGGAATACTTGGTGAACGTGAAAAAGAGTCTGATATTGGGAATTCATGGTCCCAAAAGAACAAATTAGGTAACAGATGGCGTGAATGCCAAGCTAAGTAATGATACAGATTCGTACGATGCTGTTCGATCCTGATCTTGATATTGAATGTTCGCAGTAATGGATCCAATCCAAAAGAATGTTGCAAAACATATAAATATATATATATTATATATTGTTTTTATCATTGTTTATTTATTTAATAGTTGCGGTTATTTTTCCAGGAATATACAACTGGTGTAATGAATATTTACATTTACTACCGAGTTTACTTCCGACCTCGAATTCTAGAAGTAAGAGAATGCGGTTATGCTAGGAAATGGATATCATATAGCTTACCTATCCATGAGCATCCAAAGGGTGCTCCCCTTAAGAATAAGTAGCACAAAATATAAAATACCAAGACATCCATTGAGATAATTATTTACATCAGTAATCGCCTTCCATAATTCGTGTTCCCATCGTATTTCATCAAATAAAAACATCAACAAGGTCAAACCCATTATGACGGAGAGTCGCAGGAAGAGAAAGTAACTATGGAATTTCAGATTTATTATTCTTAGCAAACTGTAAAAGTAAAACGGACTTACGTCTCTCCGTCGAATTCTAGACATGATGAGGTCCCATCCTGGCGTTTCTCAAAATACTTGACCTCCTTTTTAACCTTCCGAATGTATCTAATTGTCAGGATGAACATGATCCAATTAAAGATACCTGTGACAGTTAAGCGCATAACCATGAAGATCCTTCCAGTCCATCGAGAACCTTTAAAAGAAAGTTAATTAGAAACTTCTCATAAAAACTTTCCCTTCGAATCGTACCAACCACTACACAGGCACAGAAACCAACTATGGGCATCCAACTCCAGTAATGGGGATCATTCTCCCAGACTTTGTTAATCACAAAGATAATTCCAGTAAAAACGGCAGCAGGGATCCAGGCAAAGGCGCTGTAGACCAGGAAACGATTTTCAGGTTCATGGCGGCTAAGCGACGTCAGTCTCATCCATAAATGATAGCTGATTATGGAAGTCCAGAGAAAAAATGCAGTACAAAAGAAGAAAGAGGTATAACCTGCGGGGGTTAAAGTGATTCTTGTTCAGTTAAATCCATAATATCTTTTTGTTCCAATCTTAACAGAAATTCATTTACTAACCAACTAGAGAGCACACATCGTTCAATAAACTTGATTTTTCCAGCAAAAGGAGTATATTTTCAATAATAATGCATAAAAAGCTACTAACAAGGCACTTCCCGAGGACATTCCGTAGCTCCTTTAGGTAAAGATATATGGCACTGGTAAGGATGAGGCATACAATCGAAACCATCACGGCTGAAGGAAAACACTGGTACTAACACTGGTAAAAGAAAACTTATACAGGTATTCCCTAGGCAGGGCCTTACGGGTTTGAACATCCTTCGTCCATACGCCAGAGCAGTGGTGCACAACAATCCATAAAGTTTCTTGGAAGTCAGAATGGGGATAAAAGCAATATTCCTCAATATTCAAAGACGAACTTAATGAGTTTATATATATAGTTCCATTCTGTAAATCTGAAGTATTATTAGGGAACACCATTAGCGATTCAAAGGCAAACCTCGAAGATCGTGTACTCGCCAGCCCTCAGGTCGAGCACCTCGTCGCACTCATAGTACTGGGTCCTCATTATGGTCTGGTTGTTGATGTATTGAGTCTCTATAGAACCATCTTTGGATGTCACATTCAGGTACGGGTTTGATCGGGAAAGTTCCTCCTTGAAACCATCGCTACATCCGCCATTCGGTAACATATTCTTGCGGGGACAGCAGAAGCGTATGCAAGGCTTGACTTGGCAAACGCATCCTCTTAGATGTTTCGTCTCTGGTTGTCTTTCTCCAGATAGTAACCTCCTGTAGTCATACTCACCTGTTAGGTTAGCAGGAATTAGGATGCCTTCATATACATAGGAACCATTCTGCTTTTCAATATGTGACAGGTCCACAGTATCGTAATAGTTGCAGTCTGGAATATCCGCTTTTGAACTTGAAAAACTCAAGAGGAAGTTGAAAATAAGAAACACTTTTCTTCCCATTTTTAGCTATGAACCTTCTTAGTCAACAGCAAAACTTGAATGACTCTTGACGAAGTTTATAAATGAGTTCTTTCATTACGAACGTCCAAAAAATAGGAATTTAAGAATTTGTTCTCTGAGGAATACTTGATACTGATATTGGCAATTCATAGTCCCAGAAGAAAACTTTGGGCAACAGATGGCCTTAGTGTCAAGCTAAGCAATACGTACGATTCTTTCTCAAATACTTTATGGAATCAAAATTGATAGGTTTCTGTGTTTCTTATCAATTTAATGTTGATCTTAATATTGAATACTCACAGTACTGGTTCTAAGTAAAGGGAATAAAAGGGCATAGCTGCCAGTGATGGCTAATAGTTGGAAATGGGCCTGGCCATAAGTTTTACGACTGTTAATGTGCGATTTCGAGCTCTGGCCTAATGGCGGTCCTTCGGCAGTTGGGAGTTCGCAGTTAGCGGAGCTCTACTGCCACCACTTAAGAGCGATTTGTTGTTGTGCCACCTTTTCTATGGCTGACGCACTGCAAAAAAAAGTTTTATCACGATTCCAACATATATTTAAAGGCTAGTTTAGACGTTTTATATATTATTTTTATATTGCTTTCATTTCATATTTACATTTAAGAACAACATTGAAACGCAACACAATTGTTTTCATCATTTTTCTGAGTGCACTAGGACCTCTTTATCGCCGCTCCAACGAGCTTGGAGCAGGAAAACAATGGAAAAATTTCAAACGGATATGGATACATTTCCGGCGCGTGCTAAGTACGCAACAGCGAAAAGACAATGAGGAATTGTTTGTCATTAATTTAATTCCACTAAAGAAGACGTGCACACAGTACACATGCATTAAAAAAGGCGTCTCGGTTTTAAATTTCATTCGCTCCACCCATCCACCATGGGAGTGTTTTGTCAGTCGTCCTCGTCCTCGTTCTCGTCGTTGTACTCGCCCTCGTTCTTATCTTTATCCTCGTCCTCTGACTTTGAAAAGGCAAAAGCAAATAATTTGAGAAGGTGGCCAAAAGTTGCTGGAAAATAGGGGTGATATTTTTACAAGGTTTAATAAAGTATTTTGTAAATCATTTGTGGGCTTTTGTTTGATAGCATTTCTCATTTATTTCTTTCATAATTTATAAGATTTTAATTATTTTTAGTTAATAGATTTAAATTTGTATTTTTTAGCTATCGTTGTCCAAAAGGATTGCTCTTCGGAGCAATATCATACCAAGGGCCAACACTGCGTATGAGGCTTTTTGTCTCTATTACAATGTTAAGACTTTGATAAGTTCATAGGAATTTTAAGAGTATCTTCTAAATCACCTCAACTTACCATTATAACCAGCTATGTCATTCATTGCTGATGTAACATAAAAACATTGAGTTTACTCTCCTGATTCCATCATCAAATCGTTTTATATACATATTGTGAGAAAAAGGAGGTGAGGAGAGCTACAGGTGAACAGCAGGGACTAAAAAGAAACTGACGGCGTCATCTCATGTGTTTCTGGTTGGATTTTGATTGGCCATTGCACAACAACATGATGGCTAATCTTCCTTATGGCCCCCGTGATCCCCAAACCTCACCTGCTCTTTCACCTGCGTGCGAATTGCGTCAGAGCCAAGATTAATGGGTTTTCATGTAAGGCTTCCATTACGTTCTCATTTGTTTACGTTTGTCATTGAATCGGTTTTGTTTCAGTTTCTGCTTCACTTGGTTCCATTGTTGGTTTTTCTTTTTTGGTTTTAGAATGATATTTAGTCCATTTTTTGTTGGTCTGACATTTTGATTATGCAACCGCATGACAAAATGCGGCTTCTTTTATCTTCAGTTGACATTTCATTAGATTATGTTAATTCCAAAAATATTTGTTTGTTTTTAAGCAAAAGCAACAATGAAAGGAGTTCGGAATAAATATTAATATTTAATTATTCTTTTGTGAAATACTTTAAGAGCATCCGGAATTTTCATTTTTCAGTTAAATAAAGTGAAAAATATTTTCTCTTGATTGGATTTGTCTTTTGTTGGGCAACAGAAAAAGGAAGCAATCGTTCAGCCGTAAATATTACGGTTGGAATTCCAACAATTTGACCTTGTTCCCCTATAATATATGTATATATATATGTATTATATATGAGAGTGTGTGAGCTTTTGTGGTCTTCTGTTGTCACTTTGATTAGGCCTTCTGCAGAAACGTGGCCCAATCCTTTACGCTTGTCCGTTCAATTCGCCGCATATCCTTGCCAGTTCATTAAGACGGTTCTGCCGGTTTTTCCTCCCCTTTTTTTTTTGGCAACTTTATGCATAACGAAAATTGTATTTTGGTAGCAATGTCATTTGGCTGTGTTGGCCATTTTCATGGTGGCTCTTATGTCATGACCAACAACAATTAACGTTTATGTCGCCGGGTGTATTTCTTTTTTTGCTCCCTTTTTTTTACAAGGGTTGCTGTTGAGTCGCACCTTCAACAGAGAAATAGAGAGAGAAAGAGAGAGACAGACAAAGTGAGAGTGGGAAAATGAGAGGAAAACTGGGAGCCAGCGAAGCCTTAGGAAAGTTTTTATTCAACTTTTTCGCAGCGGGCAAATGAAGCAAAAGTTTTAAAGGCAAACTTAAATGAGCAAGGACACAATAATCCCTTGCCTCGCGCAGCTTCAAATGAGCCATCAAAGGAAAGTTAAGGCCAAGTCGGTACTGTTGGCCTCGATTTTCCGTTTGGCCTCTAAAAACATCAGACCATGTCCAGCCTCAATGCCAAAAGTTACGCATTGTTCATGTAATAAATTATGTATTTAATTTTAAGTTTTGGTAGTATTTAGTTTCAGCCTTATAATAGTAACTTAGCAGAAAAAGTTATTATTTAAAAATATTTAAACAACATTTAAAACGTCCAAAGTATTGTTTCAATATATCAGTTAATTGCTTTGATTCTGAATAGCGCCATCTACATCAGATGTATTCCTTAAATCGGCATTCTTAGTGCCAAATTTCTAGCCCCTTCCTGAGATGTGAGAGATGGGATAGTAAGAAGAGATAAATAGACAGTCGGACATAACTAGAGTGAGTCATGTAAGATCATGATCGTATATATATATATATACTTCATAGGGACCCTTCCTTTTGTCTGCTGCTAACTTTTCAACTAATGGAACATACCCCTTTCCTGAACAAATAATGAGTATATCTACTATCTAGTTAACATTTTAGTTGAAAATCAGAAATCAAAAATAATTCGATTATAAGCAATTAACCAATTAAAAGCAATATCCATGTTCTAGTCATATTTTAGTAGGGGTTAAGTATTTTCTCTGAATTTGATTTAAAAATGAACAGAGTGCAGTTAAGCGATCGTGAAGGTGTTAACTTTTCAAAGTGTTGCAAATCTGTTTAATGATCGCCTAACATTAGCAGGCAATTAAATGCAATTAATGGGTGAAATAATTGCAAACAATTAAAATCGCTGGCCAACACTTGACCGGATTATTGAGTGGCAATTCAATGGAGCGGATGACTTTAAATGGCCACTTTGGCTGCGATTGTGCCACCCCGTCATCCATATTTTTCCCTTTTTTCTTCTTCTTCTTTCATTCGTTTTGAGCTCAGGCGGTGGAAAGTCTGTCCTTGCATACAAAACAACTCATTATAAGGCAAAACAAATTGTGGCAAACATTTCAGAACGTAATTTCTCTAGATTCCAATCGTTTTTCCGCAGTCCTGGCAACCTTTCTGGGGCGGAAGAAAATGCTGATGGGGATGACGGTGAGGGAGGTGTTGCTATTTGTCTTGAGCTTTGCGGCGACATTTTATCAAGCTTAGTTGCTTAGGTCCAGTCGGAAAAGCTGGCAAGCAGCTTTCCCAGCCATTTGAGTTATTTAAACTGCGCTTGCGGTTAAATTAACGCGATTTATATGAATTTATCGTTGCCCACACTCTGATTTCCCCACACCCCCCTTGGATTTTCCTTAGCTTTAGTTAACTTGTTTCCCTTTGTTTGCTCTTATTTTTTCCCTTTGGCATTTGTTTGTCTCTCTGTTCTTTTGGAGCTAAGAAAAAATGAAAATTTCCACGGCATTTTTTGGGGGGCACGTGGAAATCTTTGTGGGATTTGCATGCTCCCAGCGTGATTTCTGGCTTTATTGCCGTGCCAGTCGACCCCGGAAAACCCGCTCCATATTTCTTCCTCGTCCTTTCTTTTTTTTTTTTATAGTATATGTTTGCATTTTGAAGGCGAATCGATTTATTGTTTTTTTTTCCACTTTATACTTTTTTTTGCCCGATTTTACGTGGCGCGCGTGACGAGCGCAGACTTTGTATTACGTGCTATTACATGTTATTGATCTCCACCCACACCGCCCACTCGATTTACTTTATTTTTACACCCTTTGACACACACTCACACATACACATAATGTTGTTGCAAACTAGTTTATGAATTTAACTTTAAATAATAACAAATAATATACATTTATTCATATTTAAATTGATCCATTAGCATAGGTATTTTCATAATTAACTTTTTCGCAATTTAAAAATAAAAATATCTATCTATTTACATACACTATTTTAACTTATAAGTAAAATTTAATGAATTTAGTGAATTTAGTTTGAAAACGTAGTCTAGAACGTAAGTGATTACTACGTTGTAATTACGAGAGAGGGAGAGTATAACATATTACGTACGTACGGCACCGTTAGTTAATAAACAGGGGTTATATGCATCAAAAAACAGATGGCGCCAGTAAAACTTATCAGTTTAACTCGTTTAAAAAACGGAGTGGTGGGTATCTGATACTCGAAATTCATCTCCCAAAGGAGATCATAATCATAATCAGCATAATTTGAAAATCTGATCGCGAATTCTGGAAGTAAAAGAATGGGGTTATGCTAGTAAAGGGATCCATATCATATATCTTACCTATCCATGAGCATCCGAAGGGTGCTGCGCTTAAGAATGAGCAGCACAAAATATAAAATACCGATACTGCTATTGAGATAATTAACTACCTTAGTAATCACCTCCCATAATTCGCGATCCCACTTTATTAATTCACATAAGAAAAGCATCCACGATAACCCCATTATAACGGAGAGCCGCAGGAAAAGAATGTAACTAAGGGGATTCGGACTTATTATTATTTATTATCAAGCTCCAAAGTAACAAGGGCTTACGTCTCTCCGTCGAATTCAAGGCAGTTCAAGGTCCCATCCTGCCGTTGCCTAAAATACTTCAGATCCTTCTTAACTTTCCTAATGTATCTAGCTGTCAGGATGAACATGGTCCAATTGAAAATACCTATGACAATTAAGGGTCCATTGATGAAGATCCTTGAAGTCCATTCAGAACCTTTAAAGCAGGGTAAATAGTTAATTTGAAACCTCTCTTAAAATATCGTTTTTTGAAACATACCCACCAACACACATCTACTGAAACCAACTGAAGGCATCCAATTCCAGTAATGGGGATCATTCTCCCAGACTTTGTTGACCACAAAGATGATTCCAGTGAAAAGAACAGCAGGAATCCAGGCAAAGGCACTGTAGACCAGGAAGCGATTTTCAGGTTCATTGCGGCTAAGTGATGTCAGTGTCATCCATAAATGATAGCTGATTACGGCAGTCCAGAGATAAAGAGCATTTCTGAAGAAGTAAAAAGTGTAACCTGCAAGGGTACAAGTTATACTCAAATACTTTTTTTAACCAATTTGGGTTCCAATTCCAACCAGAAATGCATCAACTCACCTGTTAGAGAGCAAACTTCGTTCAATAAACTTGAATTATCCAGCAAAAAGAGTGTATGTATAACGATAATGCACATAAAGCTACTAATAAGACATTTTCCAAGGATGTTCCGAAGCTGCTCTACGTAAAGATATATGGCACTGGTAAGGATGGTTAATATAAGCGAAATCATCGAGACTAGAGGAATATTCTTGTAAAATTATAAGATTAAATGGGGAAAATATCCCTAGACAGGGCCTCACAAGTTAGAATCGTTGTTGTCCATTTTACAGAGCAGTGGTGCACAACAAGCCATAAACTTTCTTGAATGTCAGAATGGGGATAAAAGCAATATTTCTCTTTACTGAAATACAAACTGGATGAGTTAATGTATATAGTTCCATTCTGTAAATCTGAAGTATTATTAGGGAACACTATTAGCGATTCAAAGGCAAACCTCGAATAACGAGTACTCGCCAGCCTTCATGGCGAGCACCTTGTCGCACTCATAGTACTGGGTCCTCATTATGGTCTGGTTGTTGATGTATTGAGTCTCTATAGAACCATCCCCCCGACTTACATTTAGGTAAGGATTTGATAGGGAAAGTTCCTCCTTAAAACCATCACTACATCCGCCATTGGGTAACATATTTTTGCGAGGACAGCAAAACCGGACGCACGGCTTCTCTTGGCAAAGACATCCTCTCAGATGTTTCGTCTGTGGTTGCCTTCCTCCATATGGTATCATCTTGAAGTCATACTCACCTGTTAGGTTAGCAGGAATTACGCTGCCTTCATATACATAGGAACCATTCTGCTTTTCAATATGTGACAGGTCCACAGTATCGTAATAGTTACAGTCTGGAATATCAGCTTTTGAACTTGAAAAACTCAAGAGAAGGTTGAAAATAAGAAACACTTTTATTCCCATTTTGAGCTATGAACCTTCTTCGTCCACAGCGAAACTCGAGTGGCTTTCTGTAAAGTTGGTTCAAGTTTAAATAGCTGATTAAATTCATTAAGGAGGGCCACACATTTATATTTCAAAATTCGTTCTCAGAGAACGAAACTATATAGAACAAACTATTGTAGACGGAAACTCGAAATTCATAAAACTAATGGACCCAAAAGAAAGCAACAGATGGCGTGGATTTATATGAACTAAGCTGGCAGTGATAAGGATTCGAACGATTTGTTTATCGAATTGTTCAGGAGATTAAAATATATATATATATTTTTTTTCATAAATATGAAATTACATTTTTGAGCGATATATATAGATTATAATTTCTTGCTAATTAATATTAGAAAGAATTTGTGTTACATGCTGTTACAAGTGCTGATCTCCTAGATCTCTCTAGAAGACACAGAACTTCCCTCAGTACCTATTGATTGACCAAAAATTTTAAATTCGAACAATTTATTGGAAATGTTACGGCACTTATCAGTTTAGGTTAAAAAAACAGAGTTGTGGGTATCTGACAGTAGCTCTAACACCTGGCTGGACGTGTCTACTCCAAATTTATTTTCCATAGGAAATCATAATCATAATCAGCATAATTTGACAATCGGACCACGAATTCTGGAAGTAAAATAATAGGGTTATACTAGTGAATGGATTAATATCATATATCTTACCTATCCATGAGCATCCGAAGGGTGCTGCGCTTAAGAATAAGTAGCACAAAGTATGAAATACCGAGACATCCATTGAGATAACTAACTACATCAGTAATCATCTTCCATAATTCGTGTTCCCGATTTATTGCTTCAAATAAAAACAGCACCCAGGACAAGCCCATTATGACGGAGAGGCACAGGAAGAGAAAGTAACTATAGAATTTCAGATTTATTATTCTTGGCAAGCTGTAAAAGTAAAACGGACTTACGTCTCTCTCGGTAGATAGGAACCATTCTGTTTTTCCACAGTATTTTAATAGTTGCAGTCTGGAATATCCTCTTTGGAACTTGAAAAACTCAAGAGGAAGTTGAAAATAAGAAACACTTATATTCCCATTTTGAGCTATGAACCTTATTCGTCAACAGAGAAACTCGAATGACGCTCGATGAAGTAGGTTCCAGTTCAAAACTAAATCATTTAATAATTAACGTCCAAAAATATTTCAATTTCAAAATGTATACTCTGACGAATACTTGGTGAATATAAAATAAGAGACTGTTGCTAAGAATTAATGGTCCCGGGAGAACGCATTGGGTTGCTACCCAACCCAATGGTCGGCCTGAATGCCAAGCCAAGCAATCATAAATTATATATATATTTTTTTTATTTTACTTTGCTATTTATTTATTGAATCTTCTCCCTTTGGAGACTAACAATTAGTGTATCAAATCTTAAAACTAATTAATCTAACTAACAGTCATATGACTGATATTGTGCTATTGGGGGACCGAAAGGGCTTGGCAGATCGTTTCGTTGTAGACGAGATCGGCTGGGAAGCCAAGTCAAGCTTCTTGCAAGACGATTGGGGTGCACAGAGAGTTTTTCATTGTAGGAGGCTTTTTGTTTGTCTATTTCATCATTTACGGTAAGAATGCCTAGGTCCCTGTGGATGTTTTGATTGCGAATATACCATGGTACCCCAGTGATAACGCGCGATTGAACGCGAGTGGACGGCGAGATACGTCACATCGTTAACTTGGGGAATCTGAGTATTATTCAATGATATTGGAGGGAAAGTTTGCCTGTTGAGGGTAAACGTTATGTGTTTACATTTTGCTTACCGCCAGGGGCCTTTTTCTGTTTCAGTTCCCCAATGACTTTCGCGATCTCCTTCGGCTGAAACAATGGTGGCAGGGAAATAGATTCAGATTCGATTTGTGGTAGTACAAATGAACTAGTGGCAGGGTTCGGCTGGAAGACGTTTCTGAGATGTAAAGCAAAAGTTTCGGCTCTATCCCCGTCACAGCGGACCCAGCTGCTAGATGAATTTCTTATCGGCGTGACTGTTTTGATAGGGGAGCTCAGATTTGGATGAGCCCTCCAGAGAGGATGTTTTGAACTGGTTGGCGAAAGTTTTTTAATATACCGCAGGTGTGCGTTTTCTGTTTCTTGTTTTAGAGCTCGATTTAGTGTGGGAGTGTCTTTATTAAGACGTTGTTTTGATGACGGCGATCTGTTGGTTTGCCAGGCACGTCGCAGGCTCCACTTTTCTAGGACTAGCCGTTCAATTTGCAGATTATTTTTCAGGTGGTTGGTTTGCATCTCCCTGCCTTGTGGTGTTGCGATAGTGGTTGCCTCTACAAATACTTCTTCAAAAGCATCGGTTGAGCCATCGATGTCAGCTGCGAAATTAATTTAAGGGTTTAATTTGATGTGTGAGCTTACAGACTTTTTATACCCGTTACTCGTAGAGTAAAAGGGTAAACTAGATTCGTTGAAAAGTATGTAACAGATAGAAGGAAGCGTTCCCGACCCTATAAAGTATATATATTCTTGATCAGGATCAATAGCGAAGTCCATTGAGCCATATCCGTCCGTCCGTCTGTCCGTCCGTCCGTCTGTCCGTCCGTCCGTTTGTCCGTCCGTCCGTATGCACGCTTAAATCTCAGGAACTATAGCAGATACAAAGTTGAGATTAAGCATGAAGATTCTTGAGGTCCCGGGACAGCGCAAGTTCAGCATCCTGCCACGCCCACTCTAACGCCCACAAATCGCTAAAATCTCGGGAACTATTAGAGCTAGAAAGTTGAAATTCAGTATGTATAAACTTTGGATGCCAGCGCATCTTTTAGTGGTACTATTATCTGGCAACACCCACCCATACGCCCACCACGCTAGAAAGACGGTTTTCGCATTTTCAAGAAAACCTCATATCTCGGTAACTATAAGTGATAGAAAGTTCGGATTACGCATGTAGATTTTAATGATGCCCCAAATGCGAATTGTTTTTTTCCATCTCGCCACGCCCACCCTAACGCCCACAAAACCCAAAAACACAAAAAAAAAAAATCTCGGGAACTAAAAGAGCTAGCTAGAGGCTTAAGAATACGTATTTAAGGGTAGCCACTGTAACTTTCCATGAGCTTTTATCCGGCCACGCCCACTCTAACGCCTACAAACCGCGGAACACTGTGGCGTCTATAATAATATTATAAATCCCTTCGTTTGACGTTGTATAACTTGTTTCTGTTTATATCGATTTTTCAAATCGGAACATTATTTCGCTACTTATGAAGAACTGTAGGTTATAAGGCCTCACATGGGCAGTGACGACATGCTTTCTCCGACAATAGGTGGCGCTTGGGTAATTTCCACTAGCAAAATGAATATTTTAAAATTGTGTAAAACAGTAACGGGTATCTTATAGTCGCGACACTCGACTATAGCGTTTCCTCTTGTTGTATTTTAATCAGTTGGTTCTGTGCGACGTCAACCTGTGGGGGTCCTCTGAAGTTTTTGTGCTTTAAAGCAGAGTTATTTGCACTAGCGAATGGTCTGACGACATGGCGAAGTCCAATTTGTTGATCGGTTTTATGATTGCATTGTATAATTGCCTTCCTTTAGAAGTCACAAGGCGTGATCCCCAGTACGTGTGTTCGGTATTATAGTCCCCTGCGGCTATTAAACGATCTCCAAGCAGGATGTAGAAGTCCATTAATTGTCCTTTAGAAAGTGTAAAGCGAGGTGGGGCAGTAGACAGCGGCTATGGTGAGGTTTCCGTTGCCTGACTGCACTTGTATAGACATGGCTTGCAAATAATTAGTTGCAAAACTGAAATGGTGAAAGTGGTGGATGGAAACATCCTGATCTTGATATTCAATGTGGGCAGTACTGGTTTGCATCCAATGCAACTTTAAAACACAATTAAATATATATTAATTTTTATCGTTACTTATTTGTTTATTATTTAGTTTTTTTAGAAAGCAGATGCGGTAATTTTCCCATGGAAAATGAAACTTCTGCAGTACATCTCTACTTTTACTACTGAGTTTACTCCCGACCTCGAATTCTGGAAGTAAAAGGATGGGGTAATGCTATTCAATGGTGTAATATCACGTAGCTTACCTATCCATAAGCATCCGAAGGGTGCTCCGCTTAAGAATGATTAGCACAAAATAGAAAACACCGATACTGCTATCGATAAAATTAACTACATTAGTAAGCGCCTCCCATAATTCGCGTTCCCAGTTTATTAATTCATATAAGAACATCATCCACGATAACCCCATTATAAAGGAGAGCCGCAGGAAAAGAATGTAACTAAGGGGATTCGGATTTATTATTATTCCTTATCAAACTCCAAAGTAACAAGGACTTACGTCTCTCCGTCGAATTCAAGGCAGTTGAACGTCCCTTCATGGCGTGCCTTTAAATACTTCAGATCCTTCTTAACTTTGCGAATGTATCTAATTGTGAGGATGAACATGGTCCAATTGAAAATACCTATGACAATTAAGGGTCCATTCATGAAGATCCTTAAAGTCCATTTAGAACCTTTAAAACAGGGTAAATAGTTAATTGGAAACCTGTCTTAAAATATCACTTTTTGAAACATACCCACCATCACGCATCTACTGAAACCAACTATGGGCATTCCATTCCAATGATGGGGATCATTCTCCCAGACTTTGTTGATAACAAAGATAATTCCAGTAAAAAGAGCAGCAAGAATCCAGGCAAAGGCACTGAAGACCAGGAAGTGATTTTCAGGTTCATGGCTTTTGAGCGACGTCAGTGTAATCCATAAATGATAGCTTATTACGGAAGTCCACAAATAAAGAGCGACATGATTGAAGTAATAAAAGTAACCTGCATGGGTTCAAGTTATACACAAATAATTCTTGTTCAGTTAAATCGGTAATAAATTTGGATCCCAATTCCAACCAGAAATGCATCAACTCACCTGTTAGAGAGCAAACTTCGTTCAATAAACTTGAATTATCCAGCCAAAAGAGTATCTGTATTACGAGATGGCACAAAAAGAAGCTAATAAGACATTTGCCAAGGACGTTCCGAAGCTCCTTTACGTAAAGATATATGGCAGTGGTAAGGTTGGTTAATATAAGCGAAATCATCGAGACTAGAGGAATATTCTTGTAAAATTATAAGATTAAATGGAAAAAAAATATCCCTAGACAGGGCCTCACAAGTTAGATCCGTTGTTGTCCATTTTAAAGAGCCGTGGTGGAGAACAATCCATAAGGTTTCTTGAAAGTTTGAATGGGCGTAAAAGCAATATTTCTCTTTACTAAAATACGAACTGGATGAGTTAATGTATACAGTTCCATTCTGTAAATCTGAAGTATTATTAGGGAACACTATTACCGATTCAAAGGCAAACCTCAAATAACAAGTACTCGCCAGCCCTCAGGCCGAGCACCTCATCGTACTCATAATACTGGGTCCTCATTATGGTCTCGTTGTAGATGTATTGAGTTTTTATAGAACCATCCCCCCGACTTACATTTAGGTAGGGATTTGATAGGGAAAGTTCCTCCTTAAAACCATCACTACATCCGCCATTGGGTAACATATTTTTGCGAGGACAGCAAAACCGGACGCACGGCTTCTCTTGGCAGAGACATCCTCTCAGATGTTTCGTCTCTGGTTGCCTTTCCCAGTATGGTATCATCTTGAAGTCATACTCACCTGTTAGGTTAGCAGGAATTACGATGCCTTCATATACATAGGAACCATTCTGCTTTTCAATATGTGACAGGTCCACAGTATCGTAATAGTTGCAGTCTGGAATATCCGCTTTTGAACTTGAAAAACTCAAGAGAAGGTTGAAAATAAGAAACACTTTTATTCCCATTTTGGGCTATGAACCTTCTTCGTCCACAGCGAAACTCGAGTGGCTTTCTGTAAAGTTGGTTCAAGTTTAAATAGCTGATTAAATTCATTAAGGAGGGCCACACATTTATATTTCAAAATTCGTTCTCAGAGAACGAAACTATATAGAACAAACTATTGCAGACGGAAACTGGAAATTCATAAAACTAATGGACCCAAAAGAAAGCTACAGATGGCGTGGATTTATATGAACTAAGCTGGTAATGATAAGGATTTGTTTATCGAATTGTTCAGAAGATTAAAATTTATATATATGTTTTTATCATAAATATGAAATTACATATTTGAGCGATATATATAGATTATAATATCTTGCTAGTTAATATTGGTCAGACATTGTGGTTCGTGCTATTAAAGTTGTTGATCTCCACCCACACCGCCCACTCGTTTTACTTTATTTTTACGTATGTTACATACTAAGCTTTAATAACTGTGGCATTCGTTTATGAATTTAACACACCCATCAAAAATCGTTTATTAACATTGAAATGGATTTATAGGTAAAATCATTTTTATAATTTAATTTTTCCACAATGTAAAAATAAAAATGTTTATTTATTTACATCGTCAACATATAAACTACAAACAAACTATTAACACTAATATATAAAACATAGTAACTGAAAACGTAGTCTAGAACGTAGGTTATTACTACGAAGTAATTACGAGAGAGAGTATTACGTAATCGTAGGTAACAGGCAGAAGGAATGGTTTCCGATCTATAACAAATATAACTGTTGAAGAATAGATCGGTCATTTAGCATTATTGTATTATTGTCAAATCGCACCTAGTTAAATGCTCATCATTGTATTGTTGTTCTAATCGTAGCTAGTTAAAAGCACATCATTGTTTTGTTTTTTTGTCTCAAAGCTTGAAGCTCACACGCATAGACGAAATTGCAGTAAATTTGCATTAGTATTGCAGTATCACGCGTTTTTCTGCATTATCTTTTCTGCACGTTTTTTCGGCAGTTATGGATAGTTTTTGACTCGCTCGCAACCGCTCGCAACTTGCCCCGCTTAACATATTGTAAACCCGCTTATAATTAAGAAATAAACTGGAATCCTAATAAAAAGAAAAACAGTCCACCTAATTCGCCAACAATAACAAAAAAATTATAATAATATTCAAGGCCCATAACTGAGACATTATCGTCCGTCCGTCACTCTGTTCCTATGAACACTGTGATCTGCGAAATTAGAAGACACAGAACTTCCATCAGTACATATTGATTGACGAAAAATTTAAAATTCGAACAATTTATTGGTTAGTTAGTTAATAAACATGTCTTATATGCATCAAGAAATAGATGGCGCCAGTAAAACTTATCAGTTTAGGTTAAAAAAACAGAGTAGTTGGTATCTGACAGAAGAAAGGAAATCATAATCATCATCAGCATAATTTGACAATCTGTCCTCGAATTCTGGAAGTAAAATAATAGGGTTATACTAGTGAATGGATTAATATCTTACATCTTACCTATCCATGAGCATCCGAAGGGTGCTGCGTTTAACAATGAGCAGAACAAAATAGAAAATACCGAGACTGTGATTGAGATACTCAACTACCTCAGTAATCACCTCACGAAATTCGTTTTCCCCCCTTATTAAATCACTTAAAAACAGCATCCACGACAACCCCATTATGACAGAGAGACGCAGGAAGAGAAAGTAACTAAGGGGATTCCGATTTATTATTCTTGGTTGAAAACTTTCAAAGTAAGAAGGACTTACGTCTCTCCGTCGAATTCAAGGCAGTTCAAGGTCCCATCCTGCCGTTGCCTAAAATACTTCAGCTCCTTCTTCACTTTCCGAATGTATCTAATTGTGAGGATGAACATGGTCCAATTAAAGATACCTGTGACAGTTAAGGCTCCATTATCGAAGACCATCGAAGTCCATTTAGAACCTTTAAAAAAAGGACAAATTTTATTAAAAACCTATCGTAAAATACCACTTTGTGAAACATACTCATACTCACACATTCACTGAAACCAACTAAAGGCATCCAATTCCAGTAATGGGGATCAATCTCCCAGACTAAGTTGATAACAAAGGTGATTGCAGTGAAAAGAACAGCAGGGATCCAGGCAAAGGCACTGTAGACCAGGAAGCGATTTTCAGGTTCATTGCTGTTGAGTGACGTCAGTGTCATCCATAAATGATAGCTGATTACTGAAGTCCAGAGATAAAAGGCCATCTCGAAGAAGATATAGGTGTATCCTGCACTGAAACAAGTTATATAGAATTGATCCTTATTTAGTTAAATACGTAATTTAACTTTCCGAAAAGAAATTCAACAACTGACCTGTTAGAGAGCAAACTTCGTTCAACAAACTTGAATTATCTAGCAATTCGAGTATATATAAAATAATATTGCAAACAAAGCTACTAACAAGGCACTTCCCAAGGACATTTAGTAGCTGCTTTACGTAAAGATATATGGCAGTAGTAAGAATATAGCATACAATCGAAATCATCATGACTGGAGGAAAATACTTTAAAAATATAAAAGAAATTGGACAGTAATTCTGGGTTTGAATTTCTTTCGTATATATTTCAACGCAGTGGTGCACAACAATCCATAATGATTCTAGGAAGTCCGAATGGGGATAAAAGCAATATTCCTCAATGTTCCAATACGAATTGAGTGAGTTAATATATATAGTTCCATTCTGTAAGTCATAAGTGTTATTAGGGAACACTATTACCGATTCAAAGGCAAACCTCGAATAACGAGTACTCGCCAGCCCTCAGGCCGAGCACCTCATCGTAATCATAATACTGGGTCCTCATTATGGTCTGGTTGTTGATGTATTGAGTCTCTATAGAACCATCCTCCAGACTTATATTTAGGTAGGGATATGACCGGGAAATTTCCTCCTTAAAACCATCACTACATCCGCCAGTGGGTAACATATTTTTGCGAGGACAGCAAAACCGGACGCACGGCTTCTCTTGGCAGAGACATCCTCTCAGATGTTTCGTCTCTGGTTGCCTTTCCCAGTATGGTATCATCTTGAAGTCATACTCACCTGTTAGGTTAGCAGGAATTACGATGCCTTCATATACATAGGAACCATTCTGCTTTTCAATATGTGACAGGTCCACAGTATCGTAATAGTTGCAGTCTGGAATATCCGCTTTTGAACTTGAAAAACTCAAGAGAAGGTTGAAAATAAGAAACACTTTTATTCCCATTTTGGGCTATGAACCTTCTTCGTCCACAGCGAAACTCGAGTGGCTTTCTGTAAAGTTGGTTCAAGTTTAAATAGCTGATTAAATTCATTAAGGAGGGCCACACATTTATATTTCAAAATTCGTTTTCAGAGAACGAAACTATATAGAACAAACTATTGGAGACGGAAACTCGAAATTCATAAAACTAATGGACCCAAAAGAAAGCAACAGATGGCGTGGATTTATATGAACTAAGCTGGCAGTGATAAGGATTCGAACGATTTGTTTATCGAAATGTTCAGGAGATTAAAATTTATATATAATATGTTTTCATCATAAATATGAAATTACATATTTGAGCGATATACTCGTATATAGATTATAATTTCTTGCTAATTAATATTAGAAAGAATTTGTGTTACATGCTGTTACAAGTGTTGATCTCCTAGATCTCTCTAGAAGACACAGAACTTCCCTCAGTACATATTGATTGACGAAAAATTTAAAATTCGAACAATTTATTGGTTAGTTAGTTAATAAACATGTCTTATATGCATCAAGAAATAAAACTTATCAGTTAAGTTAAAAAACAGAGTAGTGGGTATCTGACAGTAGCTCTAACACCTGGCTGGACATGTCTACTCCAAATTTATCTTCCAAAGGAAATCATAATCATCATCAGCATAATTTGACAATCTGTCCTCGAATTCTGGAAGTAAAATAATGGGGTTATACTAGTGAATGGATTAATATCTTACATCTTACCTATCCAAGAGCATCCGAAGGGTGCTGCGTTTAAGAATAAGTAGCACAAAGTAGGAAATACCGAGACATCCATTGACATACCTAACTAAATCAGTAATCGTCTTCCAATGTATTGCATTAAATAAGAACAGCACCCAGGACAAGCCCATTATGACGGAGAGGCGCAGGAAGAGAAAGTAACTATAGAATTTCAGATTTATTATTCTTGGCAAACTGTAAAAGTAAAACGGACTTACGTCTCTCCGTCGAATTCTAGACAGGATGAGGTCCCATCCTGGCGTTTCTCAAAATACTTGACCTCCTTTTTAACTTTCTGAATGTGTCTTATTGTCAGAATGAACATGATCCAATTAAAGATACCTGTGACAGCTAGGCACATACGGAAGAAGATCCTTTCAGTCCATTGAGAACCTTTAAAAGAAAGTTAATTAGAAACTTCTCATAAAAACATTCCCTTCGAAACATACCAACCAACACACAGGCACTGAAACCAACTATGGGCATCCAATTCCAGTGATGGGGATCATTCTCCCAGACTTTGTTTACCACAAAGATGATTCCAGTAAATAAGGCAGCAGGGATCCAGGCAAAGGCACTGTAGACCAGGAATCGATTTTCAGGTTCATGGCGGCTAAGCGACGTCAGTCTCATCCATAAATGATAGCTGATTACGGAAGTCCAGAGAAAAAGTGCAGTACAAGAGAAGAAAGAGGTATAACCTGCGGGGGTTAAAGAGATTCTTGTTCAGATAAATCCATAATATCTTTTTGTTCCCATCTTAACAGAAATTAATTTACTAACCAACTAGAGAGCACACATCGTTCAATAAACTTGATTTTTCCAGCAAAAGGAATATATATTCAATAATAATGCATAAAAAGCTACTAACAAGGCACTTCCCGAGGACATTCCGTAGCTCCTTTACGTAAAGATATATGGCACTGGTAAGGATGAGGCATACAATCGAAACCATCACGGCTGAAGGAAAACACTGGTACTAATATGTAAAAGAAAACCTATACAGGTATTCCCTAGGCAGGGCCTTACGGGTTTGAACATCCTTCGTCCATACGCCAGAGCAGTGGTGGAGAACAATCCATAAAGTTTCTTGGAAGCCCGAATGGGGATAAAAGCAGTATTCCTCTATATTCAAATACGAACTGAATGACTTAATATATATAGTTCCATTCTGTAAATCTGAAGTATTATTAGGGAACACTATTAGCGATTCAAAGGCAAACCTCGAAGATCGCGTACTCGCCAGCCCTAAGGCCTAGCATCTCATCACACTCGAAGTATTGGGTCCTCATTATGGTCTGGTTGTTGATATATCGAGTCTCTATAGAATCATCCTCGAATGTCACATTCAGGTAGGGATTTGATCGGGAAAGTTCCTCCTCGAAACCGTCGCTACATCCGCCATTGGGTAACATTTTATTGCGGGGACAGCAGAACCGTATGCAAGGTTTGACTTGGCAAACGCATCCTCTCAGATGTTTCGTTTCTGGCTGCCTTCCTCCATATGGTATCATCTTGAAGTCATACTCACCTGTTAGGTTAGCGGGAATTACGATGCCTTCATATTCATAGGAACCATTCTGCTTTTCAACATGTGACAGGTCCACAGTATCGTAATAGTTGCAGTCTGGAATATCCGCTTTTGAACTTGAAAAACTCAAGAGAAGGTTAAAAGTAAAGAAAACTTTTCTCCTCATTTTTAAGCTATGAACCTTCTTCGTCAACAACTAAACTCGGAGTGAATTTCTATAAAGTTGGTACGAGTTAAAAAAACTGATTAAATTCATTAAGGAGGGCCACACACATTTCTATTTTAAGATTCGTTCTCAGACGGACGGAAATGCAAAATTCATAAAACTAATGGACCCAAAAGAAAGCATTCAGTAAAAGATGGCGTGGATTTATATGAAATAAAGCTGGCAATGATAAGGACTTAAAAGATTTGTTTATCTTGAACAATTATAGACTCTAAAAATTATATATAATATATATTTTAATGATAAATATGAAATTACATTATTGAGCGATAACTATGAAATGTAATTTATGAATGAAACTGCTAATGTGATGCCCTTCTAGTTTTAGTTAAAACTTCAAAGCTGTCTCTTGAAGACAGCTCTTTTTCAGCTTTAGATTGTTATTTTGCTGAGCTGAAACTAATCACTTTCCATTTAAAGCAAACAAATGAACTCGATAATTAGGAACACGCATGCACTTGTGTTCGATAAATTCAGCTATAAAAGCATTAATTTTGCACATTTTTAGGTCATTATCCATATCGAATTACGTTGGTCGGATAATAAATCAATGCCAGATTCTGGTTCCATTTTAGATATCAAATACATTTGTTCAGCTGCAGGGGACAATTATTTATGTGAACGTCGGTCTTGGCTTTTATTTTAAGCTGAATGAGCTTTAAGTTGCAACAGGGCGTATGAGCAATAATTGGATTCGTAGGCCAAATGAATGATTCATTGGGCGGTCAAGATGGTATTTAAACGGCAGAACCCTTTGCTCGACAGCCTGTTTGCTTAGCCCTCCAAGAGCTGGCAGCTGGAATCGCTCGGAAGATAAACACGGAGGGCCAGAGTGCCCAGTTCTAAGCGCCGCAGCATCTTTCAATGGCAACGGCTGCAATCAGCAGGCAGTGCGTCGTCCTCTTTGTCAGAGATAAACAGAGTCCTTGCGGAGGAGGATAGGATCTGATGGGGAACCCTTGAATCTGGTCAAACCAAATGCACAACGAGAAAATCGAAGCGTTATCTTGTAATTTCTTAATATTTCTCAATAGATTTTTTGATAAAAGTTAAACGCTGATTTATGTTATTAAAAATAATCTATATAGTAATAATACTTAAATATTTTATAAACTTTTTAAATGACATCATTTGAAACTTTAAAAGCCAAAATCAAATCTTCTCAACTGACAGCCAGTTCTTCTTCTCTCAGTGTATATGCCTTGGGCTGTAATCAGAAATGAAAAAGTGAAACAACAGAGAGGCTGGGATTGCCGAGGAAATGAAGTGCGGAGAGTTGGGGGATTGGGTGTCCATCAGATGTGTCCATCATTCGGTGAATGCCGAGGATTAGTTGTGTTGATGGGATGGCCGATGTCCCAAGTCCGATGTCCAATGTCCGATGACCAGGAGCGGGTCTTTTCTTTAGCCGTCCCTTTGATTGCTTAGTCTGCTTACAACCTGCTCAGGTGGCTACGATTAAAGGATCCAGGATGACTTAAAGTCACCAAGCTTATGGAAAATTTGAAACGGTATTACACCGGCCATAGGTTGATTACCAAGTAAGGATGAGCTTTTTGGGATTTTCCTAAAAATAACCAACTTTAATTGAAAGACTCAAGGCGAGGTAATCAAAGGGTTGGTTAGATATTTTCTATTGAAGATTTTTTACGGTTAAGTAATTTGATTTTGAAGTCTCTTAAAATAAAGGAGAAGTTGTTGTATATATAAAAAATATTTATCGCATTTGTATTTCAGTTTTATCTTGAAATATCCGAGTAAATTTTTATCTCAAATTTTATATAAACACGTGGCTATACTCATGGGAAATAAATCTATAAAAACCATATTTCTATGGCTCTCCCAAACAACTTTGGGAATGTTTTGTAAAATTGAACCTTACTTTTTTAGGCATTTCCAATCTTTAAAATTAAAGTTAATAAGTTTGTTGGTTATTTGAACTATAATGTTTTTGACAGAAGACGAGTAATAGCGGATGTTTCGCCATATGATTCCACTGCTCCTCCGGATAATAGTCCTCCCCGTTTGTCACTTATCTCGCCTTTGCGAATTTCTGGTGCTCATTATGGACTCGGCGACACTTTGCCCAGCGAATAATGAAGGGGGTACATCATTATCGCTCCTCGCTGCCGCTTTTGCTGTCATTATCATCATCATCGTCATCGTCAAAAACAAGAGAACCCAGTTGCAACACCCACTTTTCAGCACCCACCCAAAAATGCTGTGGCAAGTGTTGATGTTGTTGTTATTCCGCTTGACTTCGAGTTTCTGCGGGTGAAATGCGGGTAATGTGGTAGGGTGTGGGGCGGGGCGGGGTAGACAGGGGGTCTGTAATCAACGGGCGGCAGCGAATGAAAGTTGACAGGAACAAACAGTCGGCAGTGGGTTCGTAGTCGTCCTCATCGTCATTCTCATCCTCCTGATATTTTCATTTCCCCATTTGCTTTTCACAGTCCCATTGGACATTTCTTCAATTTTATTGCTGCAATTTGCTGGGAGGACCGTTCTCAATGAAGACATTGTTTCGATTCTCAGTCTGTGATTTTATAGCACTGAGAAAAAATCGCTTTTGATTTAGTTTGCATTTTAATAAACAAATTTCAGTAATTTGTGATGACTAAACTTTCATTACGTCTCTAAATTAAAAGGGGTTTTTAGGATGTTGAGCTAGGAAAAAGGTAATTTATTTTTTTAAATTGTTTGATATTTTCATTAATTCTTCTCTCTGTGTACTTTCAAACATTTACTTATCTTTCCCTGGCCAAACGCACAATGAAAAGGGTCCAATTTATGCTTCGGCCTCGAGTTTGCCTTTTTTGATTCGGGTTTCCCTGCTGTTTTCTTGTTTTGAGTAATTAAATTTCTTGGCCTGTTAATACTCTGAATAATCACTGAGCAAATAAAGGAGTCGAAGGACTGTTCGAGGCATAACCAAATTTACAGTCGACTGCACTTAATGACCACTTAATGAGTTTCACTAAAAAGAAGCAAGGACATGAAAGCCAAAGCACTATTCGAACCGTTTAAAAGCGTATTGCATTTTTAATACCAATAACTTGAGCTTTTTGTTATTTGTCTGAAAAGAATTGGAATAACAATATGGCTGAAAAATCAAATCTTAAAGTCAAAAAGTTAAAGATTTATTTATTTCATTTAATAAACTTTCCCCCTGTCCTTTAACTATAACATTCCTGCCATACATTTTTCTCCAGGCTCTTGTATTATTAAATCCTGATTCCAGTCTGATATATTTCCATTTAATTCCCTCATTTTAATGCACTCATTTCCATCTCACAAATTACCAGTCTTTCTGGCTTACGAAATATCAATTATCCGTATTTTTGCCTCCTGCCAATTTATTAATTATAAGGCCTACTTTGCTGCTGTTACTTTGGCAAGGCTAAAATTAATTCCTTGATATATCGATTTTTTAAAATTGAGTGATAATAGTGATGATAGAAGCACTAAGAAATTGAAATTATAATAATTACCAAGTAATTATTTAAAAACAAGCCCAAATAGTATAAGTATAAATAAATAAGTCCTCTTTAATGCAAATATTGCCCTAAAAAACAAAGACCTCTTTTATAAGCCATTAATCGTTAGCACATTTTTAAAGAAATTTTTAAAAAACATCGCGAAACTCGAAAAATGAGCCATAAAGATTTTTAAAAACTTTTATAAAAAACATCGAGATACCCATAACATTTCTGAACAATTTCCATAATATTGTATTAAACTTTTAAAGTTTAATTTTTAGAGTTTACAAATCGGAAGATAACTTTTCGTAGCCACTGTTTCTAACAGAAGATCATTTCTAAAAACCAACTAGAAATAACCTTTACCCACCGTTAGTCATGAAAGCAAACTAGAGAAAGTAAAATTGTTTACACAATAAAAGATGATAAAAATAGAAAAAATCAGTATAAATAGATTTTCCCGAAATTGTTTTCTTTCAAAATTTTAAACAGCTGTTTGGCCTGCAGTGTGACCGCACGACACCTGGGTTGAAAATCCCACAAGGCAGCGATCAAAGGCCACATTGCGCCGACGCTCTCGCTCTCACCTGCACTCATTTCCAATTGGGAGAGCGGGCGAAGCAGTCGGGAAAGCAGCGAAGCGCGTGTAAACAGCAGGGAAATCGAAATCGCATTTGTGCCTTGTTTTTCTTGGCCAACAAGAAAAAAATAAGAAAACTTTGGCCAACAAAATTCGTAGTGCAGCGAAAAACTGCAGAATGCAGAATAAAGCTGGCGGATAAACACCGATTGGTGTATACGTGTGAGTGCCTCTCGCGAATGCGTCGACGTGTGTGTTAGTGTGTGTGTTTAGTGTTTGACCAAAAAAAAATATTGCTCAATGGCCCAAAAAAAAAAAAAATAAATTAATAAGTTGGGTGAGGAAAATCAAACAGCTAAGAAAATGAGCAGATGAAAAACAACTGCAGGCAAATGACAAAAATTTCCCAAACGTGAAAAGTGCGGTGAAAGTGCAGCGAAAGCCAGGGAAAAGCAAATGCAAATAAATGCTGTTTTTTTTGTATGCGCTCAATTTGAGTTTTTATTTTTGTGAAAGTCTTGTGCTCTTTCTCCTACTTCCTCACCTCTCCATCGATACATGCTCTTCGTATAAATAAAACAAGGAAAGGCAAAAGAAAGGTGAGTTTTTCCCGAAATTAGAGCTAATGTCCTCATCTTTGGCTTTATTATTATTTTGCTGTTGTTGTTTTTATGTTATTATAATTATTTGTTTATTTTTTGTGTCAAAACGAGACAGCAATAAAAATCTCAGGGCGTTGCGAAATTTGTTTCTTCTTTTTTATTTTGCTTCGTTTTTGTTGCTTCTTATTTGCTTTTATTTTCTCAATGGCCGCCGAGTATTTCCAGCTGTGTGTTGGTGCGAGAGAGAGCCATAGAGAGCGGGAGAGTTGGGTGAGCGAGAGAGCGCGAGCGGAGAGAGCCCATCAGCTGTG